CGGGGAAATGTGTAAAAATCAGACGGGAGAATTACGAAAGAAATCTTTTGTGTTTCATTATTCCGAAACGTCTCCATCTCTATTTCAAGCTTCGTTTAGGGACCTTATATCGTATTTTTTTTTCCCTCCACAACAGTGCTAAAACACAGAGCTCATCATGTAAGACACACCCAGCTGCCGCTGAACCGCGAGGAAGAGGAAAGTCGAGTCATAAATTGTGAGACAACCTTCAGGAACCGATTTGAAGATCTGAGGAGATGCTTTGATTTGGTAGGATTTGCTTTCATCTTAGGGCCGGGACATAAAGCGTCGGGACGCCACCACAAGTCTCTGCCGAGGACAAGCCACTTTTGATTAACTTCTTCCAAAACAAGCCGCCGTAACTCATTTTATCGCTGCAATCAAAACCAATTGAAAGCAATAAAAATCTGTGCGACATGTTGCGAGAACAGAATTTTGTCACTAACACAAATGTTTTCAATAACATATTTACAGCGACTTTTCTTTTTGTCTCGGCCCTTAGACTAGCTTGTTTAGTGAGGGCCAACATAATAACATGCGGCCAATCGCTGCGAGCGATATTGAATACAAGAACTTTCTCAAACAATCCGCGCAAATGCGAAGCGAGAAAATTTGTGGTTGTTCGTGAGCACGAGAAATTGACGCAATCGTCGATAAGTGAGTGAGAAGAGTAGGCGATACTAGGCACGATATGAAATGCATCATGTACCCAACCTCGTTTCCAGGGCCTTTTCCCTTAGTTGGGGGGGGGGGGGGGAACTAAGGGAAAAGGCCCCAGGAACGAGGTTGGGACGTACCAAGAGGCCAAGTCAAGCGCGGGAAAACAAATGGTTTCACTAGGTACAAAAAAAGAAAAAGAGAAAAGAAAATGCAGCCTTTCCAAATCCAGACAACACGCGTCACTTCTAAGAGCGTAGAAGTTGTTCACCTACTTTTAGTTTGGGAAAGAGTTCAAAAGTGCCAAACTGCATTGACTGTCTTCTGTTGGAAAACAGGCTTGCTGTTATAATGGCGGGTCTCCTTAAGATTGCCGTATGGTAGATACAAAATATCTTATCTTCTTTTCATCGATTTTTCTCTTGTGGAAATGTTTCCATTTCTAGATACCAAGCCTGGATGCATCTGCAACTGGGACAGAAGGAGGAGTGCATATTCAGTCTTGCGGCCATCTCCTTCATGTTGACTGTCACCAATCGTATCTTAAATCTCTTCAGGTATAGGAGTGGAATAAGTAAACTGTGGAATACGAAACCATGCTTTTCGAGAGAACTAACAAAAAAATCATTCAAATCGCGGTTTTTATATTAAAATGTTACGTTTATTGAAACCCCTGTGTATGAGATCATTTCCTACTTGAAATATCTTTGGTCTGTATTTGTAAAAAAATTTGTCTGTAGATATAACTGAATTAAACTTTTCTTTCAGGAAGAGGATGCCAACCAACTTTACCAGGTGCAGCCGTTCAACCCAAGGAATGGGGAATTCACTTGTCCTTTGTGTCGACAGCTTGGCAACTGTGTGCTTCCCGTTGTACCCTCGCACCTTATCCCGAATGGAAACATGGCATCCAAGGTCAGTCATATTTTACTTTACCTTAAACCATGTTGGTTTGACCACTTCCACTCCTGATTTGCGTCCGAAGATTTTGGTGTCAATTTTGCAGTTTGAATTATTTGTTGTTGGAGAGGATTCGTGGTTAGTAAGGCCATACCTGGGTTCTGTGTCCGTGGGCGTCGACGAAAGAAAGGTGTAACACTAAATTGCTTTTCAGTTGCGCTCATTAGAATGATCACACGTCCAGCTTTCACCCACCATAATGGCTACTATTGAGAATATGGCGTTACATTACTGTCTCCAGACTCGAGTTCCCCTTTATACGTATTACCTTTCAGTAATATACTTGAAAGTAAGTGATAAATACATTCTATTAGACGTGTTGAAGTGTTGTATCGCTGAGTTTTTTTACGAGTTGTGCCGTATTTATAATACAAACAACGAACAAAAATACTCAGCAATACTACTAAGGGCAGTTGGATAATAAATTTTCTTATCAATTTAAGAAAAATACCATGAAGAGTCATACAGAACGGACAAGCGACTTACATACAGTCCTGAGAAAATACAAGCTTCATGTAAGTAAATTTGAGCAATACTAGACCAAAGTTCCTGTTGAGAAGTTCACATTTCCCTTTTGTGGCCGAAAAAAAAACTCGCGCCACCTCTCCTAACAATCACTTGGTCAGTGACGTTCTCCCCCCCTTCCGATAGTTTGCTTGTTTTGGTTTCTTTTAGATCTCTATTTGAGTATGAGAGCGATCTTCGCAGTAATGAACACCACTTAAGCAGTAGTGTAGTGAAAACCAGGCCTGTACGGGATTCGAACCCATGACCTTCTGCGATACCGGTGCAGTGTTTATTAACCATTAGAAGTTTTTATTAACCATTTGGTTTTACTAACAAATTATTAATTTAAATTATTTTTAATAGTTTGGAAATGATTTATCATACTAGTAGTACTAGTATTAATATTAGTACATTGATGATGCATTATTAAATATTAAGAAACTATTAATTTATTGGTAGTAGTCAGTGATAGATCATTAATAAATGATCAATTATTTTTATTCTTGTTTCTGACACTTAAACCAAATACACCTTAAAGTTCGTTTTTGCAAAACTGATTGTACACAACACTTAAATAAGTTTGTGACCTGCTTGCTTTGTTATTCCGTAGACTATTACCAAACTAACAGCCAGTGCACTAAACTTCAATGTACTCGGTGCAGCCATTAAGGCAGTTGTAGAATCAGTGTCTGCAATGGACGGAGAAAGTCATAGGTGCTCATTTGAGAGAAAATTCAGCCTGTTGTACAGAATGGCCAGGTATGCAAGCAAACCAAGGCTAAACTACTTAATTATACAAAGATGTTCTGGATACTTCATCGAGGAATGTTTATCTTCGAGACTTCCACAGTGAAAGTGATTTTTCAATTTTTTTTTTTAACAGTCCTTTCTAATCATACCTCTTTGGTATCCATGAATCAACTGGCTCACTCAGTTTGGTTTTAGCCCAGCGTGTTTAATATGGGTTGCTATGAGTATTACTTCTCAGTCTAACAGGGATGTTTATCCATCACTGCTCCAATTACTTATTATCTTTTGGTTCTTTTCTTTCTTAACGTTAGAGAAGTACTTAAATACCGTGTTTGCATTCCGCTCTTTTGTGGTTTCCAGGACAAATTTAGAATTAGAGCAAGTGGATAAAGTCGCAAGGAAACTTTCAAGTCCAAGGAAATCATGTTTTGGTGAGTACTCTGGTGTTATTGTTTGTGAAACTTTGCTCGTTAAAGAATTGTGACAATCTTCAAATTTCCTCTACCTGTGATCAATTTCTTTCCTTACTATCCAAGCGGAACTCGTCTAGTGAGAGACTCAAAGAGCTTAAATACCAATTTCTAACGAATGATAACTGTTTCGGTGGGGTTTTTGATGCTAAAAAGTATGTCCCTCATAATGACGCTTTTTTGCTTCTTCTTTTGTCTTTGTTCCTTGCACCTTTCAGGTCCTCTCATGCGTGCTTTTCAGTTTCATTCTCAAACACTTGTTGGTCCTTTGTTGTCTGTGTGGTCAGAGCTGACTGGTACTGAAGACCTCAAAGAGTCGTCTTCCAGGTAAGATACCAGCGTGTCTCTGTAACTGAAGCTGGTTGTAAAATTTAAGTTCCACCGGCGGAAACCATATTGTTTACGCTCCGTCCATACAATTATCCGTCCATGATGAATCTGAAAACGGTGTTTTTGTTCTGCAAACACAACAAAAAATTACCGTCTACACTTAGCCGTAGCGGTGGGCATGCCTATGAGCGAAGTTTATTTCTACCGCTAAAAAATTAATTGACCAGTACTAGGGGTGTCTCCATTTTCAATATTTCTGTTTTCGGTCCAGATAAGTATATGGCAGGCCTAAGCGTAGAAATTAATTTCAGTGCTGGTGTTGTAGTGTGGACGATAGACGAAAACGCTTCAAAATTGACACGACAGTAAAAATACAGTGTAGTATGCATAGTTAAAAAATATTTTGCTTTGATTTGTCATAGACGAAAACGGACACCTTTGATAGCGCATTAGTGTGGTTGGGGCCTTAGAGTGGACGGATCCTAACCACAACCCAAAATGCTGCCTAGCGGGCACAGATAATTTTTTTAAGAAAGTCTTCACACTGCATAAGATTGCTTTTCTTTCAATTGTTGGCAATAAACTACATGTAAATTGGCGCGTAAAAGAAAAAAAAATGAATATTGCGTGCTAAATCTAATTATTATTGCAGTGGGACAATCAGTTTCCAAGATTGTCCTCTTCTCTTGAGAGATGCACCCTCACTGTTGATCCAGATGATGTTGTCATGGCCGGCACCGCTTTCATGCCGTAAGTGTTTTTCTCTGCGTAGTATAGTTACACATTGCCATTTTTGTAGCGTCTTAGTTACCGAATACTGACGTTCTGTATGTATGTGTAGATGCCAAGTCTCGGAAAATGACACAGTCTCCAATTTTTTATTTTTTTTTTTTATTTTGACTCTGTGGTGTAATTGATCCTAAATAGCCAGAGCTTGTACGGCTGATAATTTTTACTAAATGCCTTATCTTAATCTATTTCAGGTGACTTCATGTGCTTTGTACAGCTGTTGTTCAATTTGGTGTTCACGCAGGTGAGAAATTTAACCTTTTTGTGAAATGCTAGACACTTTATTTAGATATTTGAATAATGAACTACCTTTGAGCAGATTCGGCAATTTCCTCTTGTGTAGATTTGTCCTTGATGAGCACTCGTTTTATATACATTTTTTTTTTTCAGGCTCTAGTTGAGACTTGTTGTAAGTTTGTCGGAGATGAAAAACTCTCGTGGCAAGACTTAGGAAAGAAAGCAGCGTCACAGGTAACCTTAATTCGACACGATTTGCCCACCACAGGTTGTGTTAAAGGTTTTTCTTAGTAATAACAAAGTTGATACAAAAAGCGCGCCGGTAGAACTGTCCAGCCTGTGCAGTCGATATCTTCATTGAGTATGCCGATGGAAGGCTTATAAAGAAAATTAAAAAATTCTCCAAGAAGGTCTATGTATTTTTCAATTGATTGGTGATGTTGGGTGGCCCTTATTAATGATAATGGCCAAGAACTTGCACTACTTGCAGGGCTGCAAATAACGGCCGGTCAACGGACAATGTCCGGTCAAAATTGGGTACTGTCCGGACAAATCCTTGGGTGGCCGGACATTTTGTCCGGTCATCTACCGACTCGTTCAAAGAAATTTTAATTTTTAACTGTTTGATAATCACAAGGGACAACAGTCATGTTTCCGAAAGAAAAAAAAAAACATTATAAAAGCAGACAAAGTAGTGGTCGAGAAATTCCCGGCAGTCGCAAATTTCCACGATGTCATCAAGTCCAGTCGCGACCGCAAATTATCATGTCTTCCGTTATTTTATCTACTTTATTTAAGTCTTCCCAGTCAGTAGAGGGTTTTACCTTTGGTTAGGTACCATAATTTACTCTTAAATAAAGTGACTGATTGTTTGACTGATTGAATGATAGGAAAGCACCCTCACGAAGGATAATCTTGCTGCATCGAGAATACTCCAAGTAGCATTTGTTGCAAAGTGCAAAAAGCGAGCAAACGGCCCAAAACCTGGAGAATCCGACCACTCTTAAACTCTAACAAAAATTCACAACTGTAACTTTAAAAATAAGGCTCTGAGTTGTACTGAAAACAAAAGAGTGGTAAAATTATTAACTTGTAATTTTTCTTGCCAGACCGACTTGGATTCAGTTGTTTTTTAGTTGTAAAAGGATTACTGTGCAATCTTGGTTCACTATCGCAAGAATTCCGACTGTTAAAATTTGTCCGGCCAAAAAAGGGTAGTGTCCGAGCAAAAGCATGGTTGACCGGACAACGTGACCGGCGACTGCTCGTTCGTTATTTGCAGCCTTGACTTGTTAATGGTAGAGAGGGGAAAAAAGAGTAGAAAACAGGAAATGGACAACAGGACCGAGTTGTTCAAAGCACGATTAAGCTAACCGGAGGTTAGCCAACAATTTTTGAATTAGTTTTGTAGCTTTACAGAAAGTTTATAATTTTCTATTTTTCCTTCAATATGGTCTTATGCTGAGGTTAAACCCCTCAAAACGTAAGCCCTAAGGTGCGCTTCGTTTGAAGAGAAATCAAGGAAAAGTTAAGATTTCAATCCTGGTTTATCGCCTACAGCCTTTCGAACAACTGGGCCCAGATCAGCAAAGAACAATTTGGGAGGGATTTTTCCCAACTACAAGCCCAGTTGCAAAGAACGAATCCTGCCAGAAAATTGCCAGCAGCCTTTATTTGGAAAAAGAGCTTCCCAGTGACCGGTTATTTGCGATCCGCGAATAACCCAGACTGTTGAATCAGTTATTTTGTTTTCATCCTCGTCTAGGAAATTGTTCAGGGCCAATTATCTGCTGATCTTTTATTGGGGTATGTTTGCCGCATGCTCAGTAACAGTACCTTGATTAAGGAGGATCATCACACCGGAGGGGTAAGTAATCTCTGTCGCCTCTCCCCTCCCACGCCACACTGCAAGTATTAGCGGGGCTCCCACGCGCGCGCGAGGCAGAGCTCCATACCCACGGAATATGGTCAACCTCTTCTCGTCTGGTTGTCACGTGACTGACCGAGCGTATGTACGTACGTACGTGCCTTCAACTTGCACGGGTAGGGTAGGGGAGACTATCAAAACGAAGGGAAGGGTGTCTCAGGCGAGTCTTGGCAAATGCACATCTTTTATGTTATCATTAATATTACGAACTTGGGAACTCCGCTTTTAGGCTTGGCCAAATCTCTATATTTGAGGTTAAGAGACATTCATACCCTCCCCTCTCTCATACCTACTGAAATGTCTCTAATGAAACCCTACTTAGTTGATTCAAGTTACAGACAAGTAAGGGTAAATTTTATTCACTGAGCACTACGTTTTCTCGCTTTTAACGTCATAAATATCTTCTCACTCCAAAGATCATTGGTTTTTTCTTTTTTTTTTCTTCGCAGATTTCACAGTCAGTGTGGTCCCCACATACTGTGGAGCGTTCTCTACAAGATTCGTGTTTGGGGTTCTTGCGGTCGGCGAGTGCTATGGCGGCCCTCTGCTACGGTGTGGAGATACCAAAAGTTCAGGTGAGCGTGTTGTCTGACCTCTGTCTACACCAGTTATCTACGTTGTACTCGATTTTGTTCAAAATTCCCTGGTATTTCTTGTATTGAAATCTTTATTGGCAATTCATCCACCTGTTTTTGGTATTCTCCTTGCTGATCCTTCATGGGTATTGTATGGTTAATCTCGTAGAAGAATCGGTAACCGTACACAGCAAATCCAGTCAAAGAAGAGAGTTTGGTTTTATATTTTTATTAATATTATTATTATTATTATTATTATTATTATTATTATTATTATTATTTCCATAAGGTCGTAGTAGTAGCAAGTATGATAAATATTGTAAGAAATAGACAACTTTTTTGAGAGACATGTTTGGGCATGCTTATGCCATCTTCAATCAATGAGTAAGAGAATGTTCTGTTGCTCATTGATTGAAGATGGCATAAGCATGCCGAAACATGTCTCTCAAAAAAGTTGTCTATTTCCTATTATTAAAAACTAGATCATTGGATAATGCAATTCAAGACTTTTTATTGGCTTAGCCATGGTATATGAGCCAATATACCATAATCTAATATCTGTACATTGTAACATCCAGTTTCTTCTTACAAAATAAAGTCGAGAAGATTTGTCTAGTATCTTGGGGGTACGCGCCTCGTTGGCTATCTATCATCTCATATCCAACAAGCGCGAGTGGAATAACTGTTAATTATTATTATATATTTTAGGACAATGATGCTGAATTTCGTGTGTTGGCCTCGACCCTGGGTTTATGTGATCCCTTCAGCGATAGTCGCACCGAGTCCTTCTCGTGTATAAATTGCCTAAAGTGGCCTTATTCCAAGCCTCGGAAAATGATCCGACGATGGTGTGATGCTCTACTGCTGTGTTTCACACAGCGAAAGGCCAAGCTGAATCGGGTGAGTTCGCTGATTTACGAATAACATTTGTCATTGGTTTTTTGACTGTGGCTTTCATTTGCAAAGTTGAACTGTGAAAATTATGGCCGTCATCTTGATTATAATGGAAGCGGAAGGCGGGGGAGAGAAAGACATTTGTACAAAGGGGGTGAGTGACAGTAAAAAAATTAGGAGGGGGTGAGGGTGGGGAGTGAATATTACTCTTATTGTTCTCTCCTTCCCGCCCCTTCTCCTTAGCGTCGACTCTAACTCCAAATTGAACATGACCGCCTGAATAAACGATCGTGCGCTTCTTTTACTCGCCCTTATAAGACGCCTGCATCGCAGATTAGTAAAAAAATCTTTGTGCCGGTGCATGCACTTGGTGACAGGGATATACTTAGCTGTAATATACCAACGCTTGTATTTCATTTCGCGTGGACGGGTTATCTTCACGCAACAAAACTTTCTGTTCATTATACTGGTAGGAACTTCTTCCCAATATGAGTCAGTGGCCGCCACCTAGACTACTTCAACTTCCTGAGCGATATGACAGGTAGGTGATCCAACTGGGGGGAGAACAAGGTTTCTCACCACCCATCTATGAAGCAAGTAATTATACCTGAGGAGCTTACTGTTTCGAAGTAGAATGGAACAGGGTTCCCCAACTTAAGCCTGTAAGGCACAGGTTCAGTGTACAGTACTTCCTTTCTTTTAAAAGTATGATTGTAAGTTACGTGACTCAAGTTCCGTTATTTGTCTCTTGCTAAACAGTTTGATCCAACATTACCGGAAGCGGAAATGCACCAAGTGTGGCAGCACTCCAGATGATCCTGCAGTATGTTTGGTGTGCGGTAAATTCACTTGTCTCCAAGGAAGCTGTTGTGTTGACGGGACAGGCACAACTGACAAGTATGAATGCATACAGGTTAGAAACCAGTGAAGGCTGTTCATTCTCACTGTTGTGCGCAACGCCGAAATAAACTTAGAAACCCACTCAACCGTCTAAAGTGGAAGGAAAGTGAAGATATTAGAAACAACGGTTCTTTCACTCATTTCATCCAACTGCTTGCTTTCAGCTTTCACTAGCAGTTCTCACGTGTTTCTGCGGTCTTTTTGTCTCGTGCGCTTAAGGATTTGTAAGTAGAGAGACCTAATGCTGACTTCAAGTAATGAGCCCAGTTTTGTTTGTTGATTTTACGGCAGTTTTGTCGCCCAGTTTGAAGCTCGTTTCGAGTGTATGTACGACCTTTGAGTCGTCTAAGGCCTCAGGGAGGGGCATGTATTGTTCCATACACTTTATTCTTATTATTTTGTTAATTTGATGTTTTTTATTCGTTAGCACGCCTTGAATTGTGGGAGAGGAACGGGGATCTTCCTGATCGTGCTCTCTTCAGTGATTATTATTATCAGAGCCGACCGGGTTTGTATCTGGGGCTCAGTCTACCTCGATAGCTTTGGCGAGGAGGACCGGGATCTAAGGTATGGTAGATTGATCGGAGCGCCTGTCACCTTAAGTGTCATCGATTGATGAATAAATTGAATTTGATATAAATTTTCAGAAGGGGATCTTAGCAGCAGCACATCCACGAGGTGGCGTAACGTCCGCTGTTTAGTTCGAATTAAAAATTTGAGATTCAGTTTCAGCCAGGGTAAAAAGAAGTGGAGAAACCGCAGAAAAACCTTTTGCGCAAGGACGAGAATCAACAAAGCTCAAGCCACATGTGACGCTTGCTCCGGAAAATTAACCCAGGCCCCAGCGGAGGGGAAAAAAAGCATTCCCCTCATTGCGCCGTCCCTCCTTCTACTCTGTGTGAAATTTCTCTTCAACAATTATTTAACTCTTTCACAGGCGAGGGAAGCCACTGTTTTTGAGTCAGGATCGTTTCAACAGACTTGAAGAGCAATGGCTCACTCACAGCTTCGATTACATGTGCAAGAGATGGAAACGGCACATGAACACTCTGTAGATGAATGACTTCATTATACGCGTCAAACCGTGGAAATCGGATGACTTCAGAGGCCCAGTTCAGACACAGTCTTGCGCTGGAACGCTATTAATTTAGGACGCAGTCTATTAGGTTTAGACGCAGTTAATTGCGCTATACTGTATTTTATTTAGACGAAGTCTTCTAGGTCCAGGTTACATCGCGCATTTATCGTCTGAAGGTTCAATAACCGCCATAGGCATACATGGATTCGACAAAAATTCGCGGGGAAAAGAAAAACTTTTGAGGAACGTCAAGGATCCAAAGGATAAATTAAATTATATATCAAAATTTGTTCAGCACTTATCCAATAAGAAAAGTGTTGGTGTCTCGAATCTTACTGCAAGAATTAAGAGGAAAGTGAATTTTTCTCTGCTGTGGTGTACCTAATGTTCATTATAGCGCATTTATTTATTATATGATAATCATTATTTTTTTGTATAGCAACAGCTAGACGGGAAGCAGTAAAGTTTTGTCCGGAATTAGGTTTAAAATATGGATTTTTCCTTACGACATCAGTGCCTTTCCAAGAAGAAACGTGATAAGAAAGAATGAAATCAACGGCGGAGGGAATACTGTTTGTTATAATTCCAAATTCTGAGATCTTAGATTTGAAGAAATGTTTAGGAGACAGTGTGAACAAGCGATTTTGGTATCGTCAGAGTGAACGGAGCTCTGTCAGTTTGTCCGTCATCTAAAACTTGGCGTAAAGTTGTTTGAGTTCGTCATTATTGTGGAATTTGCGATGTTCTTGCTTCCCCGAATCGTTTTCGTTTCTTCTTAGTTCGTTTCCTCTCCTTAAGGTCTAACGTTTATTTTTGTAGCTTATTCTAATGAAATACAATTCCCTTTGACGTAAAGAATGTTACAAGGCTCCTACTGAAATGAGCTTACTACAAACACAGACTCGTTGAGATCATATTTTGAGTTCATGTGTATGGATTTTGTAATCACTGAGAAACATAGAATTGTCTTTAGAAGATAATAAAAAAAACCTTTATTTTTGGGAATAATGGACTCGTTCTTCTACCGCATAAACAATAAATTCACGTTTCGTCGTGGTACTGCGATCGCGACTCAAAATTGGCTTAGTAAAACATTTTGCTTCGTGATTCAATAAATCGCTACACCGGGATAACGTTTGGCGCAGTATTGCATTGTTTTTTTGTTTTGTTTTTTTTTACTAACGGCCTCGTTGTGCATTGGCACAAATAGTTTACGGACACAATAGACACTAAAAATTGCAAAGAAGTTTGCTCGCGCCAGAGTCGATGGGGTTGTTGTGATATGAGCTCCCCCCCCCTTTCCTTGCGCGTGCACACACCCTTGTCCCACGTTTGAAAAAGATCTGCCGCGTATGCACCAAGACAATTTCCAACGGTGATGTTACTCTTTGGAATCTCAAACAGGGTTAGAGGTAAATTATTGCGTACACTTTTCAATGGTTGACCAAAAGATTGCGGTTTTTCTTTGAGGAAATCTCTCGCGTTAAACTCTACGACACCAATAGTTTGGTAATGCCGAAATACGTATCGTGGGCAACAAAGTTCTCTTATTAGTTACTACACCACGAATGTGACGGGTAAAGTGCCTAGGACGAAACCGCATGGGTGTGTAAAGCCTTGGTTCATTAAGAGCTTAAAAAACACATGAGCCTTGAACACCATTTTATTCACTAAGTCAGGAGATCTCTGTCGCAGTGTAAGCCCTTTTACTTCAAATTTTCAACCACAGTAAGTTTTCCATATACATGTAACCCAAATCTAACGAACACAACGTAACACTAATTACAAAGCGCGCAAAACTTTGTCACAGATCAATGGATTTGATCCACAATGTAAACAACATCTAAAACTAATGTTCTACTGTAGCTACATTGGTAATGGTTTAGAGAAAGCGCTCTGTTATTGGGACTTGCCCATTTCTACTTTATTACCATCTTTGTTCGTCTCCTTAGTGGTCACAGACGTGATTGCACTGAACTGCTTGGAGCTTGCAGCAGTCATTCCCGCCGGCAAGTGCTGGAAAGATTTCACAGCAGCTGAGCGGTGTGGATCACTGGTAATCAAGGGCTTGACACTAAGTGTTTTCAAGGAACTTGGATTCGATTGGGGTGGATGAATTGAACTTACAGATGTTACTGATGGCGCTTGTTTTGCAACAGTGGGAGCGGCGGTGGAAGTACAGGTAGACGTGCCTTTTGGGGGCTCGAGAAGGACATCAAATGCAGGACCCCCAGAGACGCTCTTGGAGGTACCCTGGGAGGGCATAGACTTTGAGGGCTCCGTAGATTGGGTTTTTGTCGTATTCTGTGATGTGCTGCTGGAGGAAGTGTTTGGAGCATCTTGTAAGGGAGCAGCCTGAGTGGTGCGTTGGAGAGCCGTTTGTGAAGCAGCCGGTGAAGTACAAACTGTAGAAGTTGTGACTTTGGCTTCCTCTTTGGTTTGAGCCACATTCAATTTGAGTTCTGACACGTCAGATTGCTTTTCAGGGGTTTCTGAATTCCCCGGCTGGACAGATGCCAGTTTATCCGGATCAGATGTGTCTTTTGATTTAACAGTGCCACTGCCTTGCTTTTCTGCTTCTTCACTATCACCTGATTCCTCTCTCTCTTTTAATTCTACTGCTTTTGGATCAGCATCAACCTTGGTTTCATCAGCAGAGGCCGCAGTTACACTTTTGCCTTTAACATTACTGCTTAGCACTACCTTAGAATCTGTCACTGCAGCCTGTTGTACACCACTGAAACTTGCCACTGGTGTTCTTTGCAGAGGTAGTTGTGGGCTGCTACAAACTGCCACAAGGCTAGCAGCTGCAAGACCAGGAGATATACTCTCCAATGCAAGGCGAGGGTCGGGTTGAACTGCAGCCCCTGCCAAGCTATCTGAGGATGTTTCCATATCTACAGAGATTGAGACTGATGACGACTCCTTATCATCAACGTTAGCCTTTGTGTCACTTGAATCTACTTCCATTTTCTCTGTACTGGTTGATGAAGTAGTACTCTTAGTGGAAAGGGGAGCTGTCGCAGCATTCTGCTGCACTTCAGTGGTGGTGGGTTGCGCTTCAAATGATTGGCCAGGGGTAGAAGGTGGCAAAAGAACTATGGATTTCTGCTGCAAAGCCTCTGGTACTTCTGTGGCACTTTGTTTGTGACCAAATATTCTGGCATTTCTTAAACTTGATAAAAAAAATAGGACAGAGAATATAAAATTAAGCCTTGAGTTTGACGTGAAAATTGGATGCAAGCTCCACTGAAAAATCAAATATCCACACTGGTCAACAAGATTCAAGTACACCAGTGGTTTCCTTTTGTTGGACTCTGCCTATGGTAATTTTTTTTTGTATATTTTTAAAAAGTTAACATACAATGTTATCTTACTTAGCTCTTTCTTTGGCATTCCGTAGGTCCTTTTCCACACTTGCTCTCTTCATATCTGCAGGTAGCTCCATGTGCAGTTGGCATGTTGAATGGGTGAAGATCTTGGCAACATTCCTGTCACAATGTGTTTCACCTTTAGATGGAAATGTGCACCTTTGGAAAAGGAGCTGGTTAGGGTCATGAGTGATGTCTGTAATGAAAGTCTGTCAAGAAGTAAACACTATATTTCATGACAATAAAGATTAACAATTACTGTTAAAATATATATTTCTTATTAACCAAGCGCGAGGGCCGTACTGGGAGAATATCGACCCGAGGTCTTGACAGTACGGACCGAGCTGCGCTCGGTCCGTACAAAAAAGACCGAGGGCCGATATTCTTCCAGTACGTTTCCGAGCAAGCTTGGTTAATAAGAGATTTATTATATGACTGAAGTTCAAAGGGACACAAGTGCGGTATCATTCGGGACCATTCGGAACAGTGCCTGGACCGGCAATAGAGCATTTTGATTGGTTGATTTTAGTTATTGGCCCTCTGACTGCCTGAGTCGTGTAATAAGAACTGCTTATTAATGCATCGTTTTATATAAAAGCAAGGTGGTAGCAAACTTCATTTGGTTATTTTGCACAGCACTGTAGGCTACTTCAGATATTAACTTACATGCATGGTACCATGGAGAGGATAAAAGAGAAGAGGTGTAATTGGATTTTAAAACTTGATACTAAAACATAAACCACAATATTGCATATCTGGCCTTTCATAATTCATATCACATTTCATGTAAGACCCTGGTATGAAACCTTTAATAAAGCAGTTTTGTTACAGTAGATATTGAAGGATACGTTTCATGCAGTGTTTTGTAAGTGGCAAAACTTTTTCAGTGCATCTATTTCCACCTGGAGAGTATGTGCAGCGTAGATTGGACACCCCCTGTGGGCGAGTGCTTGCGCCTTGCTTTTTCTCCTTGGCTTGCCGATGCAAGAGGGCTTCAGTACCAGGACAATCATGACGACATTTCCGTCCAAGCAGTTGTGTGGGTGTCAGATGGCACTCTCCTAGCATCAAAGGAAATATAGTTGTCACTTAATGCTGTTTTCTAACCAGTTCCCTTGGTACTGATAGGAGAATTTGTTTAACAGTCAAGAGCTCGAGGAATAAAAATAATGGCCCATCACTGCACAATGTCCACTCTGGGGTTTTGTCTGGTCAAATTTTGAAAGTGACCAGTCGTGTTGGCAGGTCACATTGAAAGTGGTTGAATGACTCAAAGTCAAGGAAGAAATCCAACAAAAGAGGAAACTGAACAGCAATAAAAACAAAAAACAAAGATGTTACTTAAAAAACACAACCCTAGAAAGAATACTAGCCACTTTGAGATTTCACAGGGATGTATGGCATTTCAATAAAGTTAATAAACAAAAAGTGGACTGGTGTTTGATAACCTGTTCCTTCAACCTCCTCTGCTTGAATAGCTTGGCAATATTTCCTCCTTCTCTCCTTCAGCACATGTTGTAACCTTTTGAACTGTGTGATGTACAATGAGCGCAGTCTGATCATCTTATCACGACACATCCTGGTAGCCTCCTCCACTGACCAAACACCAGCATGCCTAAAACAACCATTCATTATATTGGTGTATCATTTTTCAGCATTACACAGGTTTGACTCTCTTGGAAAAAAACCCAAAATTATATCAAAAAACTTCTCCCATTTTGCCAATGATGCATTATGAAGAAATTTTTCAACAGGTTTACCAATATCACTATAAATATTATTATGTGATTGTCATCATTACTAACGTAATGTTAGATTAAGATTAGGTGACAATAATTCTTTCAGGCTGGGTACTCACTTCAATGGGTCTTCCTCTTCGCTATCAACAGATTCTGCATCACTATCTATATCACCATGCCATGCACTGTCCACTTTAAGGTAATCATCACCACTATTAGCACCATCTTCATCTTCAAGACACATTAAAAATGGACTCAATGAAATGTATTAAACACTGATAGATCAGCGGCAATGTAGGAAACATTTCTTAAGACCCTTACAATCCCAAAAGAAACCAGTAAGTAATTTCGCCTTGTAATATCAGTTACCGTAAAAACCAGTGGATAAGCCGCACCCGCAGATAAGCCGCACCCTGAATTTAGCAACTCAAATTTTGGAAAAAAAGTTTATTGAAAGAAATCAAAAGAAATCCAAAGTCAAGTTTTGAGAAGTCTTCTTTATCCACTGTTCATTGAACGTAAACTCACTATTAACATTGCAATGGAAAATGCTTCGAAGTCTTACCCACTTTAATATAGTGAACATCATTTCTACCAACTTTGACATATGATTGATTGATCTTTTTCTGGTATTTGTTGACAGGAATTTTTTCATTCAACACAGTTTACCGTAGATTTTTGCATTACAACAAGAACATAAGCAGAACATTTGAAGCTTAGTAACCAGGCATTAGATCAGATGTGTTAATGGTAATCGGTGTCGACATTCTTGACACTTTTTTCAAATATTCCCGCAGATAAGCTGCACCCCCAATTTTTTGGGAAAAAAAGTGCAGCTTATCCATGGGTTTTTACAGTATGTTGGTCAGCAGAAAGGTAGTGAGAAGAATGAAATGTAGTAGTTACATGTAGGATACTCTGATTCAACTCTAATTTCTCCAAGCTTAACATATAAGAAAGTTAGGAGAATTTATAATTAGATATTGGCAGAGACAAGGTTACATGTGAATAAGAATGTCATCTATTTACAAACCATTGGTCATCTTGTAATTTGGTTTTATTACACGACTAGGGCAGTCAGAGGGCCAATAACTAAAATCAACCAATCAAAATGCTCTATTGCCAGTCAATATTCTCTCAGTATTGGACCAGGCACTGTCCCGAATGGTCCCGAATGATAACGCACTTGGGTCCCTTTGAACTTCAGTCGTATAATAAATCTCTTATTAACCAAGCTTGCTCGGGACCGTACTGGAAGAATATCTGCCCTCTGTCTTTTTTGTATGGACCTTGCTGCGCTCTGTCCGTACTGTCAAGACCTCGGGCCGATATTCTCCCAGTACGGCCCTCTCGCTTGGTTAATAAGATATATGTATCAACTAAGTTGATACATATATTGTAAATTGTAAATTGGCTACCATGAAGGCTTAAAAGCTGACATTTTGAGTGTTAGCCCTTCATCAGAGTGAACGGTCAAGTGATAAGGTAACTTCAGGTTTTCACTAACAGACAACAGTAGTTGGTGATGTGTAAGTATTCAAAACATAACTTGTCAGTAATGCCACAATACTTACTGTAAGGCATTTCATCGAGAATTTTCGCAACTGAACAGAGGTCAAACGAAAAGAGATGTTCTTCATGATTACCTCAGGCACAGTTAAGAACTCTTTAACTCCAAATAGCTGACTCTTAATTCTCCCCTCTAGCTGCTAAACATTTCCTTTTAAATTAGTTATGAGAATTTGGTGATATATCAAGATTACTTCTACCTGATAAGTTTAAATATTCTCATTACCTCTTTGCTGGATAAGGTATGGATATTATAAGGAGCAGTTACATTTTAATCACTTCTGGGAGTTAAATTAAAGGTTAACCGCTTATGATATTTCTCTTACTTTTATTTTTACCTGAAGAATGACCATCTTGTTTATCACTCTTTTGTGAATTTGAGCTTGAAGTTCTCCTTCGTTTCCCTTTATCATCCTCATAACTTCCTTCATTATCATCCACGTGTCTTCTCTTTCTCCTTTCTTCCACAGCTCGGCGTAGCTCTGCCTTGCGTGTGTGAATAATGCAAAAGCTGCAATTTTATGATAAAAATTTTGTATTTTTGTGTCTTTCAACTAAGTAAAATTATGTTGTTAAAGGTCATTCAATAAAAATTTCATATTTCGATGGAGTATCATTCTGGTGTAAGCAGAGATGTGTGCGCACAAAGTGTTTACTTACGTTTACATTGCATGCCTTCGATAATAACATACTGAATTTCTTTTAATTTTAAAATATTTATTCATGGACAGAACTAGATACCTTTTTCCGTGCGGCAACTTTTGTGCCGGATTAGGACATCTCCTCCCATTTGATTTGGCTACGAAATCACAAGGTTTAAAAGGGCTAGCTTTATCTTCCAAAATATGCTTGTGGCAGAAGTCAAAACCTTTCAGTATTTCCAAGTTGCAAACTCGTTGTGAGTAAGCGCAAAGTTTACGACGAGGTTCTGCTTTGGATTCCGCTTTTATCCCGACACTTCCAACCTCATTCTTTGTTTTCTCCGCAACTAAAAGAATACAGGTAAGACAAAAATGTAAACTTATCTGAAAATTGACTGTAACTGCTTCAGTGACAAGCACGTGAACGTGCAATAGCAAGGAATTCGTGTTCCTTGACAATATAGGGAATCGGAACATTCTTTTAATTAAAATTCAAACATATAGCGGGCGAAATGCTAGACTGGATTTCCAATGGAAGCTGTGAATTTAAGAAGAAAGCACAAGTTTTGTTTCACCTACCTTCCGCCATTTTGTTTTCTGGCAATAGGCCAACATGGACCCAAGGACCTCTCGGTTTTTAGAAAGACGGTCCGGGGGAATTTGAGGCGGCCTTGGGTGACCTAAATTTTTATGTACTCTTTACTAAATGATCTTCTTTGATTAGTCAGAATCAAGAATTTTTACTCTTATGAAGAAATAACAGCTGGCAAACCTTACAGGTAATATTTTAATGCATGCAGCACAGCGAAAAACGTAATCCTTTGCAAGTTCGTTTTAGTGTTCAAAACTGATGTTTTTGGCTCTGTGACATAACTATTCTTAGTCAATAACCTGTTATGGCAGACCTTTGTGTCAAGCAGAAGTTTAAAAAATGCTTAAGACAACACTGCACTCCCTTCTTCCCTACTTTTGAGTCCTCAAGGCCTTACTTCACCGCTCTCAGACTATTTAATGACCCCCTCGCCTATTGTGGTTGGTAAGTCTTGAGCTTTTGTCCAGTTTCAAGAGGGATGAGCAGGTCTTTTTGAGTTGGCAGCTGAGGAAAAAGGGCTTACATCCCATCTCACAAGCCTATTTTTTTTATCTCAAGGAAACATAACATAACATTTATTCAGGAAGCTAGAATGCAAATGTAAAAAAATACATCCTGAAAAGGGAAAATCGTGAGGTTAGCCCTGTATAAAAACAATTTCCCTGACTAAATCACAAAAAAAAACATAAATTCTAAAGACTGCTGTACATGCCCTCCCCACAAACAATTTAAAATGCTTTTAAACACAATAACATTCATTTATTTGTACAAAAATTCAGCAGAGTTCATACAAATTGGATAATAATGAGAACAAGTTCTATTACTTTTAAATGTTCTCTTCTAAGCTAACTTTTAAAACAATGAGGCTTGGCATAACCAAAGAAAAAATCCCAAGGACAGTACTTTGTGGTGACATCTTTGGACCCTCACTGAGGTCCACATAACATCAGGTAAATCCACCAAAAAAAAGTTTCACAGCATTAAAAAATTGAGTTTGACAAGAAAAATTATGAATGCATGCAAATGCACTTCAAGTGTAATATTACAAACAAGTGGGTTCACTAATCAAAATCATTTTTGTATATTTGTCCCTAAAAGAAATTTGCAGAAATAAGTATGATTCATTTATTTAACAAAAATTTTAACCTTTTCTGAGAATTTGCACATGCTAAATATGCTATAGAGTAGGTACAGTGCTGCCCTTACACCATTTGCGAGAAAAAAATGTTTGATTTTTTTTTTCAAACCTGAACATCAAAGATCACATATCAAACATTCAGGCCTTTGAGGTTCATAACCTGCATTAACCTGGGTTGTAGTAAGGTTAAATGCAACTGTTCTCTTGAGTGGAGCAGGCAATCCTGCCCAAGAAGAGACTGCTGGATGTTTTGAGGGGAGGATCACAGGCTCCTTTACAAAGAGGGTAGCTGGTTGTCAAGCCTACAGTTGTCTGTGACTGATGCAGTTAAGTCTGATTTGGTGTAAAAACTTTCTTTGCACTTCTCAGGGCTGAAATTTGTATTTAGCATTTGTGTACATACAAAAGTCTAAAAAAAATTGAAGGTAATCAGGACACACTAGACTAACACACAAGATCATCTTTTGCAATCAGACCTGATAAACACACACGCAAAGTTTGGCATATGAAATTTTGCCAATCTGCCTTTGAACTGCGCCATAACATGTTTGAACAAGGCTCGGCCATAAATTAAGGTAACTGTTGTTAAAAACATAGTGTCCTGATCCACAGCACACTCCTCATCCAGTGTTATTATCCTTGCGTTGTTTAGAAAGAATTGAGAAAAGGGATAGGCATTCACAAGGTAACCAAAGAAAAGTACAGAGAAGATGGCAAGTACTTTGGCCTGCATCTAACAATCCGAGATGAATTAGTTAAAACAACAAAAACTTGTTGTCCTCAAATGAAAGAAACACAATTGAAAGAAGACACTGTCACTCTTTAAACACACAAACAGTACAGCTTGCAAGACTTTAAAATACGGTGCAGAAGATTCTGAAAACAGCAATTTTTCATGCAGCAAATTCACCAACCCTTATAGCATGAGATAAAAATCCTATGAATGATTTGGGAAAGATTTCATTAAAATCAGTTCTATTGGGGAAATGGAGTATCTTGGTACTGCATGGAGGAGTTGTAAGTAAAGGTTTTCATATCACAAAATAGATTAGCCTCCATGGCAGCTTGCTGTATGGGTGGGTATGGCTGTCATAATATGGTACAATCCTCTTTCTTGTCTACATTCCCATCTTTGTCACGCTTTTCTATTTCACGGATGACCATCTGGAAAATTTCATGGACACTCTATAAAGTGAGAAAAGAAACTAACAGCTAAATATCAATAGCTACAAGCTAGTATGGAAAGTTTGTAAGCAAACTACCAGTAACAGGCTCACCTTGCCAGATTGTATAACCATTTCGTATAATTTCAGAGCTGAGCAAAGAGTTTCTAGCAATCTGATTGGTTGAGCGGTTCCTTATATGACGCTATATAAACTGCTCCACATGGTTTACATAAAATGTTCAAATAAAATGTTAATAAATGTTACTAAATTGTTATGATTTTAGAAATTTCTCTGTTGTTTAGCTCTGAAATTATACTAAAACAATTATTCGCCTCAGATTCGGGGAATATCGTCGAATAATCCCCTTGACTGTCTCGGGGATTATTCGACGATATTCACCTCGCCTTTGGCAAATAATAGTTAATTATTATATGCCCGTGTCTCACAAGGACTGGGAACTACTGAATTCATGAATTTGATTGGCTGAAATCAATATTGAAAGCAGTCTAGATTTTCCGGTCTAGAAAAAAAAGGTACAAAGAATATAAAAAATTGGCATATAAGACAGCCATATAATAAACATCTTGTTAACCAAGCTAGGTTGGTCTGTAGGGGAGAATCTTGACCTCGGTGGCTGGTACAGACCTCACTGCGTTTGTTCTGTACTCATGGGCGACCTCAGTCAAGATTCTTCCATACAGACCTCCCGCTTGGTTAATAAGAACTAAATAATGACTTATATTCACAGATTCCAGTATTCAACTGGTAATGACATGGTGGACCACTACAGACTTCTAACCCTTTGGAATTCCAGAAGTTTTTTTCCAGAGACTTTTCAAAGCAAACATCTCTATTTCAGACAGAAAGAGGCAGTATGAGACATTACTCTCTCACACCAGAACATAACTCAGTGATATCAAGTTTGGCTTCACCCTGTACAATTTGATTCCAAGTCCAGGGCCCGTAAGGATACCAGCCTCGCAGCTGACTGGGCCACCCTGGCTAAATAAAGTTGTCTTGTCTTGTCAAGTCCAGTGCTGTGAGCCGTTACTAAGTGTTCCACCTTGTATTACGTATAATTCTACAACTTTCAATATAAGATCTAGAGGCTTTCACTTACACTATTTTCCTTAGCTGATGATTCAAAGAAAGCTGCCTTCCAGGAATCAGCAAGGGATTTTCCATTTTCAGTTGGGACTTTCCTACAAAATGGACAAAAGTTAAGGTTAAAAACAATTTGGTATGAAATTCAGTTTGAAACACCTGCCTTATAAAAAATTGGATTATTTTTTACTCTTTTTGGGAGATTTGATGCTTTTCTATTCAGCACTGTCCCACTCCTAAAATGTAAGGTATACCAGCCTATACAATGTATTTGTACCTCTCCATGTGTAAATCAGTCTTGTTTCCAACCAGGACCATTGGTACACTAAGAAGAAAATACAAAAAAGTACACAAAAGTAAGCTTTTTCTTTTGTGTGAGTATGTTTGAGGGTTCATATAATCTTGTATTTCTAACGTTAACAGAGGGGGACATTGAGGTTTGCGGTGTTGTGGTGTTCACCCTTTTTTTTAAAACAGTATTGCAGTGAGCAACAACTTCCATTGCAGTGTTGCTGTGATCTCAAACCTTATGATGTCCGCCAGCTAAAGACCAGCGCATGATACACCTGAGTGAAACCAGACAGGTAAATTGTGAGACTTAGACTAGATCGTGTGTTGATGATATTTCTTGCAGTGATGCAGTGTTTGTTCTATTTTCTTTGCAGTGTTGCTGTATTCAGAAGCCCATGTCCCCTTGACACGTTAGGGAAGCCCGTGGGTTAATACCGACAGTCCTACTCACCGGTCACTAGCACCACAACCCTGGAGCAACTGGTAGTATTGGTACTACCCGTGGATGGGATACAAGTCCATTGCAGAAGTGTCTCAAGTATTTTGTTAGGTTTCCCTGACACTTTGTTTGAGCCTCTTAACCCAGAAAACAAATTCTTCACACCGTTCTCTACACATTTCTTAAAACACCAACAAGGAGAGTTGGTTTGAAAACCAAGAGCCTCTTTAGTTGGTGATCATTCTCACAACTCTAATGTTTGATTTAAAGGTGATACTCTAATGAGAAATGAGATGCTAGTCACTCTTAAGGATTTTGGGATTAACACAACTGAGTGTACCCCATGGCTAGATCATTCAAAACACCATCGAGCAAACCTGGAGTTATCTTGAGTTCATTTATTTAATATGTTTTAATGCTGTAACAATCAGTTTAATTGTTTGAATTTTGGTTTTATTGAAGATTTTTGGAACCTGCAAATAGCTTATTTTTTTTACGTACTAATCTTGGCCTGACATATCCAGTAGCTTCTCATGAATAACCTTGACAACTTCAAAACTGGAAGGAGAAGTAATGGCAAAAAAAAGGATCAACGGAATTTGACCTATTGGTAAATTCATCTGCCAGTCTCAGAGCAATTGAAAAAAAAAAAAGGGCTGAAACTAGCTCTAATAAAAATTAACTTTAGTTTGATTTCTTCAAGAAAACATCCACTGATGTTTTGAAATTCTCATTTAACTCCCAAGATCTCATTAGAAATTCTCTCTGCTGTCTGCCACACAATTCTTACAAAGTTCCTTTTATTAGCGAATTTGGTAAAGGATCAGCTTATAATCTCCTAATTAATATTTTTCTTTATTCTCACCACTTGTCTGCTTGATATTGTATTGATAATGTAAGAAGAAATTCTATCTTGGTCATTCATAGGAGTTAAAGGGATAAGAAACTTACCTTTTTGGTGATGTTACAGCATATACAAGCACGTAACCATGAATTCCAACTGAGTAGGACTGAGGGAAAATTGAGTACTCATCCTGGAGACAAGATAAATAAAAACATGACAGAGCTGAATAATAAAAAGCTATATCAGAGGAGATGCGGTCAACAATGCAGGCTCAAGTGTATAAGGTCTCAAATTTAGCGAAAATAGCAGAAATAATAAGGGCTGACATTTAAAACTGAGGCAGTTTGTTGTCATCAAAGGCATTTTCCTATTTCTAGAGCTTTTAAGGAGAAAATTAATTTAGGGGGTGTACAAAGTTTTTGGAGGTTGTTCTGCAAATTAAAGAAAAGTGGCAAGGAAAATGACACCTCAAAGCAACAGAAAAGGAAATCTACCATGCTAACAACTAAAAATCGGTTTTCCCTGGCAAAACTGAGCACATACACATACATTATTCAGCTCTTTCTAAAAACATATGATAAATATATATACACATACATACATACATACATACATACATACATACATACATACAGAGAGGCACTTTCAGAATAAATGAGAAACCTACTGTAAATCAGAAAAAATCTGAAATTCGGATTACACTTAGAGATTCAATTGAAACATAGCTGGACACATGGTTTGCTAACTGCAACCCTTCCTTATCAACCTTTTCTAAAGTTGCCATCTGTGGTCTAAAATCTTAATTGGATAACCAGAACTGGCCTGGATAGTGGTTGTTCAAGAGCAACAGAAAAATTTAATTAATTACGGCACATATAATTATAAGAGAGGGATATTGATGTAAGAGTTGCTGTCAATCAATCAAGAGGAAAAAAGAAAATTTAAATGAATTGTGATAAACCCATTAAAAGAAGTTAATTACGTAATATTGCAATCATCACTACAATCTAAGGATAAACCACAAATGAAAATGGTCATCTGTTCTTCAAATTAATGTATATGGTCCTTTTCAAGCTTGTTCATGGCACTCAATAGAGCCAATTTTTTTTGTTCATCTTGAACATCACTTTATGACTCCAGAAAATAAGTTGGAATATTATACTTTTTTTCTTCTCAAATTTTGTTTTGTAACAAGATAGAGGAATGATCTGTTCGTCTCCTCAAAAATGGTGCAATATGATTATCCCAGCAAATTTTCACGAAATATTTAGAGAGAACAATTTTTTTTTTCAGAAGATTTTTTTGTTTCATAACATTACAAACAGTTACAGTCATCCATAAGCTTTTACCTTATATATTTTCTAACTTTTACATGTTTTAATGAAAAGCACCTACAATAAATGACCTGGAAAAAGGCAGTTGTATAACAAAGGCCTCGAAGTTTCTAGATCATGGCAGTAGTAATTTTAAATCAGTACAATCCCCATGCATTGGACACGAAATTTTTCATATTTCCTATCACGTTTTTTTTCTTCATTGGAGCGAAATGGCAAAGGTTAAGTACTCAATGCACCATGTCATCATCACAAGCTAAATATGCATGTGCATAAATATTTTTTTTTTGTCACAAAGGTTACCAACCTTTGTAGCCTAGGTTTTAATTAACTGCAGAATGTATATTTACAATTTTTTTAAAAGATAAATTTAGACCCTGAGGGGAAAAAAACGGAAGCAGGCACAAGCAAAGACGTACACGTGATTTACATGAAAGAAAACAAATCGAGAAAATGTCTTTAAAACAATGCAACAAGAATCAAGAGTCCTTTCACAATAATATTTACCTGACCGGCTGTGTCCACAAGCTCCAACACATATTCTTGACTGTTATGCTTCACTCTCGTTGTAAAAGCTTTCAAAACAAAATAAATAAAAGGTATGGTTCTAATCTAGCTAAACCTGCTTCAGCTCGTTTGTTAATCATAAAGATATTAAAGGTCACTTTGGGACAGAGATAGATGAGCTATACTTACTATTCTCAATTGTTGGATCATAGGAATCCACGAATTGCCCTTCCACTAACTGGATCGTGATTGAAGACTTCCCTGAAAAGTTAAAAACAGCCCTGTAAATCGAAAAAAATCACAAACCGGGAAGAGGTTTCTAGCAACATCAAAGTCACGTTTCACATGAACAAAATTTACCAACAGAACGAAAGCCCATGATGACGATCTTCCTTGATTTTGGCGGAGCCATAGTTAATTACAAAGTTGATCTCTTCTTTTTAAGCGTTTTTTGGCAGGATTTTTAAATGAAAATACGCAACTATCCACTACATTTTGACTTCTCGCCGGTGAAACAGAGGAAATGCAGTCCCACAACACAATGCGAACGACCAAGGTAAAAGATTGGTCAGCGGTTGTGCCCATTGCCTGTAAAAAAATACGATATATTTCATGCAGGAGAGTGTTTCAGTTTGATCTTTAGAAGTAAAGTTTCAGTTTTCGGCTTCATCTTTTCGATCGTAGACAAGCGATTTGCAGCAGCTATAGGACAGATTTCTTTTGAGGTTTGCATGATTCAGTTTGAACCTATGATCTTTACTTCTCAATTTTAGTTGGGTTGGAATCTTACGTGTTCATTGATGATCGATTCATGACAGGGCCAAGTTTTCCTTTAAAAGGAAAATCTTTTAATTTGTTTGCCATGTAGCTCTTCCATTAATTGCTTTCCAATTTCATTGCTGTCACTTCCAGGGTTACTGAGATTTGAGACTGCGGGTTGATCAAACATTTTTTTCAAGTTTAAACAATTTTAAGCGTTTTTCTTCTTATTTAATTAGTTCTTAACAGCTGGATATGGACTCCACAACTCAACTTTGTCTTGTAATACTTTTTGTGACAACTTTTATGAATGAATCACGCGGTGCTAAGGATAAAGAGCTGTACTGTGGTGGTAAGTTTTACAAAATATATCCTTTCACTTCCCAAGATCTGAGAACCAACTCTCCCAACTCATGACCGTATCTTCATTATTTCACTATTGAGAATTTGTGGTTGTATCCAAGAGATATTAGATTTGCATAATTCTTGTCACCTATTTACTTGACAATGTGTTTTAATAATATACATGAAAATATTATGGATGTCTGACCGGCTGAAAACAACTACCTTTTTCATGTAACATGAGTGCAAAGTTGTGAAACAAGGGCAAAGTTGCACACGTGTGATGACAAAATTTTGTCCATTACCTATTCTAATTTTAACGAAATTTTTTGAGGCAAAGTTTAGAGGCTCTTTGTTACTCTGAATGACATGATACAGAAAACGAACCAGAAAAGATGTCAAGGGAAAGTTTAAGTTTTTTTTTTTATGATTGTTTACATGTACCTTAGTTTTGCCAGCCAAGCAAATTGTTAAGTTCTATGTTCCTGCATAAAGTTTATTACTATTAAAGCCAATGAAATGTATATCTTGATTAACATTTCTTCTGATAGTATGCCATATCATTGCTGATGAGCTTCAGTGGGAAATTTCTCAAGTTGATCCCAGAAAGACTTTAGAGGTAGGGTATTGAATCATGTCATTAGAAATGAGTTTAACCTATTGAGATCCAGTGTGCCCGTATGCGCCCATGGGGACCCACACCCTTTCTACACCTTGTGACTTCATGACTTTTAACCCTGGAGCACGACTTTGAGCACGTACTTGAACAGGTTGAAAATATCTTACAAATGATACCAGAATGAGTGCAATTGAGGGAAGGAGATTGGAGAAACAGCCAAAAAACCATGTAACTTTGACCTGAAAATCTGCACGAAAATCTTGTTCCATTACCCGCCTACTTTTCTGAGCATGTGCTTTGAAAATAATGAGTAGTGTCCTAAAAAATCTCTACACCAAAATGAAGCCTACTAAATTTCCAGCAAGTGAGGAGAAACTTCAGGCATAAGGAGAGGGGAAACAAAGGGCAGGAGAAAGAGAGAAAAGTAAAAGTCGTAAGTGGGGCACTACTTTTCAACCCAAAAACTACCTCGAAATTTAGCTTTCTGTGCATGCCCGAGATTTTCAGGCCACCATTTTGCATTTGGATCGAAAGGCCGTCGAGTGTACGAGCTGTCAAGGGGTTTTTGGTAAGTTTGAGCTCTTAAAACCACAACAGTGACTCGAAATCTGCTCGACTAGCTTCAAAACACAGTTTTCCAAAAAAGCTGCGGCCATTAATGGGTTAGAGGGGATTTCTTTTATTTTCTGGAATGATAAATCTTAATCTCATATGCATGCAGTCACCTATAATTTTAGTGTCATTTTTATTTTTTTTTACTGTGGTTGAATATATGTGTATCCCATGTGATATGTGACAATTTTATTACAGTGCCTGTTGGGTATTTTTCTGATAAATCACAGACTGTTATTATCTGAATGATTTTAGGTGGAGAGTTTTAGAGTGGATCCAAGAGGAAACCAAAAGACAAAAAAGGTCAAGTTGAAAGTTATTTTCTATCTGATTCAATACTTGTGACTAGTTATTATACTAGTTTGAAATTCAAATATTGTATGACCATTGTTTTAGACATTTATGGCCTAAGTGTGGTGTAAAGAAAAAAAGAGGAAGAGGATTTTTGCACAGGGAAAAAAGGAGTGAGCTCTTTTCAATTTATGTTCTTTTGTGCTACAGTAACTGTAAATTACAACTAGAACATGTAGAACAGGCTTAAAAGTGAGCTGCAATTGTCTCATGGAATACTTGTGTGTGCTTTTACAATTCAGATTCAATATGCAAGATCAGAGACTCATCTGATAGAACAGCTCGATAATATGTGTGAAAAAATGAATTCTTACGCTGAGTCAACTGATCCCAACACGGGAAAGAAGTCATACATCAGAACCACCTCACGATCTGGTGAGGCGGTCACACTCAGTAATGTGGCAATCAGTGGTGACATTGCTCAGAAGATCAAGTATGCAGTAAGTCACACTTGTTGATATTACCTTGTGACAAAGAATAGACAATTAGCAATTATTCCACTAGCGTGTGTTGGATATGAGATGATAGATAGCCAACTCGGCGCTACGGGCCTCGTTGGCTATAATCATCTCATATCCAACAAGCGCGAGTGGAATAATTGTTTTATTAAAAACACCCCCAAGATATTAGACAAATCTTACCAAATCTTAAATTTTTTAGCTCCCTTTTAATTTTAACCCAACGCGCACGCTTACCATATTTGTAGATTATGGTATATTGGCTCATATACCATAATGGCTAAGCCATTAAAAAGTCTTGAATTGCATTATCCAATGATCCAGTTTTTAATAATTGAACTTAGTACATGGATGCCCAATGTATAATCCTATTCTTCTGATCAGCTCTTCTACCTGATGCAGTGCATACTTGACACTCCAGGCTGGCATAAAGGCTTTTTGTCTGATGTTTTTCAATATAAATATGCATGGGGCACTATGGATCAAATGATAAATGTATTGATCCTAACATTGTGCTGGGTGTGTGTAGCAATGGCCTGGTGTGTAGCTCAGGGTAGAGGATTGGAGTGTGGAATCCAAAGGTCTGAGGTCTTATTCCTGGCAAGGGACTCAGACTTTCTTTTTATCCCATGTTCCTGAAAAGACGAATATCATCTTTCTTCATTTTATGATTGTGCATGATATTTATCTTCCTTCTTAAACTATTTTGGAGGATATATAGGGTGTCCTTAGAGTCAATGTGCTGGACCATGGATCTAGAGGTCCAGGTCTAGGTGGGTCATTGAAGTGTGTTCTCAATGCTGCCTCTCTCTACCCAAGAGAAGATGACTGTGTCTATTATTTTATTCAGAGCAATAGCTATTTTGATTGTGCATGTGAAACAGACTGATATGCAGTCTATTTGGAATCTTTTTCAGTGTGAGAGTATTATCGAAGACTATGATGATGATATTATAGCATCTTTCAAGAAAGAACGCAAGGATCCAAAGAAATATATGTGCCGCACAACCACTGGTAAAACAACATGATTTTCATTCACTTTCTTGTTCATACTGCTTCTTTCTGTGGTTACTTGATGATTTTGACTAGTTTTCAATTGTGCTAAAAATTTAACAGGCATTGCAATCCATTCTTTTTGTAACGAACCTTTACAGCTTTATCATAGCTAGTTCTGGTAATTGTTAGTAAAGGCAAGCTTGAAATGACCGCAGCCCAGATAGCCCAATGGATAGTGCGCTGGACTGTTGTGTGGGAGGTCAAGGGTTCGAGCCCTGGCTGGACCAACACTCAAGGTCTTAAAATAATTGAGAAGGATTTGCTACCTTTCTACAATGAATAAATGAGGTCCCGTCTCCTGCAGGGTTGGGGGTAGGAGACATTAATTTCCCACGCACAAGATTACTGTGTGATGGATGTCCTCCCCTGGGGTGGGAAGGTGAGGGCCGTATGTTAGAAAACTGTATAAGTTAATATGTTACCCTCGTTAAATAAAGATGTATGTATGTATGTATGTATGTAATGTATGATTTTCTTGCAGGTTTATGCATTGATGATGATGACGAGTATGATGATAGTGACGATGAAAATGAGACTGACAATGAGCCCACAGAAACTGACCATGATGAACTTTGACTATACTTAACAGTGTAATAGGAAAAATTACCTTTTGCACATAGAATTATCATGCAAAGTTAGTAGGTACTTGTATCAAAAGTGTATCATTTATGAATTTCCATTAAAATGGCAATAAGATTCTTTTAATTTTGGCCGACAAGTGTATATTAAGTCTTTGATTTCAAGTGATCTGCACAACCATGAGTTGCATGACCAGGGCACTGGGGAGAGGATGGGAAGAGGATATGCAAATTGTAATTGCAATTGTTGGGAACCCAGCTCATAGCACATGCTTTATGCAGTTGCAAAAAGCAATTTTCTCTATTTAAAACAAATTTTAGAATCCCAAAGATTCTGTCTGAAAGTGCTAGTTGTGAGTGGATGAGGTTGATTAACCTCAACTTTTGACTCACAACTCTTTGTATTGAGAAAGGTGACGCAATACACAGATTTTGGATCGCACAAAGTTACAGTTATTCTCTTCTTGCGCATACCCATCATGCCTTGCGCCTTGGGGGTAACCTGGATGAAAAAAATGGCGTCTTGTGCTTCGAAAAGTAAGCCTTGCCTGAAATATCCAAAAACCTACAAAGAAGTCTCCGGTTCAACAAAACCAAAACTAAAAGAGCTCCGTAGAGCTTTAACAATTGATTTTGAAAAGTCAATTGGAAAAANGGGAAGTTTCGACGTGGCGGCATTTTGCTTTCTCTTTTGTGTTGTGACTGTTTTAAAAAGCGCATAAGATATTTCAGGTCCTTCTGGCTAACAAAGGAAATCGATCAGAAAGCGACAACATGTAGCGATCTTTCTTGTCCTGTCAAGAAAGATGCAGTTTGCCTTGCGAAAGTGATGACGCAGGAATATTGGCAGCTGAAGGCTTTTGAAATTCCCCGCAGTATATATACCTTCCTTGGTCATGTAACTCACTAAATGGTCTTCAAAGCGACCCTTTGCCTCTATTTTAAGTTAGATAGTGGTTAGTCTTCTTATATACCTACCTTGAAATTCAAGTTTTTTGACGATACACAAATGATGGGGCTGATTAGCGTAATGATTAATACATCGGAAATGCGCAATAACTTTTATTCTAATTCTGCATGCGTGGTTTAGTTGGACAGCGGTTTCCTATACTAGTGTACGCGAAAGCGAGGCATCGGGTCAAGCTTTCTCGAATATTACACGAGTTGTGAAGTCAATTTCAGAATGAACGTTGAAAATTTTGAATTATTTCCAAAATCAGTGTTTATATCTGCCGAAGGGTAAGTGAAAATATGAAGCAGTAGGTGTCCTCGTGACATTGCGAAAGGAGGGCTGAAGGAATGGCTGTGTTAAAACTCGTGATATTCCTCTTATTCTCTTCTTGCGCATACCCATAATGCCTTGCGCCTTGGGGGGTAACCTGGATGAAAAAAATGGCGTCTTGTGCTTCGAAAAGTAAGCCTTGCCTGAAATATCCAAAAACCTACAAAGAAGTCTCTGGTTCAACAAAACCAAAACTAAAAGAGCTCTGTAGAGCTTTAACAATTGATTTTGAAAAGTCAATTGGAAAAAAAGCACTCGTAAATGTCGTTTGCAATGCTTTGAACATATCGACTTCTGGCTCTGTCAAGAGTAAACATGACACAGTCACTACGAAAAAAACTGATATTCCATCGCTTGCATGCCTACAAAAGCTGAAAGACTGGCAGAAAAGCTTAAAAGGAGTCCCTCTGATGATGGAGGAGTGGATTGTAAAGAATTCTTGATAGGATCTGATAGCTGACTTTTACTAAACCTCGTTCCCAGGGTCTCTCATCTTTTCACCCATGACGGAATCGCGCCCATTGAGGGGTGACGCTATATCGAAGGCGGTCGTCGAGGGTAAGAGTAAACAGTAATTTTGGTCAGCGGGCAAATTATGAAACCCGCAAATATTGCGAAATCTCGCGAAAGGATGACATTTAAGTCACTTCAGTAAGTAAGCGGTCACAGCTTGTTTCCAAACTGCATATCCTTTAATCTTGCTAAGCATCGGGTTTGATCCTGATATAGAGTTAAGAGTCAAAGTATGAGACCTGACTTAATAAAAAAGAAGACATATTTTTAAGTGAATGATAATGAAAGACATGTTTCGTCCGCTGTAAGAGAGATATCAACGTTTGTTTCACGGTGTGCCAGGACGACGATGGAGAAGATTGGCTGGGATAAGATAGTTGTCGCCAGTACTTCCACGCAAGTTGCATCAAAGTGCATTTCTCAGACTCTCTCTAGCTATTTTGTAGGATTAGTTGCGGATTAGTGACGAAAATTGATAGTGGAGAATACTCTTCCCAGTGTGGGACTGGCTCAAGACTAAGCTAGGCTGTGTACAATTCCTGAAATTCCCGTTATTTCACGAATTATTTGACGCTTAAGTGTTGACTGTAGTCACGGCGCCTCACCTTTGTTTTACATTCACGTCCTTTGTTCACTGTTTTCCGTTTTCAGTTATTCCGTGTATATTTGTTATTTTATCAAGTTTGCCAGTCACTTAGGTTACGTCACATTTCATATTTTCGTGTTCATTTTTTAAGCATTGTTTCTATTGTTTGGTATAGCTTCTTCTGCCGTAGTTTTCTCGTCGTCGTTGTCATTATGTTTTAGTCGTCGTAGTCGCCACATAATCTTGTAAGTTTCGTTATTTTGTCCTTCATTTTGCCTGTTTTATTTGTATTTCGTTTTGCTTTCCTGTTCTGTATATTTAACTTGTTTATGGGTATATTGGCTTTTAGCGAATCGCCAGTAAATAGTGCGAATTTCGGATTTGTGGATTTCGACTACATTGACAAGTTTTTCGTATTACGTAAGTGAAAAGTTGACTCGACGCTGCAAGGAGTACCTCTCTCAAAATTTACTCTTGAAGAGTCGAAGTTACCGTCCAAAATTCAAACGTTCCTGTTAGGTTTATTGGCGCATTGATAACCTTGCAAATAGCTCAAACATAATAAAAAAAATTTTCATTAGTTTTTGTATATCTTTATCCTTTGTTCAGTACGATATTACGCATTTCAGGTTTGAACTTTTCCTGGGGAACAAGTGCTACAGCTTACACGACATATTTCAAATTTGACCGCTGTACTATAAACTTGTGTGTTCGACCCTCAACGAACGCCTTCGATATAGCGTCACCATTCAAAAGCGTCGCCCGGGAAAAGTGGGGTATCCATGATGCTTTGCAGGCGGAATGAGGTTGCAAAAGCTCACCGCCAGCTTCGGTCTCTTAAACAAGAAGGCGCGCTATATAAGGAAGTCTTCCCTGGGAAGACCTAGGCTCATTCTCATTTGAATTGACGAATTCCCAAACAGGAGTTGTAAAATCTCGCTTTGCGTCCGCTCAGAGACAATCGAGAGACAATTGAAGCAATTAGTATTGTTTGAAGGTGATGAAACGAAGTGTTGTTATGGTAAAGCTGAGTTGGAACTGAGCGTGTACAAACGTGGAGCAGGAATTTACAACGAAAATTAAGCTTTTCGAAAAGTAAAATAGACTTTCCCGACGTGTTAAGTGAAACTGACAGCAATAACGGGCTAAAAAGGAATATTTCTGTAATGTTATTTTGCTTTCATGGCGAAATTGATGGTCGAACCTCGTAAATCTGCCGCATTTCAGTCTTAACGTATTTATTCGTCTATGAGCCGAACTCAGCCATAAGCCGAGACCCTAAACCTCGGTCTGCTTTAATCGGGAAGGTTCTTAAAACATGTGAATTGAAAATACACGGTTATAAGCCGAGACCATATTCAAGAATTCCATTCTCGAAAAAACTGAAATGAACGCAAAAGTTTCGAAACAGAAAAGTGTTTCAGTGCAGTATTGCCGTCGAAACCAATTCCGAGAAAACCAGAGAGTACGTCATCGGTAAGTCTATGGTCCGCCGTAGGAGGAAAGATTAAGAGAACCTCTTTAATGGAGAGCTCAAGATGTCAGCGAAACGCATAACGATGGGCCGTTGCAATCCGAAATATCCGCGGCTGGATGAGAGATTACTTGACTAGTTTACAGGGCAGGGAAGCTAAGGTAAGTTTTCTTGTTACGTATCGCAGATTTCAACACCGTAATATGTGACTAGTTTGTTTACCAATCGTGGGATTGGGCAATTCTGGTTGGTCAGTTTCGAAATTCTTAAAACACTTTCGCGAGATCTACACCTGCAGAATTTTTAACACTCTAGAGGGCACTGAAGATGAATCAATCTACTCGGAAGAAACAACAGAACTAGCGGATGAGGAGGAAATGGACGACGAATTCGACGCCGACACCAAGGACAAACAGTAAGCCGTATTTACTACGCGCCGAAAACAAGAAATCGCTCCTTTGAATCCCACCACATAAATAAAGCAACAATTTCCATAAAATCCTCTACAATACAAAATATTAACAGCGTATAAAACGATGAAAAATAACTCACTTTCGGCTCACATCTACTCCTTTTTTTTTTCAAAACGTCTGGAAAACTATAAATAACGGAGTCAAATCTGAACAGATTCAAAGTCTAATAATCTGATAAGTAAAAGCATATCTAAAACTACACATAAAAGAGAAAGGTGAATGGCAAATCTAGAACCCTAAATACAAGGCTGCTAAAAATCATTAAACAATGTCAATGGCTCCCTCGACAACTTCAACTTGTTTTGTTAATTTATTTCTGCATGCAATATCTCCGCTTATAGACAAATACATCTATGTTTCCTTTCAATTTGCTGTTTCGAAAAAAACTATGTATGGAAAAACACTCAGCTATAAGCAGAGAACCCTTCTCTAGCTCAAATTTTCGAGATTTTAGTAACGATTTATGAAAAAATTCGCTCGACTTGGATAAATAATTTTACATGTGATCGATTTTTTAACAATATCGCCTAATCAAGATTACGGCTATTTTTCGATGAATAGCGCTGTGTTTCGGTTGTCTGAGCAAGAACGAATACTTGCGAACACGGTGTACACGGGGGATTACATGATTGACAGTCAGATTGACAGGCCTGCATGAGGTTACGCATGCTCTCTTTCTCATCTCTAGCTTATTTGCATTTTCCCGTGCGACGTTTTTCAATGGGCGCGTTAGTTAGAGGAAATAGCAAAACAAGAAACGTAACATTAAGAACATTATATAGAGGCTATTTTATTGATAATTTTTCGCGTCGTCAACTTCTTGAGAAAACCAATGGGATAAGCGCACTAATCCTTACATTTGTGGTCATGTTTGCGCCTCTTACTCACTAGATATCCATCATGCGATGGAATTGTTACGACTGTGTTTTGATTAATGTCCGTTATATTTTGACGGAGGAGAGTGAAAAGACTTCGAGTACTTAGGATCAGCCAAAATGAGACTTAGTACGTAGATATTCTGGGCATTGCCCCTGTATCACATTTAAAAATAAGACATAGGCTGTTAACGTTCATTTCATGTATCGTAAAAAGGCATCCAGTTTAGTTTACTGGGGAAATGGAAACAAGAGATGAAGTTTTAAAGCGAAATGGAACCAAACACCACAAGAGGTCCAAGAGGAAACTCTCAGGAGAGAAACTACCTGATGACGATGAAAGATGTCGTAGAAGCTGGGCTGCGCCGCACGACTGGTTGTTCTAAGTTGTTGTCACAGTGCTCGCGGAGAGGTCATGGTCGATAGTGTGGTCGGTACCGCCCGAGCCCTGTGGGGTACTGGGTACTGGTGGTAGGTCTGCTGTTATGAAGTTGTGGGCGATTGACGACGAGGGAACCTTGGAATTCATGAGTTTCTTCTACGATGCTCTTGCTCAAGGTAAGAGTATAAGTGAAGCTCTCAATCAGGCCATGAAGTGCATGAGAGAAATTGAAAAGTTCACTGAGGAGGTGAAGTATTAGGCACTATTTGTATGGCGCGTTTTTAGTGTCAAAATTCAAAACCTCGTGTCAGGCTTGCTATTTTTCTATTTAAACTTCTTGTTTGACAATTCAGATACGCCATTTGTCTACTGAAACATCTATTGTTTCAATTTAAAGCAATTATTCTTCGATTCAGTCATGCTGTTTTTCTATTCAAACGTGCAATCCTTCGTTGTAAAAATGTTTTTCTGCTACCCAAACATTCAGTCGTCTAATTCAAACATGCTATTGTGCATTTCAAATTTTCAATCTCGCAGTTCAAAATAGTCAGTTCCGCAAGTAAAAATGCTATCCTTCTATTCCAATATGCAATTCTAATNCCGGCCCGGCCATGCATGCGTATTGGGAAGAAAGGCGAGGAAAAACAATACGACCCTTATAGCAGGAACAGTAGAATGGTGGAACGGTCGAACGGTAGGTTGGCGGAAAATGATCCCAACTCCTAAAACATGGCGCGGTGGAAAATGGCCCCAAATCCTAAAACACGGAACGGATGTCAGGGCATGTTGCGCGAATTTTGTACATAGACACTCAAGCGCTTGGCTCATTCATCCTGCATCCCCCGTTACGAGCCCTTCAATACGAGCGTTTCTTCGCCCACGAATAAGTCGAATCGAAGAAATATTGCTTTGAATTGAAACAATGGATGTTTCAGTAAACAAATAGCGTATCTGAATTGTCAAACAAGAAGTTTGAATAGAAAAATAGCAAGTCTGACCATAGTTAGTAGGTTCCCCTCTACTAACTATGGTCTGACACGAGGTTTTGAATTTTGACACTAAAAACGCGATATACTATTTGTACTCATGACGTCAGCCTAGATTCCAAAGAAATTTCGATTCTTAATCATGTGATTACCCTATCTCATTCGATTAATTTGTATATATTTCAACAATACTACTGAAGGACAACATTTTTTTCATAACATTTATTCAATAACAAGTGAATTAAATCAATTTTTTTCTTGGAGCAACTTCAGAATATCCGTCCACATCATTTACATATGTCGGGAGGCGTTGATAAATGAGGTATAACACAATAGACGCTATTCGTATTCAATGACTTGTAATTGATATGGCCTTTGACAATACGAAAAAACATCTTTCTCTATTTCTTTACCAAACTCAAAATTCTTAGCTGACTACGTGACCTTTTAAGATCCACAGATCTTATGTTTTTTCGTCTCCAACGTTACCTGACCCTTCACTGACCTCCAAACAAAGGACCTGCCTTAAGCTACAGAAATATGTTTACTCAAAGCAGCCAATGATTTTGCTCCAAGAATGTTTGCACCCACACCCTCACCTGACCGATTGTGCTTTGCTGTTGTGTCGCTGTCGCTAATCGCTTAGGTTTTGTACGACAGAAGCACAGCAATTTTCCACGTTACATGCGAGGAAATTTGAGTTTAAAACATTATGAAGGGTATTATTTCTTTCGTGTCCTTGATGCTATCCCTGGGGACTTCTCAAGCCTCTGACAACGAATTCAAATACGGAAAATTTCCTGATGGTTTTTTATGGGGCGCTGCCACTGCTGCATATCAAATAGAAGGCGCCTGGAACAAGGATGGAAAAGGACCGAGCATATATGATATCATCACCCACACCGTGCCTACTTTGTTCCATAACAAGACCGGAGATGTGGCGTGCGACAGCTATAACAAGTACAGGGAAGATGTCAAAATACTGAAGGAATACGGAGCCAAAGCGTATCGCTTTTCTATTGCTTGGAGTCGTGTGCTTCCCAATGGGACAACTGATCATGTCAACAAAGCCGGTGTCGAGTATTACAAAACACTCATCGATGAACTAAGACGAAACAATATCGAACCGCTTGTGACGTTGTATCACTGGGATCTGCCCGAAGTCTTTCGACCGATCGGCGGTTGGACCAATCAAAGCATGATAGACTATTTTCACGACTACGCTCGATTCTGTTTCGAAACATTCGGCGACCAAGTTAAGTACTGGATCACGCTAAACGAACCCGCGATCGTCATGTTACGTCATCCTCTGTACATGTATGGGGAAATTAGGAATAAAACTAAGTTATCGATTCTTCGGTATCGCACGGCTCACAATCAAATTCTTGGTCACGCTAAGGTTTATCGGACGTATGAGAAGAATTATCAAGCAAAGCAGGGTGGAAAAGTGACGCTGTCCTTGAGTTCTGGTTGGGCAGTTCCCAAAACTGACTCTGTCCGAGACAAGGACGCCGCTGACCGCTATATGCAATTTCATCTCGGCATCTTCGCACATCCCATATTTGTGAATGGAGATTACCCGGATGTCGTTAAAGACGTTGTGAGAAATCGCAGCGCGGCTGCTGGGATTCCTAGCCGTCTGCCCAGCTTCACAGAGGAGGAGAAAAACACAGTAAAAGGAAGTTACGATTTGTTTGGAATAAACCACTACTCCACTGATAAAGTGGAAGACAAACCCTCAGGCGATGAGCCGTCAACTAGCGGTGATGAGTCGCTCTCGAAGAGCGGCGATCCTGCGTGGCCTGATTGGTACAATGGTCATGTAGCTCCCTTTGGATTCCGCAAGCTGCTTAAGTACATCAAAGATAATTACAATAATCCAACCATTATCGTCACTGAAAACGGAGTAGCACCGCCTGGTGAAGCCAGCAAAACCGGTCAAAACCGATTGAACGACACTTTCAGAGTGGATTATCATAGAAGGTACCAACAGCGCTTGTCACGGGGTTTCCCTTTCTCCCTTCTTCTAATTATCCCTTCTTTCAAAGTGGTACATTTTATGGATCAGTACACATTTTCTGAAAGTTTTATTGATAGAACTAACAAACAAAACAAAGCACAAACAAATACAAGCACAGAAAGAAAGCTTAAAAATGGTATCAAACAATTATTTAATTACTAGAGTAACACCATGAGCTCTGTGAGCCTATGGGAAGAGAGAAGATAAGAAGGGAGGCGACAGCTAGCCTCAACCTTTAACTCCAATACGTGACCAGGACAGAATTTCTCCTCATAATATTAATACAATATCAAGTAGGCAAGGGATGAGAATAAAGCAAAATACCAATAAGAGGATTATTATTTGCATGATCCAATGCCAAATTCTCCAAACTCACATCGCGTAAATTGGACGGAAGACGGTAGGGAGAATTATGGATAAGAACTTGGGAGTGAAAGAGATTAAGGGTTTAGCGTACTGGCATCCATTTAAAATTGTGAACGAAAGCGAGTACTCAGAATCTAAACACCAAGCTTTTCATAACCCAAAAATCATTAGTTGTTGATTCATCTTCTTACTACTGACAACAGTCAGTTTTTGGGAGCTACGACATTTTGTAAAAAAAAATTTAATGGAGGGCTGAATCCCCGTCAGGTGACGCTTTGCACTGGCATCCAATTAAAATGTTGAACTCAACAGAGTACTCTGTATCTAATTACCAAGCTTCTATTAATCTGAAAAAAATATTAGTAATTGATTCGTCTTCTTACCACTGACAACAACGAGTTTTTAGGGGCTACGACATTTTTGTGAAAACGTTAATTGAGGACTGAGTTCCCGTCAGGTGACGGGTTGTAAGTAATCACGCACAAAGGATATTAATATCGCCTACAACTATGTTATATTGCAGATACATCAACGAGATGTTGAAAGCGATCCTTGATGATGGAGTAAAAATGAAGGGATACATGGCATGGACCTTGATGGATAACTTTGAATGGCAAAATGCTTACACTACCCCTTACGGGCTCCATTTCATCGATTTTGAAAACGACCTTAACTTGACCCGAGTCCCTAAGAAGTCGGTTGGTTTCTTCAAAAAACTGATAGCGGATAATGGTTTTCCTGATCCAAATCCAGAATCTGCCGGATCAATTGTGCTAGCAAACATTTCTATAATTTTTGTATTGATCGTTTTGTTATACTGATTCAGTCTACCTCCTTGAAGAGCATTCATGGATCAAGTGATCACTCTCGTTTCTCTTATTAAACTGTATTTTATCCAATAATAACAATAGTTTATTTATAATTTATAATTTATAATTTATAATTTATAATTTTTGTATTGATCGTTTTGTTATACTGATTCAGTCTACCTCCTTGAAGAGCATTCATGGATCAAGTGATCACTCTCATCTCTCTTATTAAACTGTATTTCATCCAATAATAACAATAGTATATTTACCGTACAACAATCGTAATTAGTTATTTTACTTTTACGTAGAAGAGTAGATTAACGACACGATTAATTAATGGGAAGTTTCTTAATTAAAGTGGTAACGCTATGTAAGGCAATGTGACGGTATGTAACGCAATGCACAACACTCCTCCTACTCCCTGAGTTTAGCTACAGGTAACTATGCATTCCCCACTTAGCAAACTGGGGTGATGAGGATGGAGATGTGTCAACGCTAGTGGCTGTTATCGACAGGGCTGATAATGAAATGCTACGTTAAAGGGTATGCGGTCAACAACGCGGGCTCAAGCGTTCTAGGTCTAAAATTTAGCGAAATTGGGGCACGTAATTCATGGCAGTCTCCATATAGACTCCCTGATATGTTATGTTTCCCATGTATACCCTGTGTATACCCATGTCTACCCTGTATACCTTGTATACCCATGTATACCCTGTATACCCATGTATACCCTGTATACCCAGTATACCTTGTATACTCTGTATACCCTGAGTACCCATAGATACCCTGTATACCCATGTATACCCTGTATACCCATGTACACCCTGTATACCCAGTATACCTTGTATACTCTGTATACCCTGTGTACCCATATATACCCTGTGTACCCATGTATACCCTGTGTACCCAGTATACCTTGTATACCCTGTATACCCTGTATACCCATGTATACCCTGTGTACCCATATATACTCTGTATACCCACGTATACCCTGTGTACCCATATATACCCCGTGTACCCATGTTAACCAACTATACCCATATATACTCTGTATACCCTGTGCGTATACACAGGTATACCCTGTATACCCATATATACCTTGTGTACCCATATATACCCTGTGTACCCATGTTAACCCACCATACCCATGGATACTCTGTATACCCTGTATACACAGGTATACTCTGTATACCCATATATACCCTGTGTACCCATATATACCCTGTGTACCCAGGTATACCCTGTATACCCATATATACCCTGAGTACCCATATATACCCTGTGTACCCATGCATACCCTGTATACCCTGTATATCCAGGTATACCCAGTATACCAATGTAAACCCACTATACCCATGTATACTCTGTTTTCCCTGTATACACAGGTATACCCTGTGTACCCATGTATACCCTGTGTACCCTGTATATCCATGTATACCCAGTATACCTATGTATACCAAGTATACCCATGTATACCCATTATACCCTGTATACCCATTATACCCTGTGTTCCCATGTATAATCAGAGAATGTTTAGAAATACATTTGATAATAAAAATTAACGGTAAAAAACTACGACGTTTCGAAGTCTGCATGACCTCATTATCAAGTAAAATGTTAAAACTGATGTAAAATTGTAGCTCAGAGATTATATACAAATAAAATGTGATAACTTCATTAGAATAATGAGCGTTCATTGTTATTGGTGTTTAGCATGTCAGATCGTGCAGTATATGTTTAAATAAATACTTTTGCACGTATTGAGTCAGACTGCGTGTTTAGCTTTGGTTTTTGTTCGCGAATGAATAGCATTTCGTGAATTAGGCAGTCCATTTTTCCGCGGCATTTCTTGAGAACGGAAAACATTTCCTCTAGGCTAGTGGTTTGTCGCAAAGGTTCCCGGCTTGCTCACCTTTATGGTCTTCCAAAGACTCACAAACAGCAACTATCAATGCGACCGATACTATCATCGACTGGGACCTACAACTTCGCCCTGGCCAAGTGGCTTGAAGAGAAGCTTAAGCCCCTTTCATTAAATCAGCACACTATCTGCGATATCTTCTCCTTCGCCGAAGTGATAAGGGAAACACCACTCAACCCGAATGACATTCTCGTGTCGTATGACGTATGTGCTTTATTTACCAACGTGCCACTCGACGAGACTATTGAGATCATCGCTGAAAAAGCCTTTAAAAACAACTGGTTTAATGAAACGCATGGTCTCAACCTCACAAAGACAGGTCTTACCGAACTTTTAAGAATAGCAACCAAAGATCAGCTATTTCAGTTCGACGGTCAACTTTATGAGCAGGTGGACGGTGTGGCCATGGGCTCGCCCCTGGGACCCCTTATGGCAAACGTTTTCCTGTGCTCCATTGAAGAACAACTGGATCGCAACAACAAGTTACCAAGTTTCTACAAAAGGTACGTCGATGACACATTAGCCACGATGCCAAATATTCAAGCCGCAACAGCTTTCCTTTCAACATTGAACGAATGCCATCCTGCCATACAGTTCACAATGGAAATTGCTGAAAACAACAAGCTTCCATTCCTCGGTATGATGATTGAGAAAAACGGTTGCCACCTGACAACAAGCGTATATCATAAACCAACTGATACAGGACTGCTCTTACATTACCAGAGCCATGTCGATCAGCGTTACAAAAGATCTCTGCTGAATACAATGCTGAACCGAGCTTACCGCCTGTCATCAACGAAAGAATCTTTTACGAAGGAATGCCAGCATCTCAAGCGGATGTTTACTAAGCTTAAGTACCCAGTGAAACTCATCAACTCAGCTATCGCCTGGTACACGAGTTCTACGATCCAAAGCCGTCACGAAACCCCAACTGAACTTGACGCGGCTACACAAAAACCTGTCAGAATAACTTTACCATTTAAAGACCAAAAATCGGCCGACACAGTAAGACATCAGCTGAAAGATCTTGGCCGGAAAATCGGAACTGACCTACAACCAGTTTTCACGAGTCGTAAGATCGAGGGAAAGCTCAAGATACAAGAAGAGAAGCCCGCTTTAATTAACCACCAATGCGTTGTTTACACTTTTAAATGTGATTCGTGCGATGCGGATTATATCGGTTATACCACACGCCATCTTCATCAACGCATAGAAGAACATAAAGCCTCTGTCATTGGCAAGCATCTGAAAGAAGCCCACAGTGTAGCGTCCACTAGCCTAGAGGAAATGTTTTCCGTTCTCAAGAAATGCCGCGGAAAAATGGACTGCCTAATTCACGAAATGCTATTCATTCGCGAACAAAAACCAAAGCTAAACACGCAGTCTGACTCAATACGTGCAAAAGTATTTATTTAAACATATACTGCACGATCTGACATGCTAAACACCAATAACAATGAACGCTCATTATTCTAATGAAGTTATCACATTTTATTTGTATATAATCTCTGAGCTACAATTTTACATCAGTTTTAACATTTTACTTGATAATGAGGTCATGCAGACTTCGAAACGTCGTAGTTTTTTACCGTTAATTTTTATTATCAAATGTATTCCCATGTATACCCTGTAAAAAGGCAGCATAGAGCAGCATCTAAATTCTCCATACAATTATACAATTACATAACATCACGAGAATAAAGAAAGTAATCGTCAACCCAAGAAGCTTTGATTGTTAAACAAATTCTCCTTGTGAGTACCTAAGAACATGTTAAGAGAACAGTATGGAAAATATGTATGCTGATGATACTAATAGCTGAAGGGGAGAATATTGCCAATCAGATCTCTTGATTTTTTAATCTAAGGGTTATTACTTGATTTTTTAAAGCTGTTCTTCAAAAGCGCTTTTCAAATAATGATAGCTATAGCTGGTCAAGGTAAGGTAACCTTAACGTTTTGTTCCAGGGAGAGAACTTTATCTTACTTAGCAAGTTACTTCCTAAGGAATCGTGACGCCATAAAGTAACTTCTTTAAAAGAGAGTATTCTGCAAATGGATGGTTATTTGTAGTTTAAAATCACAATTATCCCCTCCAGATTAACAATTTTCTAACCCAGAAATGTTTAGTGACCCTCTGAGCCCAAGAAGGGACTAATATCTAACATTTCTTTACAATTTGACATCTGAATCACACACTAAGTTAAGGCCGCGTGAATAAAGGAAATGATACCCAACTAGAGAATGGTAGACCACAACCAGTCTCTCCTTTTCGGCTAAGTCCATTGCGCGAGTCAAAAAAATATGTAAGTGAAAAAAAAAAGGCCAAAAAAAACAATGAAATCGCAGGTCGCCCACTAGTGTCCAAAATCAAAAATTAATCACCACTGTCCAAAATCACAAATCAGATACTAGCGTCCAACTCGCGAACCAGCCGCAGTGTCTAAAATCGAACATCGGCCACTAAGGTCCAAAATCCAAAATCAACCATTCATGACCAAAATCACAAATCTGCAACATATGTTTGAAATCGCAGATCAGTCACTATTGAAAAAAATCGCAAATCGGCCATAAGTGACCAAAATCGAAGGAATACACACACGTACTTATGCACACAAGCATGTACGCACATACGAAACAAACAATTGCAAATCGCAAATCGGCCACTAGTAAGCAAAATCGCAAATCGGCACGCACGCACTTACGCATGTACGCACACACGCACCTACGTTTTTACGCACTTACACACGTACACATGCATGTACGCACGCACATACGCACGGACCTCATCTAAGCACCAATGCACGCACTTACGCACGTACATGAGTACGCACGCACTCAATCAAAGTCTAGAAGAATGGAGCATAGCAAAATTTGCTTTGTCAGTGAGGAGTAGTTCCCTGCTGAATTATTTTGCGATTTGAGACCCGTGCTGCTTCAACTTTCTTAGCTGTGGTACTATTAATCACTTCAGTCGAGATGAGGCTAACAATATAGTTCACTGAATCATTCAGTCGAAGAGTTTGTGCAAATAAAATTTTCATTAGCTAAATATTTATTCTCTGGCTATGCTTTAAATGTGGTACAAAATATTGAATAAAATCTGATCAATTACAAAATACCTTGATGTATGACAAAATAATTTCGGTGGTGAGAACATTATCGTCTGCAGCTCGAATGCAACTTTTTTTACCATATTTTTGGCGTCACTTACATATGATCTGTTACTTAATAGATGCATAACTAAATGAAATACCTTTGTTGTTGTACAAAAATGGAGGATATTAAATTGAGATGCATAAAAATATACTTTGGAACCAACATTAACTTTCTATCAATATGGTATGAATAATAAAACTCTGAATAAAATGAAAAAACCGTTCAACTGAAATCCTAGGCTCCGAGATTGATAGCATCTAATATTTCCTTAAAATATCATTCCTGAATTCCACATTAAGGTCCCAGGAATAAAGGAAAAGATCAACGACTGAAGAAACTGTTTATTTTTAAACAAATTCTCCTTGTCAGCCACGTAGAAAATGTATATAGAAATAGTATCGAGAATATTCTTATTAATATTAAGGTATAAAGCCTAAGTATCAATACACAATGCAGAAAATAAAAAACAGGGATAATATGTCGACGACGGTTGTACTACACTATCAAATTTTCAGTTCAAAAAATGTTTCATTTGTACGGCATGAACATGAGGAACCAGTTTCGAATTAATATTCACCATTGAAATTATATTTGTTATCTTAAAGCAACTTTTTTGCAGAGTCTTGATTGAGATTTTAAATATCTTCAGCACCTTTGTTCATATCGAATTTAAAGGCGTTGAGAAAGAGTGGCAGCATTCATGTTTTTGAATGGACCAGCCTAGCTGCGCTCCAGAGAGAGAGGGTCGGGGTGAACGAAGGGGAGGGGAGAGGGGGAGGGGAGGGGGTATGTGGAGGGCCTCGCACCTGTGGGTTTTTTACTGCCTTGCAATGACAGTATCACACAGTACGTGTCTTGAAATATCTCTTAACTTATTGAGGCTCGTATTTGTTTTTACTAAAAAGGAAGTAATAAAATACGTTTTCTGAATCACATTTCTGACCCCCTCACCCCCTCCCCTCATAAGAGTCTCCTTCGTCCACCCCTTAAGCCATACAATAAGAGACTCGTTACTGACTAACAAGTCAAAGTACGAGGAGAGGCACATGATTAAGTCCATTTAAAATGTTCATAAAACTCTGTATATAATTTATATATTCTCATCTAATTTCGTATTTATCGCCTAGTGTGGAAACCACCGGCGAATTGTCTGGTAATATTTCAGTACCAAGTGGTTTGTTCAGACTTATGTCACCCAAAATTCCTTTCAGGGGCCCATCTGGAACGTGAGGGTCTGGGGCAGCAGTCGATTCTAGTTCCCCAGCAGATATCATTGACTGGGAGTCTCCCAGAACCTCATGGCACGGGTCTGCGACAAAACTTCGTTCTGATGATGACGGTAAAAGGATCTGAGCAGCTGAGTGGAGCCTAGAGTCTTCAGAACCGTGAGCAGCTGGCCTCCTTAAAAACTCCCGTTCAGAAGCTGATGGAGCTAAGCCCCAGGCGGCATGCGCGGGAGATTTGGTGGTTGGGTGCTGGGAGTCTGCCGAATGAGCTTCCCGCCCTCGGACGGGTGGATCTAGGCCCAAAGACAGCCCCTCCTCACCAGGATATACTGCAGAACTTCTGAAAAGGCCTTTAGTCTTGCGGCGATGAGATTTCTTGCCTTTCCTACTCACCTCTAGTTCAGATGCACTACTAGTAGCTACCTCTGTGGTGCTACAGTCAACGTTGGCGCTCGGATGAAGTGATAACGCCTCGCGGCTACGTCTCCCATGCGTGCGTGCCGTGGAATAGACGTTCTTGGGCATGATGGGTTCAAGTTTCGTGCGCATGACACGAGAATGAGTGGAGTAGAACGATTGATCTCGAATGAATGTTCCATTTGACTGTATTGCGCTATTAACATCTGGTCTATCACGATCATCGTTGCCCCGCGAGACAGAGTCGTGCAAGCCACCCTCATACCACACGCCGTCACGTAAGAAACTGCCCCGTAACTCTCCCTCGCGTAACACGCCATCACGCAGCCTTGTATCAAGCAGAGCACTTTCACGAATGCCACCGTCACGTAAGGTAAAAGATGGATTGCTTCTGCACATATCATAGCAGCTTGAACATGAAGGGTCGCTGTGGCTTTGAAACATCAAAGTTTCCCCACTGGGATAAGCTGTGATTTTCTGTGGGCTGCGATCAGCTTTACATCTATCCGAAGTAAACATCACCGGCTTGGCACCATTTCCCCCTGCCAGTCCAGACCTCCACTCATTTAGCCCATGGCAGTCCGCTAAATCATAACAACTGGAACTAGACAAATTCCACCTGGCTGCAGACATGTCGCTATGGTCACTTTCATATCCACTGCCGCTGACCGCAGACGGAGCGGGTCGTTGCTCTACTTGGTAAAGATACTCCACATCTTCATCGCTATCTGTGCCTGACAGGAAGTCACCTGTAAAACGTTGGCTATTGTCGAACACTTCTGAACCCATCAAATTGCCCATGCGAAGCGATAACTCTTCAAATTGAACCTGGACCTCATCCAACACGTGTTCCTGAAAAAAGTAAATTAATACTACAACCTAAGGTACATGTGTCACAGAGGGCCTAGATTAGTTTCAATAACAATTCAACAACGTTATTGGTTAGCAATGATTGATCATTGTTTTTGTTTTTGTTTTTTTTCCTTAAGCCCTGTTTTAGAACAATAAAGCCTTGAAAAGACTATTAAAACCTTACCATAGGGAAGGGCGCGTCTTTCTCGTATTCTTCTAACTCTTCGTCCCCTTCATCTTCCTCGTCTCCCTCCTCTTCATCTGCATAAGATGATGTATCACTTTCTTGTCTCTTTAGTTTTTCTCTGAATAGCTGCATCCTGCAGAAGAGAGGGAAGGTGAGTGGTTTCAGTATCACAACGTACAGTGAAGGTCTTGTATCACCTCTAAATATTGAAAATACAATACTGCCGTAAAATGAGAGAGTAGACTGAAATGAGTACTACCTCCACTCAAAGGGCGGAAAATCCTATCCCTTGGATAGTTCGCTAACCAGCGGATAAATGTCAACAAAACGTACTGCGATATCAACCGGACAGAGATTTATCAGAAGGATAGCGTTATTCACCCTTCAACAGCCAGGGCCTATCATCACCATCTACCTGCTATAAACTCCCTTGCAAATTAGGTAGTATAATTATAGCCAAAATAGCTTATAAGTTTGTTTTAATTTTTGCACGTTCTGTTTGTTTTTGATGTCAGTTCGCAAGATAATGCTCTGACATCGTAGGGAGGAAATGCATGTTAATAGCTTCTCATTCTTCCATTGAAATCCGTCCAAAACCTTCATTTTGTTTTTTGGCAATATTCACATCAGTGTAACACATTTACGCATTGTGTGTAAATAGTTAATCCATTCCAATGTGTAAGACAAGTGTGAACATAAACTCAAAAAGAAGCTCTAATTACTTACTTGCTTCGAAAGAATTCCTCCACTGCAAGTAACTTGTGCCGTTTTTTCTTGTAGTGCGGCACCCTGTACATGAACATAGTAGCAGTCTACCGAGATAAAAACAAACAAACAAATAAAATAACATAAACAAAATAACAACAAAAGACAGCCAAGTAGAGTAACCCTCAACTGTTTGTGTCGAAATTCGTTCAGTATTGCGATGATTTTACTTACTCGGACAACCTAACAACCAATCAGATGCACGACCAATCTGGCCTTGCTTGCTCGCTTTTCCTCGCGTTTCGGGTCGATTACCAGTACTTACCTTAAGTTCTCATTTGTTCTTTTGATATTTTCCTCTGTTTCGATAGATAGTTGAAATTATTTAGTGTAAAATTTCGACACTATCAAAAAGAGCTCTGACGAAATAGCCTCACGTTACTTATCTGTCAATTTACAGCGTAGTTTGCAGACCTATCTATTGAATTAAGCCTTGTCGACATGGTTTAAGGTTTCCATAATAGGTAAATAAATTGGTTACAGACTATCCGCCCTCAGAATTCCAGCCGATTATGCGGAAAAGCAATTGAACGCCTTCATATAAACACGCTCGATTTTCTATACTCCCTCGCCGAATTTGTTTTTGAGTTGTCACGTAACAAGGATTACACGTAACGAAATCAAACAAAGGTTGCCAGGGAAACTACTTGTCTTTCTATACAGTTTAGTTGTTTAAACTCAAAAGCTAGCACCATTTGAGACGCAAGAAACTTCATCTTGTTACACTCATCAAACACTTCACTCACCGCTCCCCTCATGAAAGTATAGAATCCGACCACAAAGATGGTAAAGTAAAACAAAATCAGCACAGGATGCTCTTCAATCCCCGGGCCTTGGTAATGACTCACGCCTTCCAAACGAAAGAAATTGCTGACCAGCAAGAACGTATCTCCAAATGACTTGAACGCCTTGTGAAGGCCGCCAAACAAAAGATGTCCCGTATGAACAAAGGTCATCATTAAGATTACGATCACGACCTGCAAATGTAATACAGCCAGTCAAAGGAGATTTTTTAAGGCCAAAGGCAAATGAGATATTCCATTTTGCAGCACTCCGCGTACTTCATCTTTGCTGCAGGACCAACTTACTTTGGTTAAAGAACACGGACATTACTTGAAAAAATATTTTTGAAGGAAGGATTTTGAGCTTTGGAAGCAAGATTAATAAAGTTAACACAGATAAAACATGAACAAGAACGAGACTAGGAAAACTGATAGTTTTACTATACACTCGCAGTTTTACATATACCAACAGTGGCGAGAAAGTAAAACAAATAAGTTTACGCCGTTGCTTTATCTCAGATAGAGTCCGCTTCAAACAGAAAACTTGGAGCTACGGAGCTCAAAGAAACTCAATGGTCTGCAAACACGCGCGGGGTAACAACATGACTGCTGCATTTTCTAGCACCATTAACACCTCGGTCTAAAACAATCTTTAGCCTTTCTCCACCTGTTTTTTTTCTTTTTCATAAGCTTCTCTAATTGGTCTATCATCGTCACCTGGTCAAAATGCTTCATAACGATTGGTCACTAATGTGTACAAGCTTCTTTTACAACTTATGTTCGATACCTACCAAAGACGCTGCCAGGGGACGCACGACGGAAGCGAAGTATTTACTAATACGGACCATGGTTCGAGAAGGTCTCAGCATATACAAAGAGCGAACGATGATGAAGAACAACAAAAGAGCATATAAGGCTTGCAGAGCTTCCTAATAGAAAAAAAAATTTGGGATGAAATCAAAGAAATGTCACAGCTCAGTTGTAACATAACTGTACAAGATGGTCATTTTAGACTACGTACAAAAACTCGGTGGTCAAATATCATTTCTTGCCGATCAAGGCGAGAAATACGTCAATTTCAGCCCATATCAAGAATATCTTTCATTCTGCCTACAGTTCACAGAAGAAAAATCTCTTGCGCTAGCGGAACAAACCCTTCCTCAAAATTCCATTTTTGACTACAAGCGGAACCAATCCTTCCTCAAAATCCCATATTTGACTTCAATTTCGCTTAGCAGAGGGGAAACAAGATGAAATATTTACAGCCCTCCTCCTTGAGTTTTATTTGCATGAACATAGTAGCAGTCTACCGAGATAAAAACAAACAAACCTGACTCGACGAAACCATCTTGGCGTAGTAGAACACGTCTGTTTGACTAGTAGTTTGGACCTCTCGTAACAGAGCGTACAAACTCACTGACCAGTGGATATACAGCACTACGGAAAAGCTTGCACTGGCAACTGTTAAAAGCTAAAGAAAACGGGAGGAACCAAGCAGAGCTGATAAGTTGACTTTTTTCGTTGGGCGGATCAAGAGAACGACCTCTCAACTTAGGGCACTAAACGTATTTCCAGGAGCAGTCAAGTTCATGCAAGGAGACATTAATTTCTGTGATTTAAGGAACGAGCTTTTGGCTTATTACGGAGTAATCGATCTTGAAAAAGAAGAATTTGTCAATCTAGGACATTATGGCATATAGCTATGAGTTTTCCCCACGGACAGTTGTGACGTAAGAAAGGCGTTGCCTAAAGTATCTTTTCTTCGAATGTGCTTTTGTTTCATCCTTTGGAGAAACTCGACAGGTTTGGAAACTTCTTCAAGGAACATTTTTTTACGCCCTCTACCCCTCCCGCCTCCGCCCACCCTCACCCGTTCGTCCCAAACACATTCTCTACATTTCCAAAATCAGACGTCGGTTTAGACTTTTGTCAAATTCCTTGCATTTGTTGACATCTCTTTTACCTGCGTGAGCCGCCAGAAGCTCCTAAAGTACTTAGCTGACATCGTCTTGGCCAAGTAAAATTCGTGTTGGAGGAGATAAAGAAGGAGAACAACAAACAACAGCTGAAATAGATCAAGAAGAGATCTCTTAGTTGAACAGTCCTGTACTCTTCGATTAACTGAAAAGGCTGTCTGGTTATGAGCTGGAGAAGAGCGCTACAATTCATCGCATAAATTATCATGTCTAAATTAATCATGGTGATTAGACTGAGGAGCAACAAGGCAATCGTCTAATAGAGTTCAAATTCCATTCACACCAATACTCTGTTAGCAAGTTGTTTCGTGTATTTGAACAAATTTCTCTTTAACGTACATTTTGTACCTCGCGCCGCAACTGACGTTTGTTACCTTTCTATAATCAAGAAATGGATAGATATTCTAGTCTTCTCGGATAAGGACGAATAAACCGTAGGCCCCGTCTCCTGCAGGGGTAGGGGAGGAGACGTTAATTTCCCACGCACGAGATTACTGTGTTGTTGATGTCCTCCCTTGGGGTGGAATGGGTGGGAATTGGCCCTGAAAAGCCCCCTTGGGGAGTGGCCAACTAACGTATACATGTATGTATGTATGTATGTATGTATATATGTATGTATGCATATATGTAACAAGCTCTTTCATATTTTGAGGAAAAAAACCTTTCCTTTTCAAATTGAGTCGGTGACCTAGCAGACTTTAATTCTCGGGAGCATACAGCCTCGTTTTTCGTAGGTTTCTCTTGACAGTTGCCGCGATTTCCGAGACATGAGTGACTGGGCGGGTCGACGTTTCTTCTTGAAACTCACTTTCTCTCTTTTTCTCCTCACCAGCGGTATCTTCTTCCCCGGCCTGAAGACGAGTCATGTTTCAATTGAAACGTAAATGGATGTATTACACCCTCTCGGCAGATGGGATCGACCGATCGAAATCCAAGTTGAGAGTTTAATCAGTAGCACTCTCCTCGCCGCTGTTTTCCTTGTTTACATCCATCTCAGCAAGGATTTAAAATGAGCTTGCTTGACCACTGTCGAACCATTGTTACGCCGTAACAAAGATGGCGGTTTTCAATTCGAAATTGCCGATATTCGAAACGTAATCGTTCGCAACTGAAACGCTTTTAGCTCAGATGAATAATCAGTTTGGACAAAGCAAGCAAGGAACTTCTGATAGAAGTAAACTTTTTCTAGACCGTACTTTCCCTTTATTGAGTGGTGTTCATTACTGANAAGATAACCGCCTCCCGGTTAGCTCAATTGGTTAGAGCGCCGGATTGTGTTGTGCGGGAGGTCGAGGGTTCGAGCCCCGGCCGGACCAATACTCATGGTCTTAAAATAAGTGAGGAGAATTTGCTACCTTTCTATAATCAAGAAATGGATAGATATTCTAGTCTTCTCGGATAAGGACGAATAAACCGTAGGCCCCGTCTCCTGGCAAGGTTAGGGGTATGAGACGTTAATTTCCCACGCACGAGATTACTGTGTGGTGGATGTCCTCCCCTGGGTGGGATGGGTGGGTGTTGGCCCTGAAATTCCCCTACGGGGAGTGGTCAATTAACCTATGTATGTATGTATGTATTTATGTACGTACGTACGTATGTATGTAGGTATGTATGTATGTTCCTACGCTACCATTTTGTCACTCTAACGCAGGACACTTTCAATATGCTGATCTTGGCAGTATGCAATACACTTGACTCGTGCGAACCTGAACTCGAAATGGCAGCTGGTTCAAGGGTTAAAAAACGTAAGCAAAACTTAAGTTGTTTGCCTTATGCTCGCAACAAATGCTTAGCACATTTCTTTCTTTTCTAAGTAATTGGAAACATATTTTGAAAACGACTCTTCACATAACTACAACAACAACTAACAAAAACGATGACAACACAAACGATCAGTTATGCACATCAACAAAAGCATGACTGCAACCAAACGGACGTTAAAGGTTCTGACTGATTACACACCTTACAGATCCTCACAAAGTAGCTTTGTTCTGTCGATTTGAAAAACACTGGGAAGGTATTTAACTCCAGTCGACATAATGGCTTTCCAGTATAAGTTGCTTTCACTGACAGAGTAGCAGCGCTGAAATACCAGCATGTCAAAAACACGATGATTTAGACAAAAATTCACTCAGTTCAACAGTTAGTTAATTATCGAATGCAAGTTTTCAGAGGAAGATCAACCTCAGTAACGAATTAAAAAAAGCCCACGTTATAAGCAACACACATTGGTCGGATCAAAGCAAAACCAAAATCCGTCCGCGCGTGCGTGCGTGCATCTTTAATTCAGTTAATCTGTCAAGGAGTCAATCGGAAAGCAGTTAACCAGCCAATCAGATAATTTTAATTTTAATTTTATCAACTGAGTTGATAAATTAATTTCTTTAAGAACTTACCCTCTTTACGCATTCTCAATAACCCTAATTAGTGATTGAAGCCACTTTACCTGATAGTACGAAATAATGGCGTGTACACTGAAAACTCCATCTTTACTTCGCGCGTACAGGCATCTATCCATTGCGAATCCGCGATTCCCCTTAGCTGCTTTGCAGACTCTTCGCTGTAAAAAAAAAAAAAAAAAACATTAAGCAATTGTTATGTGCTTCCAAGGACTTTAAGGAATTTATCATGCGACGTACCTGTAAGCCACAAAAGTTGGTTGGTTAGCTCAGTTGGTTGCGCCGGTATCGCAGAGGTCATGAGCTCAACTCCGTACAGGCCCGAATTTTTTTAGACCTTATTTTCACTATTGCGTAAGCAATGTTCATTACTACGAAGATCACTCTCATATTCAGGGCCGTAGAAGTAGGAGCTACCGGAGACCCGTGCCCCCTCTATTTTGCCAGGGAAGGATGCCCCAGGCCCCCTACTGGGATAGGCCTTCGGCACATCATTAAACACCAACAGCTGTGTTGTTCACAGTCCCCTTCGGTTAAAAATTTGTTGCTATCCTTCGCGCCTGGCTAAATAATGACATTTTCACTTGCTGATATTGGGTACTTCAAGTAAAAACCAAAGCTCAGGGCCTAAACCAGTGGAAGATCCAATAGAATCACGTGACATACCTTGTTTGATTAAGCTCTAAGATAAACCAAGCGCCTTCCTTTTCGTGACACGTTATACGACACATTGTTGTGTTCGGACTGCCGTGACAAGCCTCAAAAAGTGTCAGAAAAAAAGTAAATTCAGTACAGAATTTCTCTAAGGAAAGACACTCGAGTCTAAATACGGTTAGACTCTGAACCACAAAGCATTTTGTTCGACTTGATTACCAGAAGACTACAAATTGGTATTACAAAGGTGAAAATGACCGCCGTCAGTATCAAGGGAACAAAACTCATTCTCACCGGAAAAGCTTTGCATTTGGCCATATTTTGAAAGTGAGAATGTGTGGGCCTCGGAAATGGTCTATTCAACAAGAAACATCCCAGCTATTTCTGGCTGATTCAATCTACCTTCATTATCTCAACTGATATAATAAATTTTGTTGTCGGAGAGTTTCTCAAGAACTTACCTTTGACAAAGTGGTCTTAAATTGCGTGATCGTTGTCCGACCAAACAAAAGGCTCTGACTGTCACGCAATAAGATCTGAATAATGTAAATGAAGGAATGCACAAAAAATTAGTGGTTGCTTGCCGAGTGGGATTTCAGAGAGTTGGTTTTTGCTGTAGGAAGAAAAGCGTAGATTAAGAAAAAAAAAACCCCTTTGGGCAGAGAGAAGAGCGCACAGCTTACTTATTTCCCTTGAATGAGATGGACCCTTGACGTCTAAATCTAACATGTATCCATCAATAATTTTGCCACATACCGTAAACGGTGTGAAATAAGACGAAGCGTTGTTCTCATAAAATGCAGACGAAATGCCCTTCCAAGCCGCCTTGACACTGTCAGGATCACCTCCCTGCCTATTGTGTGTAAACAAAAGTAAACATTTTAGGAGGTTTAGCTGGCACCACCAAAACACACTTCTCAAACAATCCTGATTTCCTTTACATTCCGACTAATATCAGCTATCACATTGCACTGTCTGCACTGACAAAAACTTTTCTTGACCTTGATGATGATTTTGGTTCTGTCAAAGTGTGACCAACACCAGCCCTCTTCAGGACTACTTACAATCAGACGATCGCACTGGACAATAAAAATCCTTATTACTCAGGAGTTTTTTGGCATACCTGAGAAATGACTTTTTGATCGACTGGTTCAGATGATATACATCCGGGCATGTGATGCTCGTGACCAGGAAGCAGGTGACAAGAAAGAACAGAATGGACACAATAACCTCTCTGAAATTCAATGAAATGTAAGTTTTAAAAATCTACCATCCACCTCACAAAAATTGTAGACATCTTCGAGTGCGGAGTACAACAAAGACACAACAACAATCTACAGAAATTGAATCTGAAGAAATTGAAAACCCTCTCAACTTTACTTTCATACTTTCACAGTTAATTATATTTACGACATAACGTGTTACCATAGCAATTTTTCCGCCTAAAATTTCAGATATTTATGATAGCAATTAGCGATGATCATCGAGAACTAAACTAAAACTTACATAGTATAGTCCCTGAGAGCTTTGCTTCGTGTGCATCTACTACGCGCTTCAGACAGCTTTGATTCGGATGGCGGTTTAAGAAACCTGAGATACCGCTGTCTCCGGCGAAGGGCCAGCGCCTAGAAGCAAAGTATCAGAGCTTTCAGCTGTAACAAAAGTAAATATTGGTCGGCATAATTTGTTGATTTTACATTTGAAAATATAAACCACCGGCGTAGTTTTGAAAAGTGATGTTTCGATCCCTTACCTATAGTTTTTCCAATTTCTTTTTACGTTCATATGCTTATAAGTAATAGGTTCATGCTGTAAAGAAGTTAAGTCCGCAGATCAACCATAGCTTACGGCGGTTGGCGTACTGATGCTTTCATGCCTGCGCGAACGGGATATAAGTACACCGCCTGCGAACAGGCTCGGATTATTGGCGCTTCGGCGCGAGTGCCTCTTTGCCCACGGGAAAAATGAGGCCTTGAACAACGCGAGCCGGCGAGAGTTTTGTGAGGGGTCTAGGACTGATTATAAGCCCCGATTAAATGGTGCGCTCGTAAGTGCCGTTGTCAAATCCGAAGAAACCCAATGTAAGATATTGTTCCCTCGATGTTTGATGTTTTTCCTGGACTTACCGGATGGAGATCATCACCATCTCTGCTCGAGTCTCCCTGAAATCCTTGATTGATGTGGCCGTAGTGGATATCGTGCAAAGCGGAAGATGACAAGTCTTCAAATCCTTCATCGACGTCCTCATCCTCCTTCCTTGCATTAGACTTGTATGCCATGTACAGTATAAAGATAGCAACCTCGAAAAAGAGGAAAAAATTTAATTTTTTTTTTTTAGAACAGTATAGAGTATATTTCTAAAGCCCTGAGGATCGTTTCAGCGTTCCATCTGCATGGACAAGAAATAAACATGCTCCTCTCTTTACAATTCACGTTCAAGCGCATCTCAAGGGAACGCGACCAAAATGCGATTTGAAAGACACATAATAGTAGAGAGAGGTTGCTTCTCTTCCGACGCGTGACGATCGAGGAAGTACTCTTGCGATTGTAACTCTAGCAAAACCGTTTAAGGAATGAACGAGTTTTCAATAAAACTTGTCATCTAGCTTTCTTTTCGGCCGAAGTAGTGCCAAAAGAAGTTTGCAATTATTTGGTGAGTTTTGACACCCTAATCCAAACGCTTTCTCTTTAACTTACCATAAATGGCTGAGAGACGAGAAAGGACTCCAGTAAAGAGAAAAAGAACGACTGTAACCAACGAACAGACAAATCCCATCCAAAACTGAAGGGGAAAAAATAAAAGCAGAGAGAAAGAGCTTTATAAAGTCTCAATGACTGACTGTTCTTTTAACTGAACTTCCTGTATGAGTGAACGGATGTCTGAATCGGGCCGTTGTCTCCTGACTTTAAACCCTCAAGCAAACAGTTTTCATTCCAAATTTTTCGAACCATGCCTCTTTTGGAATCTTTAGGTTAAGATCTTCTGGGGTCATAGCCGTTTACATCCTAACCTCAGCATTCACACTCTCCATACTATTCTACACACATTTCCTGAGGTGCTAACATGCAGAATTTGTTTAACAATCAAGAGACTTTTTTAGTTGGTGATCATTTCCTTTATTCTTGTGACTTTAATGTGTGATTCAGGGGTGATATCGTAAGGAGAAATTAGATGCTGGTCACTCTTAGGGCTCAAGGAGTTGAGGAACATGGAGGGAGGGGGTCAGGAGAAATTAGATGCTAGTCACTCTTAGGGGTCAAGGAGTTGAGGAACATGGGGGGAGGGGTCAGGAGAAATAAGATGCTAGTCACTCTTAGGGGTCAAGGAGTTGATGAACATGGGGGGAGGGGGTCAGGAGAAATAAGATGCTAGTCACTCTTAGGGGTCAAGGAGTTGATGAACATGGGGGGAGGGGGTCAGGACAAATTAGATGCTGGTCACTCTTAGGGGAGCTTAGAGCGGATCCTTAGAGCGGAGATTACAAGTGATGTTTCAATGAATTCTATGACTGATTGGGCACTACTGAAATGACCAAGAACTGCTCGGCCTGCAGACTCCTAAAACTCTCATCGATTAGGTGTCGTAAAATCAAAACGAAATTAATCAGAAAGGGCAGTCAGAACCAGGGGAAATATCACGAACAGCCGATGGGAACTCGATTCAAATACATTGAAATTTCCCGATGTTCAGAACAACGAGAGAAATTAAGTCACCATAAGTTTTCCTATTGCATCTGATTGAATGAGTCGGTGGCACAAGATTTCGAAACCAACCACAGGGCAGAGTGATGCAAAAGCAAAGCAATCCTTGCATTCTGTTGACAATAAGTGAAATATTTCTCTGCAAAAATCACCCTTACCTTACTCCATACCAAACAGTTAACAGCGCAGCAGTAACAGCAGTGCACAGACACCCCAACCACGCCACATAAACACAGCCGTGCGGTAGAGAGAATCTGGAATGATAAACTCCCCGATCTTCAGACACCAGCGACACGCTATACGTGCTACGTTTGTCGAAGTCCAGCGACTTTTTGCGTAGTGGTCCGATGTCTCTAAGGAAGTCGCATGCGTCCAGTAAGTCGGCGTGAGGAGGAATAGGTCTTTTAGAATAGCTCAATCCACCCTGGCCCGTATTATCACCTTGACTGGTGCTGTCTAAAAACGAAGAGAAAAAAAAGAGAGAGTGACGGTTACTGGAGAGTCGTGAAGCAAATTGTGTGTCTGTAAATAGATCAAGAATGAAATGGAAGTTGCCATCTCCCTCCGTCTATTTACACACACGATGCTTTGTTGATCAAAGCAGAATGTACAATTGTCAGTCATGAACCTAATGTTCTGCTTGAATCGCGCACGAGCCCTTCGTAGCCCAATTGGTGAGGTATCAGGCCGCGAAATGGAAGGGTCTAAGTTGCAATCCATGTGAATCTCCCACATCCTTTACTACCATTGTCCCATCTTGGGGTATTTCTACCGCTCTGGTGTTTGTCTTTTGACGCTAAAAATTCACCGAAGATAGTCAAACAATGACAAAAAATAAAATAGTTTCCGTGTATTTCTCTACCTGAGGCTCGATCGAGGCTCAGCTGAGAGCCACACACGCAAGATGATGAATCGGAGTCGGCGTCATCCTTTAATAGAAATCACAAAGCAACATCAATTTGAGAGTGTACTTCACACAGTACTATGAAACGCAAGACCGCTCAAGGGCAAAAGGCGGGGGAAGGCTGCTCCCGAAAGGCCTAGAGTCTGTTCTGTGTTCTTTGGCACGAGAAAACTTTGAGTTCTGGCACGAGTTCGAAAATGAGTGAACGGTTCAAATTCACGTTTTCAGCGAAATGCTAAGAAAATATAAAACGGCGTTAACCTTCACTGCGTTCTTTGTTAGCAACAAAGTTCGTATCGTTATTTTTACTAGATGCCATTGGGTCCTGCCCTGACTGAAATCATGTGAAACTGCTAATATGTCGATGTCTTGGTGTTGCTACCAGACTACTTTGGCGAAAATTGGTCCCATAATGTTAACGGACATCCTGTTTAACCCCCAAAAACCAACGTTAATTTACTCTTACCAGCCGTTTCCCCTTTTGAAAAATCTTGAACTCTTATTGTCTTAGAATCTTATGGTTTTTTTTAGTTACCTTCTTGAACAGCGCTGTCTAATAACATGTCTACGTCGAAAGAGTGAAACAGAAGGAACACAAATACTCTCGGCAGTAGTTGAGCCCTGGGTTAAAAAGAAAATAAACTGCAAACTTACCCATTCAAAAACCGTTCGAAACCACCTCTTTCGTTCGCTTATATTGGTCAACATGCCAACAGTTTCCAGCGAGTGGTCGAGAACTGTTAAGATAAATCGGGTAAAGAGCCATTTTCTAACAAATAATTCTCTGGGTGACGATACAGTTAATCCTTCGACTCCATGAAGCGACCAATATATAAATTCTCCTTACATTGTTTAATACAATTTCATACACACAGGCAATGAGAACGAAGAAAATTGCCAACAAAAGAGACATCGCCTTGATATAGTACCAAAGATTATGATCATAGGAGCGAATGGGTTCACGGCTTCGAAGTTTGTTCTTTTTCCTGGAAGTGGTTGAGAAATTGCCGAAGGATATTTGATAATGACCAGCTCACAATTGGATTGTTAGCTCAGTTGATAGAGCACTGCACCGGTATCGCAGAGGTCATGGGTTCAAGTCATTTTTCTTTTTTTTACAAGTCTTATTTCCAGTATTACATAAGTAGGGTTTATTAATGGAAGGATCGCTCTCGTACATTTCATGAAACCGCAATACACTTACATGATTTTCATACAATCAAATTCATTGATATTAGATGAGTTGGATATTGTGTTGGAGCAGGGCCTATCACAGATTTTCAAGATATACTGTTGGCTATTACATTTAGAATTAAAAGATGGTTTAGGACTTCATCTTCAAAAAACATTTTTAGGGTCTTGTTATACGATTCCTATTGATATTAACAAACCTAATTAATTTATCAGTTAATTGATGGTACGTTAACCCACCTGAAGTCATAAGCTCTGAGGAGTTCGTTTGCGGCTCAGACATCGGATAAACCTTCACATGACGGCGAAATTTTCGCTGGTAAAAAAAGTAAGGTTCCTTTTCTACCTTTTTTGTCTATCAAGGAACATAACTACGGTGTAAACCACAACTCAGTTCTAAGCAAACTGGCTTCAAATTTCGTAAAGAGAAGTGAGCATGAACATTTTGCGTGAAAATTCCGCGCTGCACGGTGATCATCAAGGCCGAAACTCTAATGCTTCGCTAAGTCTTCCAAGAAGCTACTTTCTGATGGCACTACGTCTCGTTAAGAATTGTGTCCCTAGCTCCTAGGATCTCTTTCAAAATCCTCCCTTCTCAAGACTATATACTTCTCTGCGAGTTTGTGGGAAGAATCAGGTTTAATAATCGACCTGATCAATTTTCTGGTCGCCTGCTTGGCGGATAATGTATTGATATAATAAGAAGTTACTTGAACCCGTGTGTGGGATTTACACGGCTCACAAGTTGCGTCATTCTCGCTTCTTTATAGCTCAAACACACCTCATCGGTGTCAATGAATCAAAAGGAAATATTGGTTCCAGCGTTAATTTAATTTCAAGAAAATATTGCGCACGCTAAAAAACAAATAAAAAAACGCTAGTTTTTAAAATCTTATGAACTCGTAGTTGGTGTAGTTTGTAAATGTGACTCACTCGACTGTATCTAAATAGGAAAATCCACAGGAGATTGAGCGGCAATGCTACCAAGCTGCACAGGACACCAATCCAAAGGCTCTCACCGGTTATGTCTAAAAGTCCCAACACTTCTGTAACCTGATGAAATAAAATTCGTTCAGTTTGTCAAAAGATCCTAACTTCCAGTAAACTGACCCCGAACAAGGCTCAACTTTGTGCACTTTTTCACCTATAAAAATCCACAATTTTTTCGGCGCATTAAAACCCCATGACTTTGAATGGTTTAACAAAAAATTATGAGAGGAATTATGTGGCTTCAGCAGATTAGCGATTGTCACGCGTTTGCCCCTTCATTTTTTCCCGACTTTGTTTTCTTTCCGCAGTTCTTTTTTTCACGTCTTATAAATTAAAAACAAATTGCCATACTTTTCTAAAAATATTAGGAACCACGGGCTAGAACTCTGACCCTTTGGGTCCAGGCGCCTAACACAACGTTGCAAGATCTTCCGCATAAAAAGCACTTAATATCATATTTAGATACAACATGGTTGGCAAGCAGGAGTACCTACCTGTTTTTTAGGCCTGTACCATGCAATGTTTACACAAAGATAACTGAGCAGCAAAGACACACAGGAAGTAAGCCGCTATCAAGAAAAGGAAAGAGCTATTAGAGTTGAGAAAGATGTTTTTCGTCTTTTCATGAGCGTGGGACAAAGAAGAATTTCAGAGTCCTCATGAAGAATTGAACCTAAGACTTTTGGATTCAGCGCCCCGACGGCTTACCGCCGAGCCAAAGATTTTTCATCGATCTAGAAAACTCTGACCAGAATCTGAATCATTCAGAGGAAAACCTAAAGCCAATCGCGACTTGGTCACTGATGATTTCTCGCGCCTCCACGAATTTCCATGTCGCTATTTTGGGTTCTCACTGGCTGCCTAAGTTGCCATTTCAATGAAAAGTAACGAACAGTAAGGTCACGTGATACTGTTAACTTCACGTGACTGAGGAATTCTGACTTCTCAGTCTGTCTGTGATCACAACGAGTGACCTTTTTTCTGGAACTGAGAAAGCAGTTTCACGTTGTTCTGCGTGTTGCATTGTACTATGTGATTCTAACTTTAGAGTCTGGGACAGAAATACAAAACTTTTTTTGTCTTGTTTTTACCTGTGCGCGTGTAAACCTGCTATAAGATGGCCGCCCAAGCAAAGAAAACCAGAGATGATAGTCCGAGATGCTCTTCATGGAGAATTCAGAGAAGCACTGGAAAGGGAAATAATAAAAAAAATAACAAAATCTTGTTTTGAACCATTTACGAAAAGGGGTCTAAATGATGGCGATGATGCGTGATTCGCCTTATTTTTCTACCTGTAGAGAAACAAGGTCTTACGGCAGTGTCAAGTGAAACATATCCCAGGAGCACTAATTGAGGGAAATTTCAAGTGATTATGGCGTTAATTAATATCGATTTTGATTCTCTTGATTTCTGTACCAATAAGCTCATTTAAAAGAAACTTGCCTTTTTCAAACTGTTTAGGTGACTCGTTGTCTCCAGAAGCTCACAATCAACCTTGAAAAGAAAAATTTAATTTGAAGTCAGTACAACAAATATATTTTATAGCATATTCGTGTTTTGTTTAAATTTTGAAACTACAATTATCTAAATTAACACGGTGCAGTAACAACCCCTGCTCTTTTTCGTTACCAGAAGGTCGCTGCACTGAACCAAGGGACCGGACATTCCTTACCACCTACCTGAATTTACATGATCCCCCTCTAAGGCTCTTCACCTCACCTCCCCCCCCCCCTCACTGGCAGTTGATTGTCAGTCAATTTTCCCCTGAAAATCACGTGACCCTCCAAAAATCATCCGTCCCTGGCGATGAAAATGAATGGTACGTAATTATGAAATGTTTTGCTCCACAAATGTTGATGTTTATGAAATTATGACGGGTAAAGCACGTACCTTTCCATCAGCTTCGTCAACAGCGAGCCATCTGTTACAGTTGAAAACCCTGTGGCCAAGGAACAACAACGACAAGAACGTTTATGAGCGAAATCATTTGTGAATGTTTCACGAGTATGGGAAGGCTATAATAACCAACAACTCATATTCAGCCATGAATTAGCCGTGTAACATGAAATATTGCGCATTTGACGACTTTTTTTTTTCTTTTGGAGGGTAAAGCGATCACAAGTTATTGAAATAAATCATATTTTGAACTGCGAATGTATTTGAGAAGAGAAATTATGAGCTGCCAATAAAGAAATTTTTAGAAAAGAAGCTAGGCTTTGACGGGATACACATCTGTGCTTCCCAAATACTAGTCGGGAGTTAATACCTGTGGACTCAGGTGGTAGTAGCTCCCTACCAGGCTACGAGCAAGTCAAAAGTTAAGTGGGATCGCATATTAAAGCTAATGATCAGCCAAACATGTAAAATACTTCTAGTACTAGAATACCTGCTAGAGAGAGAAACCCAGCTCCTCTCTTTAATAGTCTTACCAAGGAAAGATCAGATCGCGCTCTGTAAGTTACAAGTACCTTGTATCTCCTCTGTTGACATCCTTGATAATAACTTGTTCTAAGAACCAGTTTGGATCATTTCCCGAGTTGTCGTGCCAAATGTGGATTTTCCAGATGTCACTGAATTTCCTTCCAGGGAAACTAAATTATTGAAGAAGAAAAAAAGTACAGAGTTTTGTCTTAAGTCATAAAACAGGTTTCGGACTTTCTCAAACTTAAACCATACCGTTACTTTATACTACCACGACTTTTTTTTATGTTTAACAAGACCAACGATTAAGAAAATGGCTTCAAAATGATGTGAAGAAGATCATTCCTTGTTGCTGTAGTCTGGAAAAAATATCTGTGGGTTGTCTGACTCGTCAGCGCTGGAAAATGATTTTGTGAAATTCAAAGACTGTTCAGATTTTCCACGACTTGCACGAACACTGACAAAAAGGCATGGATAATTTCAAAACCCTACAGGCTGTCATGTGGTGATGTGGTATAGAACAACTACTTGCAGCAATTAATGCTAAATTGCGAGTTGTTAAGGATGAGATCAGACGTCTGCATTTTAGGCGCCTCTGGCAGCCGCATCAGTCCATGTATCGATTTCACCTTAGAACCCCACCCATCCCATTCCAGGGGAGGACATCCACCACACAGTAATCTCGTGCGTGGGAAATTAAGGTCTCCTACCCCTAACCCTGAAGGAGACGGGGCCTACGGTTTATTCGTCCTTATCCGAGAAGACTAGAATATCTATCCATTTCTCGAAATAAAAGAAAGGTAGCAAATTCTCCTCAGTTATTTTAAGACCATGAGTATCGGTCCGGCCGGGGCTCGAACCCTCGACCTCCCGCTCAACACAATCCGGCGCTCTAACCAATTGAGCTAACCGGTCTCAAAAAGGAGGAATTCAAGTCATAAATTTGACCTTATTTGCAGTGCTAGGGTAGGTATTAACCGTCTGACCCCTATGAGTGACTTGTATTGAATGTCTCCTTTTAATGTCTCCCCTGAATCACACTTAAAGATCATGAAAATAAAGGAAATAGTCACCAACTAAAATAGCTCTTGATCGTTAAACAAATTCTCCTTGACAGCACCTTAGGAAATGTAGAGAGAACAGTAAGGAGATTATGTATGCTGAAATTAGGGTGTAAAGGGTTAGAAATTTTTTACCTCACAACAAAAACATCACAAGAACTTCTTTCAAACAGAGGATGGTCTTCATCGGACTTCAACTCAATCGGATCCGATACGCAGTTAGCGCCATGGAGTAGAAGGAAAACCTTAAGGAAAAAAGAATAAACAAAGAACAAATAATACCACTGGGAGAGTGAGAGAAAATGAAATAGAACACCCTCTATCCGTGCCTATCGAAGGCACAAAGAAAGCCGCCTCGGGAAGATTTAAAACAAGTCGGTGAGAGGTTTCCGGCCGAGGAATTTCATTAAAAAACTTAAGCAGAGCCGATTTTGAGACGCGGACGGCTACCAGAAGAAGTCAATCTATTGATGCCAATATATTGACAGTGAGGTCGTCGTTTTAGCATTTGAAACCAAACTTTGCTAACCAAAATGGGGTAAAAAGCATCAAGAACGAAAACTTTCAACTGGCCGATGCCGTTCGTTTCTCAAAAGCGTTTGTGCTTAACACTAGTGCTAGACTCTGGCAGACGTTTCGCCGACTCGTGTTGTTCAAGGTTTCATTGAACTTTCCCTCGGGTAATGCCTGCCTCCTCACGGGCTCGCAAAAGTATTATGGTGCTCTCAGATCATTGCTACAGAAAAAAATAAAGGGGGGGGGGGAATGAATCTATCCTTGGAGCAAATGATTTTCAAATGCCTTTTAATCTAAAAGCTTCAATCAGTGACTTTTATCATATCTCAAAATTTGATTATAAGAGGAAAGTACACAGAAAATCTTCTTCATCACGTAACAAGAAAGTTTTTGACATCGCCTTTACCGCAGATCAGCAAAAAGTAATTTCAAGCGCTAGCGACACTCTTGACTGGCGTTCTTACGTTTAATTGCGCTACATGATTGGTTACAAAATCTTGTGTCTCCTTCAATCAGATGTCAAGCAGAAATAGCGTGTATTTCTCGCGCTTCGTGACGTTCAGCTAATTTCTTTGACTTCTAATTCGCTTGCTCTTTCGCTTTTGTTCGCTGTGATCGATCTGACGAGCGATCGTCCAGAACTGTGACCGATCCGACGATTTTCGCGATCGTCCAGAGGCCCTCCACACATTGTTATGACTTACATTGGCGGATGTTCCAGATCCAAACCAGTGACCTGTCTGCAGAGTTATCTGAAACCTGGAGAAGATAATGTTAATAGTTAACCTCGCGAACTCAAAGATGCAAGCTGTGACAGAGTCTCAATGTTCCACGTGAGCCTGCACTTTGTGACATAAGGGACTTTAAGCAGTCAGGACGGCAACGCCACGGAAGACGTCGATTAAAAAATAAGTCTCTACGTTTAGCTAGAATTTCGAAAATGGCTGCATGTGTTTACCGTCTCATAGGGTGCCAGACCTCAAACTCAACATAACGCATGAAAGTAGCCTTGAGTTCCAAATGTAAATTAAAATAATTTGCCGCCGCGGTTTCGCTTCGCAGACGACGCAAATTTTGGTTATTTCACGTTGTTGTTTTGCAAAGGACGGCTAAGAATTGTACAAAGTTTTATAACGCACGTGCTGGGCTATTGTTCTGCCAATTAGATCTATTGTTTTTCCACGTTCTCGTTGCCGTAGCCGTCGTGGTTTGCTTAAAGTCCCTATTGACCGATGCCCGGAAGAGTTCGCTAAGGTTGTAACAGTTGAACCTTAGAGATTGTCTACTCTTCCCCATTTTTAAAAAATCCTTGTTACTTTTGGTGTATAGTTACTCTAATCGTGTTTGTCTCGGTTTCCCTAACACTAAGGTAGTAATGCAGGCGATAAAATAGAGTAAGGGCATTTCTGCACTCGCGAAAAAGTTGTCTATTTAGATAAATTTTCTGTCATAGCCCATATTTTACAAGCGCGGATCGATTGTCGTGACTTATCAAATTTTGGCCGCAGCGGACAAATCTTCCAACGTTCGGGTAAAGACTGGACAAAATCGACTAAACAAACAAAACTGCGATGAACCTGTCGTTCATTTGTCATAACAGCTACGACTAGCGTGTAACTGAAAAGAAATCAGTTCATTAGAAGGCAATAATTGTCTTTTGGTGTAAAACGCGGGTATTCTAAAATTTTAAAAACGGCTAAAAACGACTTTGGATGAATCGTGGAAATTGGAGTTGAAATCCTTTAGCAAAGTATGCTGTTCGGTCTAATGAGCAGATCAAGCGCAGACGGAATTTGACGCTTTGAAATTTTTAATGCCGATGCAAACGACGAAACAAAAACTTGTCATGACAAGATTTCTCCTTTGATTTTGTCGGGACAATTCTAGTTTTGTCCGCTAGTGCGAAAAGGCCCTAAACTGAATCACCTTTCCGTGATGGCTAGCGCTTTAGGTTTATTCCCACTAGTGTTCTCCGTGATATACACTGCTTGTGTCTTCTTCTTATCGTGTTTGTCCGCTTTTATGCAAAAACCAAGAAGGACTAAGTACAGCAATAAGATAATGAAGACGAGGGCTAACGCCAGTGGCGACCGCTCCAACCTATTGAAACAAACACAACAACAGTAACAGTAAATAAATAAATAGATAAAAAAACAAATAAATAAGTAAATACGTAGATAATAAGAGAGAGACCAGCGAACAGGCTAGTTGCCTATCTCTCACTGAAAGAAGCCATCGTAAGATCACCTTGTTAACAAAGGAATGCTACATCAGCTGTGGGCGTGGGTCAGACTAACTCTTCTGAATTCAAACTAACCGAAGACCGTAAGAAGGGAATGCCGAGTAAAGCATCTCGTGTGCACTGTACATACACTCACATTGACTCAGTCTCCTAATCCATTAGAGGATTACCCCAAGCATTGCGTCAGGCTTCCCTGACAGTTTGCCGATATCCATATTACTCCTACAGCTGTAGGTAGAGAGAGGCCTGGTGAGAGTAGAGTGTCTTGCCCAAGAACACAGCAAAATGCACCCGGCCAGGTCTCAAACCCGGAGTCCAGCACGCTAAAAATTATGCCATCACTTTGTTTGCTTTCGTCACGTAACGCACAACCCGCGTGAGGGAGAAAGTGTGACGCGTGATGTGACCAAACAATGACTGTGCAGGGAATATTGTTTCCACTGGAATTAAGCCGTTTACAGTAGAATATTATTAAGAAACTTACTTGGCTGCATCTGTCAGATCCTTTATTGACAGTGAGTTTGGTGGGTAAAAAAATGCTCCACTGAACGCTGTAAGGTGGTTACATCTGTGTAAGATAGTAGAGGATTGAGCCAGCACGAAAATCAACATAAAAGTAAAAACAGCTTCAGTATATTCCTGCTTAGAAGACCACTCTTAAACTGAGTGTTGAAAGTAATCTGGGATTTCGCGGCTTTTGCTTCACTTCGCTCTGTGATTGGTCCAGAAAACTAGCGCCACTTTCTCAACCAATCAGATTCAAACTAAAATCAATCACGATTTGGTCGGCCGCGTTTTCCCGCGCTTTAGGCAGTTTGGTTGTTTTCCCGCGCTTTAGGCAGTTTGGTTGTTTTCCCGCGCTTTAGGCAGTTTGGTTGTTCTTACTTTAGGTCCTCATTGTCTCTTGATGTCATTTTCCTTTTTTCTGTTTTTTAGATATTACGTTCATTTCGGTTTTACGACAGTTAAAAAGCACTCCAAATTCTCAACTAATCAGATGCAAAATAAAACCAAATACGGATTGGAAACTGACCTTTTCTACACCTTTAGAAATTTCAGTAGTTATCCCTTGAGCTCTACTTGGCCCTCAGCATTAAATATTTTCCTTTGTTCTAACTGACCTTTATGATAACTCTTATATTACTTTTGCGACACTCAATCTAAATGCACAGTTAAGCAAAACGATCGAGGTCCATGGCAGTTCCGTCAACTTGCACAGTTAAAAGCACGAAATAACACACAAACCACACCAATCCCACAAAGATTTAGCCTGTGTACAGCCGCCCCATTGCCTTCAAAAGAAAATCGGGAATGGGCCCCTTCCCGAATTTCTTTTAAGAGTAGGGGCGGTTGTTGAAAACATAACAGAGATTCAGATTCCCAAACTTCTCTATCAAACTGCCTTTTAGGAGTAAGGGATAATTTTAATTAAGATTGATTCAGAATTATGGGTCGCAGGTACAAATTACTTAAGCGGAACTCAAGCACGGTTGTTTGGGCTTACGTTCAATCATCCAGTTTACATAGTTAACCGTTTAATCTGTTAGAGTGACCAGCATCTAATTTCTCCTCACAACACCAACTCCGGATCACACATTAAGGTCACGAGAATTAAAAAAGTGAACATAAAAAAGCTCTCGATCATTAAACAAATTCTCCTTGTCAGCTCATTAAGAAATGCATACAGAACAGTATGGAGAATATGCATACTGATGAAATGAGAAAACTAACCTGCAGTGAAATATTTGCTCTGCACTGTGATCCACTATTTTGCAGCCATCAGTGGACCACTTCTTCACTTCCTTATTCCAGTAGAAACAACCCATCCAGTGAATACTCAAGAGGTACGTGAAGCTGGGGCCCTTATTTATCTGCGTCCACAAAAATATTTGTTTGTTTCACGTTTAAAAGAAAGTTATTTCCTCAGAAGCTTGTCTAGACAAATTGCTTTGATCAAGTCAACAAACACTGCGCTCTGGTAGTTGCAAAAATGGATCGACAATATAGAGTAAACATTCTTTTCATCCCATGAAGAGGGCTTGCCAAAATAAGTCATTCTATGTACACTCTAATATGAACCTCTTTTATGAGAACGTTTAGGTTTGAGATTGCAAAAATTTTAAGAACATACTAGAACACACTCAGACTGAGAGTCAGTTAAGAACGTCTTTATTTTGCTCATTTTTCTTTTTGTGGAAAGTATAAATACAGGCGAAAGAAATGTAAAACTGTATTCTAACAGGAAAAATTACCTCGAACACTATAGGGACATTGTCACGTTCAAATCGCAAAAAAAGAACGTTCAGCCTCAGCCGAAAAATTAAACGTTCTTACAAAAGCGAAGAGTGTATGTCATGTATCATTTATTTTGCACTGGACAGCGTTATCCCTCTTTAAGACCAATATTGATATTTATCTATCATTCGTTACCCTATCAATGTTTGCAAAACTACTATCGAGCAGGATTGCACAACTTGACTACAATTAAAACTCTGAAATATAAACATTTCTAATGTGAAATACTTACCTTTATAATTATAACTTACCGATCTAATCCGATAGTATGCTCTGTCTTCCATTAGAACCCTCACATATACAGACCCAGAACCTGAATTCAAGAGGAATGAATTATTTACGACAACAACAACAACAACAACAACAAAAAACAACAACAACAAAAACAACAACAAAAACAACAACAACAAAAACAACAACAAAAACAACAACAAAAAACAACAACAAAAACAACAACAACAAAAACAACAACAACAAAAACAACTAAAAACAACAACAAAAACAACAAAAAACAACAACAAAAACAACAAAAAACAACAACAACAAAAACAACAAAAAACAACAACAACAAAAAACAACAACAACAAAAACAACAACAAAAAACAAAGCAACAGCACATTGAGCTATCCATTGAGCTATCCATTGAGCTAATCGCCTCCAGGTTAGCTCAATGGATAGAGCGCTCGACTGTTGTGCGGGAGGTCGAGGGTTCGAGCCCCGGCCGGACCAACACTCAGGGTCTTAAAATAATTGAGAAGAATATGCTACCTTTCTATAACATCAAGAAATGATTAGACTATTCTAGTCTTTTCGGATAGGGACGAATAAATGGAGGTCCCGTCTCCTGCAGGGTTAGGGGCAGGAGACGTTAATTTCCCACGCACGAGATTACTGTGTGATGGATGTCCTCCCCTGGGGTGGGATGGGTGGGTATGGGATGGGTGGGTAACAGGACCCCCGTTGATACCAGTGTTTACTACACTGAAGGGGCTATCCTGTATAAATAATATATACTACTACAAAAACTGCGCCATTTTTCCACTTCACTTTTCCATGGTCAAGAAATGCTTCCCACGTTTCAGGAAGAAAACAATTTCCCACAAATTCACCGATTCTTGTTTTTTCATCTTCTCGTTAAGAAGGTATTCGATAGCTTGTGCAACAGGAAGTCAGTTACCATTTTCAAGCTGGTGGTGAGCTATATTTATGAACACGTCTTCTCCTGAAATTGAAGCGGTGTGTTCGTTTCGATTCCGTACTGATGAACCAGGTTCAGCAGTGCTGCAAAGGTAAGACAATTAACAATCAGTCACTTCGCGATAAAGAACTGAAGATGTGTCATAGCTCAATATTTCCCAGGTTATTCGTTAGTCGTTGGTGCTTCGTCCATGATGTCAAAAGCTATATTCCTCTCTCCTCACTAAAGTTTCTAGCTGACCAATACCTAATCCAAAAGTTAGATTCACAACATTGAATTGGAGAGAAGGGTGGGGGGGGGGAGGGGGTAATGGAAATATGGAAAACGATTTATATGGGGGGACAAGAATAATGACACTATAATGTCAGAATCACAGATCCTACAGAATAAAGCTGCTAAAGTTCGGCTGGGGCTCGAAGCTCGTCAAGACTGGAATAGTCTTCCAAATGATTTGAAAGAAACAAATCTGTTATCGATTTTTAAATCCAAGCTAAAAACTTTTTTAAAAGATTTTGATTAATTTTAAACTTTGATATTTCAATCAGTTATCGATTTTAAGATTTTGACTCTTAAATTTATTTATAAACACGTTTTATTTTATTTATTTATTATTATTGTTATTATTATTATTATTATTATTATTACTTTATCAATTAATGTAATTAGTTAAATTAATTTAATTAATTAGTTAATGAGGGCCCCACTGAAAACCGCTATGGCGAGTTGGGCTCCCTCGTTTAATATTATTATTATTATCATTATTATTATTATTATTATCATTATTATTATTATTATTTAGTTTTAGATATGCTTTTACTTATCAGATTATTAGACTTTGAATCTGTTCAGATTTGACTCCGTTATTTATAGTTTTCCAGACACTTTGACATTAAAAAAAAATGGAGTAGATGTGAGCCGAAAGTGAGTTATTTTGGATTGTTTTTTACGCTGTTAATATTTTGTATTGTAGAGGATTTTATGGAATTATTGCTAAATAAAGATTATTATTGTTATCGTTAAAAAAAAAAATTAATATAACGATTTCTCATTCAGGAATCTGTTTTTAAATCAGTGTCTCAACCAGTTTTCGTTGCAGGCTACACACAACCAAATGACCAATCTTAAGGTGCCAGTTATAATGATGCCCCCTCCCCTGCATTTCCCTTTTCCCCCACCTCTCCCCCCCCCCCAGCTTCAATTATTGAATACCTGACAATCACTTTGACTGCAAATCCAGCGGGCAGCTTGGAAAGAGGTTCAAGATGAACGTGTAACAACTGGCGAGACATCTTTTTGGTTTCGTTAATAACATGAACATTCTCATGTTTCCATTGCAGAGTAAATTTTTCCCCTCGTTGGGTGGCCTGACAATAAGAAGCAATATAGATGGTCAATTCTGAGTCAGTCGATCAAACTCTTACTTGAACTTAAGTTTACAGACGTTTTCCAATTGTGCAAGCATTTGTAAAAATTTACGTAACGTTAGACATCACCGAGCAAACATATGATTAGTCATTCTTCCACTCATCATAACGAGAAAGAAAAAAACTTTCGGCCACTTAATTTGCAGCGAAAATTGCCGATCTGGCCCCGGTTGTTCGAAGGATGGATAACGCTATACACTGGATAAATCTCTATCCGGTGGATAGCACAGTACGTCTTGGTAACACTTATCCGCTGGATAGCGATTTATCCGTTGGATAGCGTTATCCGCCCTTTGAACAACCGGAGCCTGGCTTATTAGGTTAGCAGTCGCGTTGCAAGCTGTAACTTTTATTATTCAATGTTTATGGTCTGATGTTAAAAAGTACATTTTTTCCGGCGACTTGAAAATTATTTCTGGCGACCATTCTATGACTTTTGGTTGCGACATGGCAAATTGAAAGGATACGAGCTAAGGGCCCTTTTAGATGGTGTACAGAGAGCCCGACATTGGGGGTCTTTACACTGAGATTCCGCTTCACGAGGACAAAACAATACATGTAAAAATGGAGGCTTTAGAAAAAAACCAAAGCACAAACCGAATGAAAAAGAATTGGCCACTTTACCTTATCATGTTCATGAGGCATGAAGATATCAATTCCACGACTAAGATTTCTCACTTCGATATCCCCTCCATTGCAGTTGCTGAGGCTAAGGCTGCCAACTTGTGAGTGATGCTAAAAAGCAAAGTATACATCACTCGTTAAGCGCTATTTGAAAGCCGTTATGGTACCAGCAAGGTAATGGCAATGGCCAATCACATAAAAAAAGTGAACACAAGGGGCCAATGAAAATCAAAGCAAATGGCGGGAAAATACGAGTAACCGCGTCACAACTGCTGTTAGTCTTGCTTCTGACTGGTTGAGAAAATGGCGCGTAATTTCTAGATCAAACACAAAGCGTATGAAAGCAAATCTACTTACGAAACTGAATTGAAAATTTCCTTCACGTACTTGGTTGTAGAAATATAATTAGGAATACTAATGTCTTCAGAGAAAAGTGGCCCAGCTTCTTCCAGTTTCAGTAGCAAGAATCGGGGACTAGCATTGCATTTCCATAGCGGGGATGTTTCTCCGCAGCAGGGTACTTTCCAGTATTTCATGGCAATTAGCCAAAATTCATTCACATTCTTTCATAAAGTGGGATACTGTGAGAACTCTGCATCTCTCCCCATTCCCTTTCTCCCATCCCTTCACTTCCCTTCTCTTCACACACCCTTTCCCCCTAATAAAAGCAATTAGGTATGTAGCATAGCTGTTGCCCAGATAATTTGAATATATCAACAAAGTTGAAATGGTAAATTGACCACCGTTACGATTATAAAAGCTGACGTTTCGAGCGTTAGCCCTTCGTCGGAGCGAATGTTGCCCAGATAATCCATCACACTTCCCATCAGACGACAGTGTCTTTTACTTTTAAACTACACTGGAATGGTCAACCATTCTTACCATTTCACTAAAGAAAGGATTTTCCTTGTACACAGTCATCACAGCTCCATAACAATTCCTTCGGACAGCAGCCGATGTAACGCCTAGATGTTTTTCGAGATTCACAGGCATGTGGAATTTGACACCAGCGTGAGAGAAGAGCACATTATCAATGGAAGCTGTCTGACTTGCATTCACTCGGATCTTGGCTGAGGTTAGCAAAAGAGGCTTCTCCCCAAGAACTTGCACAGACAACCTAGCCTAAGAAGTAATAACATTACGAAATCAGTATACTTTAACTTGGTGTTCACTACGACGTTTATACGAACTTATGGCTCTCAGCATTTGATATCAAAGAGTGTATTAACTCGTTAACTCCCATGCGTGACCAAGACAGAATTTCCCCCTATAATAACGATACAATATCAAGCAGAAAAATTTTAATTCAATTTTAATTTTAATTTATTAGCTTCGCCGACAGGCAGGGACCCCGCAACAGCTTGCGCCAATTACTGCGGGCCCTAGTACCCACCCATCCCACCCCAGGGGAGGACATCCACCACACAGTGATCTCGTGCGTGGGAAATTAACGTCTCCTACCCCAACCCTGCAAAAGACGGGAACTACAGTTTATTCGTCCTTATCCGAGAAGACTAGAATGTCTATCCATTTCCTGATATTATAGAAAGGTACCAAATTCTCCTAAGTAATTTTAAGACCTTGAGTGTTGGTCCGGCCAGGGCTCGAACCCTCAACCTCCTGCTCAACAGTCCGGCGCTCTATCCATTGAGCTAACCGGGAGGCGGTTAAAAATGATGAGAATAAAAGAAAATATCAATTGAGGGATTATTAGTCGATCCAAAACTTAATTCTCAAAGTAACAACAGAAGAATTGTATGTGAGATAGGAAGGAAAATCACTAATGAGATCTTTAGAGTGAAAAGGTCAAAGAATGACACTATTCGTCGTGCCACATAGGTGGTGCGAAGAACAAATCTAAGAGAATCCAACAAAATTCGATGCTTCCGATAAGACACGGTCGAATCAAGACATCTTTGTATGGCAGTATGCTACTCGGCATAGTAGCACACAGGACTAGTGCGAGAACCAACAACGTACCTTAACAAGATTCTCTGCAGCCTCAGTTGCCTTGAGTAGGAAATCATCTCTTTTCTCTTCTTTGATAAGAGGTCTTTTATTTCTAGGTAAAACAATAAATAAAGAGTCTAAGAGCTAATGCCAATTGGCTGTCTAAGGTAATTCAGGATTGCAGTGCTGTCGCTTCACTTTGCTCTGTGATTGGTCTTGAAAACTCGCGCCAATTTCTCAACCAATCAAATGCCAAAGTAAAACCAGCCGCGACGTGTTCACCCGCGTTTTCGCGCGCTTTAGGCAGTTTATTTTTACCTTTACTTTTCACTGGCTCTAAAATACCTAGATTTTAATAGTGAAGATGCTTCAATCAGGTCAGATGTTATTCTTGTTACTGCCTTGATAAATTCTTCGCTAAGGAAAAATCTGCCTTCGATCCATCTGGCACCCATCCTTCGGTGAGTGGACTGCATCATATCACTCAGATGCTGCAGCAATAACGAGGCCAATTCAACACTAGTCTCTGTAAGCTGCGCAGGAGAGGACAAAAGAACACATTAACTGGATGCAGTCTCTGGAGAGGTTAATGCAATTTAGGCAAAGTTAACACCAAATCAATGCAAGGGTTTCACAAGTTGGGGTTCCGCTGGTGAAGTCTACAGAGACAGAACATCTTCTTTCGCTCAATTTGACTTGGTGCTTCATTTGCTCCCTTTCTACTAAGAGCGGGATCCCATTGTTTTGCGTTCAACAATAGAACTTTGAGGGACGTCGCCAGCAAAGATTTCCATTTTGCGTACATCTTTTCTCGAGAACAACCGTGAGCGAACAACTATTCAGAGCAACACTTTTGTAACAAATTTCAGTTGATCAGTCCCAAACCACTACGTCATAATTCTCCAGACACTCCTGCCTCAAATCCCTCTACCCCTCTTTTGAAGCTGGCCATTAAGCAATCGCAGCGCGAGCAGATAATTCAAAATTAAGAGGGAGAGCGGTGTGTTTCAAGAAAATTTGCGAGGGTTGTTCGTGACCTGTAACTGTTAAACTTGTTTTGCAGGTGTGATTGGGGTATGTGTCACCCCGGTAAGATTTATTTCTTTTTTTTAAATCAATACTAAACTGGTAAGGGAATGCTACCTATCTCAATACAGTGGTTACCTCTGTTGGTCTTGCTGTCAGCATCTGAAGAGCTAGACTCGTCTGAAAGGCTGAATTCTGAAGAAAAAATGCAACCAAAAAAGAGGACCGTGAGATAGACATTTTTAAATGCAAAACGAAACGCAAACCCATAAATTGGCTAAAACGTACGTTGCAAATTAAGCAAAATAAGTCCCTGCGGCTATTTGCGTTCTAAAATTGCAATCAAAACTCTTATGGCTAGGGCTTCCAGCGGAAGGAAATATTGACTTTTTCATGTTTGATCCTTTTTGGAGATAAATCGCAATTTCTATTCTTTAAGCCACTTGCATGCTGGTTCATGCGTCGCAAAACCATCACGCGTTTATTCTCGTGCATGCATTATTTTTAGGCGGCATTTTGTGTGAAGCAGCCTCACCCAACATTCTTGGGTGTCTGTGACTGAGAAAGTGGACTGATTCGTACAAGGAAACCTAAAAGTTTCACCTGGTTTAGATACTAATCACCACAAAGTGGGGAAAAAACAAACAAACAGGGGTACGTTAAAAATGATGGCGCATACTTGTTAAAACTCACACTATTACCATACAGGGATTCCACACTCTAACTACAACATGAAGATGAAGCATGCTGTTCAATCACATCTGTAATGTGTTGCAGTTCAAGGTTTTCTTGTTTCACATTCCCGAAAAATCAGTCAGCAAATTTCCGTAATTTCTTTTCTAGGATTCAAGAAAGTCTTACTTCCTCTTTATCGCTCTTTGCTTACCTTGTCATTCCGGGTGAAATTCAAGAGGTTTTGCAATAGTCTTTCTCTGATATCCGTTCTCATGCTAAATCTAGAGCTAACATTTTTGACAGATCCAAGCCTAAAAAGGTGCACAGTTCTTAAAATTAACCCATGGAAGTCAATACTATTAAATATTTCCATGGAAAAACACTAACAAAACAAATAAACAAACAAAGAAAAAAAAAATGATCGAGGCTCTCTCGTCGCGTCTATGCCTAAAAAACGTGATACAAATTATCTGCAAACTCCCTGGAATTGGAGGTAAATGCCACGAGTGCGACGAGCACCGTGGGCAATTTTAGCGATGCTGGCACTGTGACCGACAACAGCGATTTACGGGATTACCGTCACGGCATTCACACTCTACAATTGACCATGATTACACCCCGCGGCTAACCTGTTCAGTGAATTTGCCAAAGCTGTTATGAACTGTCGAATGCCTTGCTCATCCCCTGTATCTTCTAACAGTGACCAATGCCTCCCGTCTGTCTTATTCAACCTGAAAAAATTAGGGCAAAGACTTTGATATTTACGGGCCCCACGTTCTGATTACAAATATTTTCATTTAAGACGTAACTTTTACAAGAAAACTCAAAACGAAATGCATCTTTAAAAGGCAAGGAGCTGGGACTTGGATCTTTCAACAGTTTAAGGAAATCAGTATGGCCAACAAGCTTGTAAGTAACAAAATAAATAAATATTTAAATAAATAAATAAGTAGATAAAAACCAAAAAGGCAAAAATTAGATCCATATTTTGGTCACTAGGAAAAAGATTTTTCGGGAGAACTTAAGGATGCAAGAGATAACTACAATGCAGGGTAAGGAAGAAAATATTCAAGAGACTATTGGCCCAAAATACTGGAGCTTAACAGGGTTTCCGTAGCGGAAGGCGACAATGAGTAAAATCTGCTCCTCGTTGATAGAAAGTGAGAGCGCCACAACAAGTTTTTCAACCCCACCCCACTTTCCTAGCCTTACTGCTCTAAGGGATAGAGAGGCACTGTGAGATTAACGCGTCTTAGCCAAGAAAACGACAAAATGACTCAGTCCACAGCTTAATTCAACCCAGCATTAGAGTGAAGAATACAAAAGTAATATAAAAATGGGTAGTCGGGGAGGAAAAACCCTGCCTATGACAAGGTGGCCATTTTTTTAAAGCAACTATACACCGAATGCAAATATGGCGTCCAATTTGAGTTGCTATTGTTCTGGACTGACTAGCCTCTCACACATGTAATAATCCTTTTGTATTTCCACGTGAAGACGAGGCTAGTCAGTCCAGAACAATGGCAATTCAAATTGGACGCCATATTTGCATTCGGTGTATGTTTGAAGGTTTGACAGCAACGAAAAGCCAGAAAATGTATACTCACAACACTTCTTCTACAGAGACACCCTCTGACACATTCAGAGGCAACACCCTCACTTGCATAGGTCGAAAATACCGCTTTACTTCCTCGCTGGCTATTGTCACATGGATTTTAACTGTTATGAGAAAGTAGCGTTGTTTAGGAAAATCAGCACTAAAATTTCGTTGTAACGCTCTTCATACCAATTTTAGAAAACAAAAAGGAACAACTCGATAAACTAACCCACCAACGAGCAAACAGGCGAGCAGATTGATCAACGGACAGACTGATGCACTAAAAAGATAATTTGGTTTTATCAACCAAGTTGATAATGTATTCTGGCCTCCAGAAGGAGTCCCTAAAGCTGACGATTCGGGCGTAAGCCTTATGTCAGAGCAAATGACGCAAACGCTTGAAACGTGAGCTCTTCAAACTCTCTACGGTGATCAATGTACATTAGTATATACACACTTAGTGATCTTGGCGTTTCAAGCAATCTGATTGGTTCGCTTTCTCGGGCTAATCAACAATGTTACACCTTCGAGCGAGTGGATAATGTAAAAAAAAAAAGGTCGGGCGTAAACTTGCGTTTCGCTAAAGCTTCAGAAGCAGAAATTGCCTTTAAATGGCTTCTTTTTAATTTTGTCGAGATCACTTCGTGTGTATATACTAAAACAATTATTCTTGTCAATCTCGGTGAATAGTGGCTTTCGGGAATATTTAACTCACCGCTTCGCGGCTCGGTAAATATTTAGCACTATTCACCTCGATTTCAAAGAATAATTGTTAATTATCTACTTGGTTGACAAAACCAAATTGTCTTGCATTACCCCCGCTGACGTAGTACCATAGTTTCTTTAGAAACGTACCTCTTGTATTCACTTAACAGATCAAAAAATACAGCTGACCAACTTAATTATTAGAGAGATTTAGCACCGCGTTTACGCGAAACGCAAACGGCAAGAGTGACCAAGGGATCCTGTTTTTCCCGCCAATTTTTCACGTTTCCCAGTCGCGCCTTGCCATTTCTACGTGAAAGTAACCTGTTTCCCTTTTGCCGTGTACGTAAGATTTTCTTCGCTTTTCTCTCATAGAGTACCTTTTATCCTTTTCTTGATAACCATATTTATATTTTCTGTTATCCTTACGTTAGATTTATGCAGGGCCTCACTGAAAACCACACTTTGTGACGTGGGCTCCCTGTCAAAAGATCTTACTTATTATTATTAATTTAATTACCGAAAAAAGGGCACCAAAACTATTCCTCGTAAGTCATATAAGAGTACCTTCAAATCCACGATGACGCGCGCTCACGCGAAGTTAAAGCAGTAAGGTTCACGCTATTCTACGTCAAACGCAAAAGGGCAAGCTGACGTTTGCCGTTTCACGTAAACGCCGCGCTAAATCAGACCAACAGACTGGGTAAATAACATTCTAACAAACATCACTGAGTGCTCTTTGTTGGTCCATGGTTTGCACCAACTGATCTACCAACCTGTATAATTTAAGGCCGCCAGTCCAGGGGGTAAAACAAACTGAACTTCTGATCTGTAGCTGGAGTACACCAGGATTCTCTCCTCTTTCTCATCACTGAGACCATCAACAGTATAGCTTATGCGGTAACTTATGGGCCACATCTAATCGAAGAAATTTAATACAATGAAATCTGTATGAAGCTTAATGGATGTTACACGTACTTTGAGACTTGAAATTTGGCAAAAAATCATTTAAGTCCGGATTTCGTTTTCTTGCATACACGGTAAAACAAACCTGCATTCAGTGAACCCAGATATTACGCCCTTCTGTGACCCAAAATCTAACACAAGCCTTTTCTTGTGATTTTATCATCTATCTTTTATTATTACGGAAACGTTAGCTGTCTTAATATTCTGTTCAGTTAACGTGCCAATAACGACAAGAGAAAACAGTCAACAGTGAAAAGTAGATCAAGACACTGTCAAACAAACTTGTAACACAAAGAAACTTTAAATGGCTAAGAATATTAGTCAAAAAAGTTCCATTTATATGTAAACTTACAAAACTCAACCTACTATTCTTTATTTTGACTTCCTGAACACATATTTGTAATTCTGTAGCTGCCAAAACTGCCAGAAAACTCTTCTCTTGACACACACAAGAAGTTACCTAGAGATTTGACACTTGCAAACCAGGTATCGCGGTACCGGTTCTCTTTTTATGGCATCGAAGTGGACAAGATAGGCCCATCATGCCAGCTCGGCTAGCTAACCAGGGCACAAGAATTATTTCGTTTCGTCCACTTGGGGAGCCTACCGTACAATGAAAAAAATTTACTTCCTCACCTTGGCAGCTTTTTCAGAGCACGTCAGCTGGAATGGTGTCTCCAAAGCATCTCCAATGGAAGGTGTTACTGTGCATGTTTCACACTGGGGAGTTCTACTTGTGTTGAAGTAGATGGATGCTAATCCTCTCTGGCCTGTGCTGTGATCATGCAACTGGAGCGCCACCATGTACATTTGGCCTGGTGGAAAAAAGCCACCGAGCAAAACGAAATTTTGGCTCCTGAGGCCTGTAGTTGTGTGTTTTTCCAAAAGTCTCATGGGGTTTTTATTTAGACTGATGATACTTCCGGAAAGCTTTCCAGACTGTGGTACATATGTTGGAAAATACAAATCACCACTCTCATCATCGTCATGTTTGTCAGGTTTATCACCTCTGCCCGGGTCACTTGAGGTCGTATTAAATATAACACCACTTCCTGTTCCAACTCCTTTTCCTGTGCCAAAGCCAGCACCGGTACCAGTGCCAGTTCCGGAACCCAAAGGAGGCCGTCTGGTCGTTTCCATAGTTGGGAGAGGTCCATAGAAATTAGGATCCATACAGATTGCGCCCAGGCCAAATTGGCCACGTCTTTTGGTTGCAGGGGTGTGCTTGACGGTTGATAACGTACTGGTTGGTTTTGAACTTCTAAGAGGGGAAGAAGTCGGTTGTGAGGTCAACGGTCTCGATGTACCATGAAAACCAGAGCTTTGAATTGGACTGGTCGGTTCATCGGTTACCGATTCACTATCACACTCTTCCTCCTTCTTGGGAGGGTCAGAGCCAACAAGTTGAACGTGATAGATGTACCACTCGTAAGAAATGTTGGTGTTGTGTGAGGGACATGACGAACAGAGGCCCACAACAACAAGAGGTGCAGTGGGGTTCACAATACCCTTATCACACTGAAGGCAGTGAGTAGACAACCTACAGAAATAAAAAAATTAAAATTAAATTAAGTTAGCTAAGCAAATCAATAAATAAATTGAAATTTAACAGGGGGACTTCCCATGGGTTAGCTCTTTCTCCACTGCCGAATTGTGAGTGTTGGGTCTAAGTGGAGGGAAGAAAACTGGAGAACAGAAAAATAACCTTCGGGGTAAGGAAATAAACAACAACAGGCTCAACTCTTATTTGATGCCACGTTTAGGAATGGAACCCAGGCCACATCTGAGGAAGAGGAGCAATCTTTCTGTTGCACCATTTATGCTCATTCCAAGACCAAACATTGCTTCCATTTGTAGTTCTGTCTTTACTCTTTAATCAACAAAGGCTGTACTATCACACTCCAAAAAGCCAAATCATTTCATATAAATGAACGTTTGTACCTCCAATGTCAAATTCTACTACCAGAGCTCAGATTTAATCTTTAATTTAGCTTTTATGTAAAATATATTATGGAACCATCCAACTCTTGGTTAAGTACTATCACCACGCAGAATTGTGGGAGGAAGGGGGCACTCCCAGGGTTATACATGTACAAAATATGTAACAACTTGACTAGTAACTCACAGATGTCCAGGCGCAGAGTTCATGATTAGAACCTTTGAGGCTGTGGATTTCCTGGAATCCTTTGCCACTGTGACCAAAAACTCAAAGGAGTCGAATGAGTCGTCTTCCAAAAGCCAGTCTACTTGAAACTTAAGAACACTCTGGTTTCTTTTCATTGAGACAGGCGTTCTTGAATCATTGAAACACGACTTGGCTTCGTCTCTTAACGGATGGCAACTCCAGTAAAACCTGTGTGGAGGAGAATAAAAACAAAAACAAGTTACAACGTGAAGAAACAAATAGATATGTATGATAACGGACTGGCACATGATAACGAGGACCTTTTCTCACGACACTTCAGAGCTCCTTTCCACCCAGGCACGATTGGCAAATAATTTCACCCTACAATTTAACACAGTGCTTGGCAGAAAGGAAACCATGATAAGGGAATAACTCTAAAAATAACACTAGAGGACTTGGTCAGATGATGACAATTTTGTCTTCGTCTCTCCAAGGCCAGCAACCATTAAAAAACTTTCTCAATATAACTTTGCATTTTCTACAAATACATGTGTCAATATAATTGGATTATACAGTACGGTACTTTTCCCATAGCAATTTTTTTAAGAGAAAAATCGAGTTTCCAGATGGGATTTGAACCCACGACCCTTCGTGATCTAGTCGGATTCTCTAACCACTGAGCTACAGGAGACTCTATGGTGAGCAAGGGTCAATTAGTGGGTATTGACTGGAACCCCATCACGCGGCTACACAGCCAAACATCAGCTTGCACATAGAAGCTCACTGACAGCATCACGCTGTCACATTAAAGTATCACATGCAGCCAACCAGCCCCCAAAGTGAGCATGTAAAGATGAAATAAACAATTGTTTAAAAATTGTTTATTTCACCTTTACAATTTTTTTAAAATACATTAAAAATTAGTTATTAGCTCCTTGGAAATACTTTGAAAGTTAGTATGGGGCCATGCAGGTTTTTGAGATGTCACCCAAATGTCATCCTGAAAAATTGTGAAAAGGAAACTAGTAGTAAAATACAAATAAATAAAGGGGTGAAGTTTCGAAATAAACTTGGTGCTGCGTCCGTGGGGGAGTATAACAAGGTAATTTTGGATTTATCAACTGCATTGATAAAGTAAATTGGCCACCGTAAAGAGTTTCAAAGCTGACGTTTCGAGCGCTAACCCTTCGTCAGAGAGAATGGAGGAATTGTGAGATGTGTATGTGCGTGTACGTGTGCGTGTGTGTGTGCGCGTGCGTGTGCGCGTGCGTGTGCGTGTGCGCGTGCGTGTTTGCATGCAGCAAATGGAACTACACAATTGGTGGGAACATGGTATTGAAAAGAACAAGAGTAAATTAGTTGATGAAAAGCATTCATTCATATCGTGGGTAATAAGAGTGCCGATTTAATGGATCAACTTTTGTTCTAGAGTTTTGCGGCTGTCCGAACTACCTAAGTGTAAGGAAAGGCCGCGGACTGCCATATGCTGCCTAAAAAGATTAGACAGATCAAAGTGTCTAGCAACTGGTTTGGATAATAATAGTAAAAGCCACTGAATGCCATTTTTCCTACCTCAGTAGATGACTCTCATCTGGAGAGTCAGGATCGTAAGAGGGTGACGCATCCATTACAATTTCCTTGTGTGTATACGCAACAACCGTTGAAGTGCCCCCTTTTATCACAGCCACCAGATGACTCTTCACGACAGTCACCCGCACTTTGGTAAATGAGGCTAATCCTGTAAGTTTTCCTTTAACCTGCAAGTGCCACGGATACATATATACATTTCAGTAACATCGTTGATCCACCACTCAACAGACAATGAGCAACACGGTATCCACTAACTGACAACATTTTCCTGATCAATAACATTTCTTCTTAAAAAGAGCGGAAGTGAAAAAAAATCCATCAACAGATTCCAAACTCCATACCTCAAGCTGGAAAAAATATTTTCCGTAATTCAACTGATGGGGAGGAATGACAAGTGCTTCCCTTGTGAAACTCGCTCCCTCTAACTCAACTATAGTTCCTTCATCGGCACCAGATGCTGCAGTTACCTGGGGTAAATTAAAAAATAATTATAATTTAAAAAGATATGACTTTAGAGAAACGAAAATCCTACTCCTTTGGAAAGAGAGCCAAAGTGGGCGGGGGGATTCTCTAACAAACAATTATTCAATTGCTGGATCTACAAAGCCCTACTGAATACCACTTTTGTGATGTTTTTACCTTCATTATCATCATCATTCTTGTTATCATTTCGTCATCATTGTTGTTGGCGTTTGAGTTTCCGTTCTTGTCACGATAACGTTATCAATGTCATCATCATTATAATAATCATCACTATTATTATTATTATTATTGATATAATTAAATATGAAAAGACATATCTCAGTCTAAAGCAATTGTCCCTTTCAAAAAGGACGTCTGCTTTATATTGGACCTTGTTCACTGAAGCAAGGCCCTATGTGCCACGAGGCGCGAAAAGGATTGATGATGTTCACTAAAGCAACATGTAAAAAATCTTCCAATAAGTAAGTACCTTCCACGTGTAAATAAGTTGATCAGCCTTATGGCAGTTTACATCAACATCAGCCTCTAACCGAAGCTCTCTTGATCGAAGAACCTGTAAAATACATTATTGGCTATTATCAGAGTCTCAAATAATTATAATTGTAACAATTAAGTCAAAAGATACATTTTCAAGAGTTTTATAATGTGATAAATCCATGTAAAACGTTTGGCAAGTCTACAGGGCAAGTCAAATGGGAAATTAAGTCAATTTTTGCCCAAGTTCCTCTAGCTGGTTTTTTTTAAAAACACTTTGTAAACTTTTTCAGGACCATAACGAATGATGTGAAACCTCTTTTGTACTGAAAAATCAGTACTGTTTCCAGTGCAGCTTAGAAATACTACCAAACCACACTACATCGCCTAAAAACTATCCATAACCCTCTCCCCTCAACCTGCTTTATTAGTAAGGTTTATCTATAAACACATTTCTACAATCTACCTTTCCTCCATTAAGTCCAAGCATGGTGACAGCTGGTGGATAACAAGTGGGTGAATCGGTTACTTGGACTATGATTGATGTTTCTTCTGGATCATTAAGAGGATTAGAGGCAATAAGGTTGATTTTGTGTTCCCCTTTCCTGTGCACAACAGAGAACAATGACAAAGACAAAGATAAATTGAGAACACTTTTCAATTCAGTGTCAAAAAACTTCAACCAAAGTACACTGTACATGTAATCACAACAGGCAATTGGGATAAAAGAAAAATATAACAGGGAAGGGAATAAAGACAATTAAGTAAAAACAAGCAAACTGCTTGAAAGGTGCAAGACACGAATCACTAAGTGGTCACAACTGGTTTAGAGGGTCGAATTTGAGTGGTTGAGAAAGTGGCCCAAATTTTCACAGTGCAAAGAAAAGCAACTTAAAAAGCAATTCAAGCCTTGGATTGGGAAACCTTGAGATCCTTGGGAAACAGCATCAAATGTTTCCCTTCCGACCAGTCATTAGGCATTTCATATCGACCTCATTATTGGCCTTTGGCAGGGGAAAACTTGAGATCCTTGGGAAACAGCACCAAATGTTTCCCTTCCTGACTGGTCGTTAAGCATTTCATATCAACCTCTTTGTAGGTCATACATGTAAATGCATGTACAAAAATTCCTTGACTGTCAAATTCTCACCTTGTGTAGTTGTGTGTAATACGTGTTGATGTGGTATTTATAACTGAACCATCTCCAAAGTCCCAATAGAAGGTAACATTTGTCCCTTTCTTCACACTTGCCGTCAGATGTGAAGGCTTTCCTAACAGTATTGTTGATTCAAGGTGGATAGAGAGCTGTTGAAGGAGATCATGACTTACACTCAGTGCCTACATTTTGGGCAAAACTAAAGAAGTCTTCACAATATTTAAACATATCCTTCTTTAACTCTCACCCCAGATATTTCTTCATACACAAAGATCAATAGTTCTTTAGAATAGACAGAGCTGACTTCATTTTCTGCTTCAGCTTTCAGAGTAAACCTTTAAGAAAAAATGTGACAGAATGAATTCTACATTACGGTCGAAAACACTCTTGCATTGCATGACCATCAGACCACATAATCCCAGGTTTCCAAAGTACTGAAGAAGAGTGACTAAGAAAATCTCTTGTCCTCACAGATTATATGCCAAGTCATTGCAGGTTACCCCCCTCCCGCCCCAAGCATTTCTTTATGTTTTCCTACAGAGGAGGTAGGGGGCAGGGGGGAGAGTGCATAGTCTTGCCCAAGACTACAAAAACAAAGTCTGGCCATAGATGTAATCCAGATCTCTTGATCCCATTTCCAGAGTCTATCAAGCCACAGCATCTTGCACCACCCCCAAGGGAAGAGCACTGTATTCTAACCTTGTAAGCCAAACAAAATGGTCCACCTCACCTTCCTGGTTCCCAAAATATGGCACGCATCATGTTGCCCACTGGTGCATGCACCCTATCATCCCTGTGAAACTTGATCTTGACGTTTCCATTTGGTCCTATTGCAGGTAATACCTCTGCAGTGAACGTCGTGTCTTCACCTGTCTCCAATATCAGGTGTGGCTTCTCAGGCTTTACTATCACACCTAGATATGAGTAAAACAAATAATCACCCAAACAATTAGCACTAAGCCTTTTCTTCATCCATGTTTGTTGAAGCTAATCTTCAACATCAGCTCATTCAACGTCTACTGCTTTGATTGTATCAGTATGCCTCTTAGACTCTATATGCACTGATGCTTTTTATGTGTTTCTGTGAATCCCAAATTTCTAGCCTAGAATTAATTAAGCCTCATAACAAGTTTGGGTTGCCTTTTCCAATCTACTTGTCTACTTTTTCTACCTTGTTATTTTGTATTTTCTTGTTGACAGTATGTTACTGTCTTATCAGTTTTTCTGTTTGTCAGCCAGAGGCTGCTTGTTGACACGAAAATCCTTGACCTCTGAAATAAAATTATGCTGAAATTGAAGCTCAGGATCATATTTGTCTGAAATTATTGCCACCCTTGAAATAATATGTCAGAAATCTTCAACAACCTTACATACAATTGTATCATCTATTCATGGCATGAATGGAGGACGCAGACAAAAAAATATATATCAGGGTTGAGTCGAAACTGTCAAGTAACTTTTGAGTGGTACCACACATTCACACAGATAGTCTATAGAGTTCACCTTGTAGTTTTTTAATAGGACACACATGGTCCACTCTCTGAATTTCACCATGATCATAAAATGCAACAACTGTCACATTATACCGGTGATGTGCAAGGGAGAACTTGTGACTCACCCATGGAACTGGAACAGGAAGAAAACACATACCTTAATCTCAAACCAATCTGAGTGTAATATTCCACAATAAAAAACCTTCACACACTAATAGTCTAATTTCCATGGTATAAGCCAGGGTTGTTGCCAAGAGCCAGCCAGATGAAAAAGCTGAGATCCCTTACTAGAGTTTTTGGTAGTTTTTATTTGTGTCCACCATTTTCTAGACAGAAATCATTTCAACTTTGTTGAAGCCCCCCCCCCCCCTTCTTTAAGGTATAATCTTTGAGCTGCCTCACTTGAAATTTCAGCCAGCCCCTAATTTCTTAGCTACAACCCTGCTCAAACGAATCTGAGTTAAATTTCCCATAATATTAAAAAAACATTTTTCATCAAAGGTAAAAAAAGTTAGTCAAGTAGCCCACACTTCAGGAGATAGGGAGACAGTAAAAATATTGCTTCTTCCCCTGAGCTGGATGAGCTAGATGATAATCTATCATCCACTACCCCAATTGTTTTCTCAGAGTTCTCTGATAGTTTTGAATTAACCATTTCTTTATTTCTGTCTTTCTCTATTTGTTTATTATCTACACTGTACAGTATTTAGACAGGCTGGCCCAGTTCAGCTTAATTTAAAGCTGGTTTAACTGGCCCAGCCTGTATAAACTATAACAAGGTCAGACCACAGCACTGAGGGAGCTACATTCTCAACTCTTTGCAAGAAGTGCTAGGGTTCTTTCATGTCCCATGCTAACCATGGAGTATAGAGAACATGCAGGAGATGGGGCCTTCTGTCTATAATTGTCATAATCTGAGGAGACTTTAAAGTCTAACCATTTGCAGATGTCAGAGCAAAGGCCATCAGCACATTCTCCTCAGTTATTTTAAGACCCTGAGCGTTGGTCTGGTCTAGGATTGAACCCTCGACCTCCCATACAACAGTCAGGCAGCGCTACAACATGAGCTTGATCAACTAGCTAACCACAATGCTACTCAAATTTTTAAACCAACCCAATATTAACTGGCTCACCTGTAGTTGCTTTGATTGGTGAAGAATCATTAAAATTCCAATCATAGCGAACTTTACAATCCTCTGAATCCAAGATTCTGGCTTTTAATGTTGAGTGCTTATTTGCTTCAACATACAAACAATCCTCACTATTCTTCACAAGTTCAATGCTTGCTTTAAAGGCTCCCACATGAACATTAAAGGTCTTGGACTCCTGACTAATGGCATTTGACACTTTGACATTGACTGTAAAATTGCCTCTTCTTTTAAAGATGTGAGAAACAGTCATACAAGTGAAATTCAGTGATTTTTGATCTGACGAGGAGTCTGTAGCAACAAATGGATCACTTCCATCTCCAAAGTCAAATCTAAATTCAGGGAAGGACCCGCGACCAATAGTCCATTTAAAATACACCAATTTACAGCTTCTAACTGATAAAGATGGTAATCTGATGGGAAGTTTGCTTCCTCCTTGAAATGCAGTGACAAGTTGCAGGCCAGTTATTGGAACTAAAACCTCAATATGACTGCATCTCCGCTGGTTTGAGAACAAGTTATAGGCAAGAACACAAACGTCATGACTGCTATAGTTTTGAAATATTATGTCATTTGAAATATTCAATGAGTTTCCAGTCAGATTAACTTTTGCATTACTGTAAACCTTGCCTTGAACAGACCATTCTATGAAAATGCTGTAAGCAGTTTGATTTCCTTGTTTTATCCTGTTCAAACCACTGACTTCATATCCCAATCCTTTGATAGACAGCATAGATGTGATGGTGATTAAAGTGCCTTGTAAAGCTTGGTTTGGTAGACTGATGTTCAGTGATACAAGAAGTGGAACAGATGTTGAGTAAATACTACTTGCGTGTGTTCCTCCACACTTGATACTTTTGTCACCATGGCAACTGCAAGCAAACAAATAGATGCCCTTTATAAAGACTGCCCCTTGTGGAGACTGTTTTTGCTTCTGAGCTCCTGGTTTCTTACATCTATCTGCTTCACATAATTGTGTGCCAATTAACTTCATGTTACACCACTGACAGCAGTGTTCTGTTATACACCCTATCACATAGTAACACTGTACAAGCACAGGACCAAGTTTGTTCAAAGGGCAGATAATGCAATCCAAAAGATAAATCTCTATTTAAGAGGAATAAATGTTAACAAAATTTGTTGTGCTGAACATGTATATGTATACTGTGATTTAAACTGTGGATAGCATATACACACCCTTCGTAAGGTATATGTAAGGCCACATGTGTAAAGACTTGTTTCAATGTTCTTAGATATTATACCCTCCTCTCTCACTGTGTAGTCTTCCTCGGATAAGGGCAGCCTCCCTAACTGTAAGTCACAGTGTGCACTAGTGTTGATTGACCCAAACTACCATATCTTATCCCTATCCCCATAGCATGAGGCAACCCTGAGCTTTTGATGAGTTTCCCTGGAAATTCATTGTCACTCATTTGTACTCTTGGCTGCAGAGAGAGTATTGGCATCTACCCCAAGAACATGACACATTGAACTACATGTACTTCAGGTAGTATAGGCTTGAAAAAGAGCTATTTGGCCTCTGCATCTCCCCCAGAGAAGAAGGCTTGACACAGTGGGGAACTTATAAGTTTGAACTTCTTATCTCTTGTCAGGGCTTGAAATTAACGGTACTAACACATTAACCAATGGTTAGTAATTATTTACAACATTTGGTTACTAAAAGTGTATCCAACTATAACCTGACATGGTTAGTAAAATTTTCTAACATATTTAAACATTGGTGGACTTCGGGACAAAGAGCACATAGACCCGACTCTCAGAAGAATACTTAGAATACTCAAGTTGTTCAACTTAAACTCTTTTTAGAGAATGTGCAGATGTACTATTCTTGATTAATCATCATGGTAGATGAGAGAGAAATAATTAAAATAGGTGCATAATTGTCAATGTTTTTAAGGTCACCATGCAATTTCAGCTACTCTTTAATTTGTCCTAGTTGTTATTATCAAAATGTTCAATATTTGAGATATCATAACTTGTGAGCTTGGATACCAAACTTTATAATTTGGTTAGTACAAAAGATGTCTACTAACCCAAAGGGTTAGTGATCCTAAAATTAAATTCGAGCCCTGCTTGTAGGTTCTCTCTGCCCCTTCCATTGGATCCTCTACGAAATCCTTCCCCCTAATTGGAAACTCTAAAATTGTAGCTTCGCTAATCGGAAACTCTTCCTCAATGTAACCTGCCTCTGATAAGCTAAGGGCACCCTTAATTATCAAAAACTTCATAATTGCAGTAGCTTCTCTAATTTAGTTTGGGCTAGTTGGCAATGACCGCTGAAAATCAAACTCCATGTACCAGTACCAGTACTATAAAAAGACACTTCACTTAAAAATAATTTTTTGCAGACATAAGTTATAATACCTAGTATTGCAGTTAGTATCATTGATGGTGGCATTCTTGTCTATTTCTGTTAGGCAAATACAGATGCTTCCATTTCTTACTGCAGCATATCTGAAGCTGCAAGGCAACAAAACAAAACAATCTTATCACATTTGGCCCAAGCCTAATTAAAGCCAGACCTTCAGAAAACTCACACTCCAAGACTAAGCCACTAATTTACACAGTACTCTGATCATACCACTGACTTCAAATCATCTTTCCAAATTCATAGCCAAACTTGTCATCATTGAATCCCTAATTGCATTTACATGTACATATGACCCTGTGTTTGCAGTGTTTTCAGCATATTTTTTGGGTGTCATGCAGCCATAAAAAAAAATTTCATTTGCTTGTCATAAAAATTTATTTTGGATCAAGACAGATACGTCACCACTTTGTAGCCAGCCCTTAGAAACTAGAATCCAAAGGAGACCAGCTTCTCTGTTGGATCTGCAAAACACTGTGAGTTGGTATCCACAAGGTTCACACTGGGTTGATTCATTGCTCATTTGTTGTATGCTTAATACTGTAAGTGATGAAATGAAGGCTGGGTTGCAGGGGAAAATGTTCATACTGACTTCTAATGAATGAACTGATTCTAAATGAACCTAAGCCAAACAAATTTGCTCACCCTAGACTTTACCTTTTCATCTCACCTAACCACACCTACCTTGCATTATGCACACACTGACTAACACAGCATACTGGTGTCATATGATTTTCTTGAGCAGATGTGTTGGATGAACCATTAGTGATGTAACCATCAGTGAAGTCCCTGTTATTGAAACAGCCAATGTACCATGGAGCTTGAAAAATAAAAGAGTGGTGTGAAGTTTTGCCATATACAAGCAGATAGCTCATGCCCTCCGTGTTGTGTTTAAGTCTGATTAGACCAGAATTTTGTAAATTGAAAGGTCTAATCAGAAAGGTAAATTGTTTGTATTTGTAATGATTCAATGCATTTTTAAACTTGAGCTTTATTGCCAATGCTCTTTGCAACTTTTTTTCAGGATTCTGGATCAGATTTTTTTTCATTCATTAAAATAGAGATGACTTTTTTGTCAGCTAAAGGCTGTTGCGTTTTTATATTAAACAAAACAATACATGGTTGCCTGTGAATATTAAATTTCTCTTCTCACGTTGAACTTAATGCCTTGTTCATTTGCTGTGTTTACTAGTGATATATGGAGTGTAACACCCACGGAGAAATTCCATATCTATACATGCCCATGTTTTATTTTCTCTTTATTGAACTGAAGAATGAATTGGTTTCTTGAAAAAATTAGCATACAAAAGAAAAGTTGAGAAAGGGAACAATTATTACATAAACCAGTTGGGGGAAAGGGTAATTTCTTGCCATTTCACAATTGAATGCAATCATAATGACTCTCCATTTTAAAATCTCATTTCATATTGGCCTCCCGGTTAGCTCAGTTGGTTAGAGCGCTGGATTGTGTTGTGTGGGAGGTCGAGAGTTCGAGCCCCGGCCTGACCGATACTCATGGTCTTAAAATAAGTGAGGAGAATTTGCTACCTTTCTACAATCAAAAAATGGATAGATATTTTAGTCTTCTCTGATAAGGATGAATAAACGGTAGGCCCCGTCTCCTGCAGGGTTAGGGGTAGGAGACGTTAATTTCCCACGCACGAGATTACTGTGTGGTGGATGTCCTCCCCTGGGTGGGATGGGTGGGAATTGGCCCTGAAAAGCCACTATGGGGAGTGGTCAAGTAACGTATGTACATCTGTATGTATGGATGCCTCATATTTCATTTCAGTCTACTTGACGATAATCCGCTATGAACAACAACATACTTTGCAGCAGCTAAGTAACAATCTTGTAATGATACACTTGAGGCTATGGGGATCAATAATTTTGCTGCAGTTGGCATGCTATATATTTGATAAAAATGCTACCACGGTCATTCCTCTCAAGGTCATGTAAATGAATGACCTGCCGATAAACAATTAAATGGCTATAAATTGCTACGTGGTTGAATAATACTGTAACAAATAATTATACATGGCTTTGCTTTATTATTAATAACAAAGATTTAGTAATACATAGACAGGTAAAAACGAACGATATAATATCCCGCCGTTTCGGCGACTCCATGACGCCATTATCAAGGGTACAAATGAAAATAAAATTAACAAACGCCAGTTCAAGAGTTACAACTAATTTGCATAGGGGAGGTAGCTACACAAATACTTTAGCACAGATAGAATCCGTTTGCACGTTCAAACTCTGTGTTAATTGTTTGATGTAAAGCATCTTGTTGATGAGACAATCGAATTTGTTCATGCCCTTCTTGAGAACTTTTAAACAGCTAAGAAGGTCCTCAGGGACAGCACCTGCGTGGTCGTTGTCGTAGTGCTTGCGCACTGAAGATGACGTGCTCTTATGGCTATCCACGCGGGCATATAAATGCCCACGTGTGTAACCAACATAGCTTTATTAGCAAGGTTGCCTTTTATGAAAACCACAGAAATTTGTACCTAACAGTCTTGTGAACTGTACATGTTCTCTTCTGCAAAATACCAAAAAAAAATTGCCAATCCATGAAAATAGTCTCTTTCAGCAGTTGTTCTTCAGCTCATCAAGCATTGTCATGTACATGTTACGTGCAATACTAGAAAATGGCTGTGGAGGAGACCGCTTTGAACTAATTTCATTCTGCAATGCTATTCAAGTGGATAAGAATTAGACAGGTTTACTAGTGTTTTGAGAAGTGCTCATAATTTTGTCCTTACAAAAAACCTTCAATTTGAGAATTAAAACAAAAGGACAAAACTTGCTCATTATCTGTTGAAAAATAGATATCTTGCAGGTTTTAATTTTGACAAGGGTTCCAGGTTGGCCTTTTTTCTTATCTCTTAATTTTCACCCTTTTGAGCTCCTCCTTTTCTGTCACTTAACAGCATTATTAACAGGAAGTAGGGGGCGTAGCGCTGAAGGCGGACCACCGCAATTAATAAACAGACAATTTAAGCCCTTTGCAATTTTATAAATTGCAGGGCTTTTTTTTTTCTGTCTCCAATAAAAAAAAAACATAATTGGAAGGTTCCTCTCTTTCTGTCGAGAGCAAAAAATAACCTGTTACAGGTTAAAGTATCAATGACATAATAGTGCGCTTTATATGGCATCAATATTATTTTGCTACAGTAGGTGCACCATAGTGCTGTGCATCTGTTTGATTTTGAAATCACTCATACAATTTCAGACCAAACTGCACTCCACTCTGGTCAATTACCATAGCCGAGTTGACGCTGACTGGCATCTGAATTTCTCCTGACAGCATGACCCCTGATTCAAATGTTAACGGCACAAGAATGAAGAAAATTATTATTGTCAGCTTAGAGAAATCTTGATTTTTAATTGATTTTCTCCTTTTAAAAATACCCTAGGAAATACACAGCGTATAGAGAAAATTGTAGAGAACAAAATGTTCAGAGAATTTGCACACTATCTACTACAGGGTTATAAGAGTGGACCACCGGTAAACCACCATATTTATTCGATTAAGCACCCAGGGCGCTTATTTAATTTTTGGACTTTCAGGATGGGTGCTTATTTGAGGTGGGCACTTATTTAAGGCTGGGTGCTTATTAAATTTTCACTTTTTTCAGTAAGTAAAAAGTTCATTTTGTAACAAAACATGAAATAAGAACAAAACATGACAAATATTAAAGCATATAATTAAATTGTAACAGTTCATTGTTCAGTTTATGCCCAGGACTAACAACTCATTGTTTGGTCTTCACAGAAGTCTCTTCATCTATCATGATTCTCAATCAACTTCAATGTCAGCTCAATTAGTGAATTTTCTGGTGCTGCCTCCTTGATATCCGACAGCGTAACATTTCAGTTGAAACTTTGAGAAAAAATACTAACATTAAATTGTCATAAAATTTTCAGACAATGAAACAATACCTGTATTTCTCTTGTGCACTTTATTATTATTATTTTTTTTTGGGAGGGGGGGGGGTGGGTGCTTATTTGAGGTTGGGTGCTCTAAAAGTACTTTTTGGAGGTGGGCACTTATTTGAGGCTGGGTGCTTATTAACTACCTACAGGGTGGGCACTTATTAACTTTTTCTACCTTCAGGGTGGGCGCTTATTCAAGGTGTGTGCTTATTCAAGGTTGGGTGCTTATTCAAGGTTGGGTGTTTAATCAAATAAATACGGTAAAACTATTCCTGATTTCTGCCCCTCCCCACCAGTGGACAGTCATGAAGAAAAGCTACCCTTCATCAACTGTGATGGGGCATCGGAGCATGTAATGCAAAGGTCTGGTGTTTTTCGATCATTTCCTTAAGGGACTCAGAGTTCCCCCTGATCTATTTATGGGACAAGATTGTTGCATAATCAGCAATTCACACCACCATTTACGTTTTATCACAAAAGAATTGTTGCTAATTAGTGTACATTGTAGTGTGACCGTAATATATGCAAAATTCTAGCAGGTATAAAACTCGTGAATTTTGGCTCTACATTATTATTACTTGGATTAGTGTGTGCGTGAATAAAGAACTTTGTTTTTACAGAACCGAGTAGTTAACAAAGATGAAAAAACAACTGGAAATTTTTTTTGTCTACTTTACTAATGACAGATAAAGTGGATTTCTGATAACTGGATGTACTAATCAGAAGTTAAGAATCATCATTCCACAAATGATACAAGAAAATGTCTTTTTTTTCTTGATGTGACTTTTCTATGCCAAAAGATGCATATGCTTTAGTCAGTACGTCTGTCAAAGGAGAAACTTCCAGTCCATTTCTTAAGATCTGAGAGAAAAAACCCACACTTGTATGGTGTCACCTTGGTGATATATATATCTTATTAACCAAGCGCGGGGGCCGTACTGGGAGAATATCGGCCCCAGGTCTTGACAGTACGGACCAAGCACAGCGTGGTCTGTACAAAAAAGACCGAGGGCCGATATTCTCCCAGTACGGTCCCGAGCAAGATTGGTTAATAAGAGATTTATTATACGACTGAAGTTCAAAGGGACACAAGTGCGGTATCATTCGGGACCATTCGGGACAGTGCCCGGTCCAATACTTAGACAATATTGACCGGCAATTGAGCATTTTGATTGGTTGATTTTAGTTATCGGCCCTCCGACTGCCCGAGTCGGGTAATAAAGGACGTTATTCCCCGTTTTAGACACACAAAGTACACCACTAAGGCATGCAGAATTAAATTTCTGAAATCCACCCTAGAAGCAGGTGCACTGACTTGTTTTGGAACCATGGGACAAATTTTTACCGCAACGATCTAGCACGACATAGCGTTCTCTCCTATATTCATGAATGATTAGCTAGCTGTCTTGTTAATTTGAAAACATAAAGGAATATGAAACCATGCCCCTACAAAGCATCTATCATAGGTAAAAGATTATTTTTCGAGCTCGATCATCACTCGCTAGTCCCCAATACAGGGAAAATCGATATCTGTTGGTGCACATTACCGGGGAAAATTACTTGCTTCCCGGTGACATCTCTTTCTCTTTGTTCAGTAGAGAAATTTTGTAAATTGCGTTTTAGTAAAGAACTGATTTCTTTGAATTCCATCGTGTGTAATTATAGCTCGACCTTGAAATCAAGATTTAAGCTTCGACGGATCGGGTTTACACTTGTTACGTACTTGTTGAATACAAATATTTCAAAACTGTCATTTTATTCTAATACCAAAATAGCCTTAGCATGAGCATAGCTTCAGTCTTAATGATTTCTAGAGTACTTCCTTAGCCTTGATCAATACAAAATACAGTCCCTGAGTTAATTTACTCTCCAAGAAAATTGTATATATTTATCTCATCCTCTGAAGCAGTAACAGAGCGTAAATATCGTATTTCATTGCTGTTCAAGATTTTAACACTCGAACTTCGAAAGATATGAATTTCTGTTGTTGAACCATTACGAGAGAACGAAATCTTAAGACTGTAGAGCGAAAAATGAACACTAATGGGACCGCAAAACCCCAAATCGACCGTATTATCAATCGCTACAATTATAAACATTCATTATAATTAGGCTTTCCACTCAATTATAGTTCATTGTCGACAGTTTTTACACGGATCGAAGAGTTTTCTTTGTTATACATGATCCCAGCAGGAACGCAATTAAGCAATGAAAAGAGATCGCCTCAGCTGTATCAAATATAAGCTTAAATTCGCGAAGAATACATAATTATCTGCCTGTTCAGAGACTTTTACGTAACGAATAAGCCAGATTCTGGCTGCGTTATCTAAAGTGTTCAGAGATTGACGCGCACCTCAATTTATCAACGCAGTTTTTCAGGCTTCCCTGGATACTTGCCGGTCGAACTAAAATTAGTTATCTTCACATAGCACAAGGACTCCTCTGCGTACACAGTAAGGTCTGAAAACCCCAATTAAGGGCCGAACGTAACGACAATTACACAAAATGTAACCTCCAATACGAAAGGAAAAACTTACCTGATTCATCTTGCTCTGGTCTTGCTATCGCGACGAAGCAGCAAAGTAAAAACCAAGCAAACCCAAGATTTAACTCCCTAGCCATTTAATCTGATGGTTCCTGTCCACATTTTCTCGCCTATCGACAGAAAAACATCAGGCTAGGACATTCCTTTGACCGCGAATCGTAATCCTCTCAGATACGTGCAAACTAGCTATAGCAGCTCTGTTGCGTGTGGTGTACTAGTCCCCTGGGAGATGTCCCGGTCAATGGTCACGATACTGCACGAGGGTGCAAAAGCCGATGGGGTGCTATTTATATTTTTGCTCCTTTCTGTAGTGGTCAGAATAAATAAATTTATCCAATTGAATATAAACACGATCTAAATCTGTCAGTTATATCGGAAGCGTCCTCTGTGGTGATAAAGTCCAGGGGGAAGAAGAGCGGGCACTTCTGCAATTATGCTGAGCAGGTACAGTCCGCCAAATCCTCCAAACAAGTTGCAGTCCCTCCAACTCCCATGAGTAACCAACACAGAATTTCTCCTTACAAAATCAAGCAGACTAGAGACAAGAATAGAAAAAATACCAATTAGCGGGGGATTATAAGTTAATCCAATACCAAATTCTCCAAACTGAGAGCATAAGAATTGTTTGGCAGAGAGTAAGAAGAAGACTGTGGCTTACATGAGGTGTACACTTTGAAATTTTTAGCTTAGCTCTTCAATAGTGAACCTTCCAAGACAGAAAGCCTTAAACAGGATATGATGCACGTGTCACATTTCAAATCTAATTTGAGTGTATTCTACATGCAAATCTCAGACGCGGCCGACAGCGGTTGATATACCAAAGTCTAGACAATTCTTTTGTCTGTAAAAGGGCATCCACATGAAAGACTACTTTCTAAATAAACAGGGTCAAGGCTTTTTTTAGTCTCGATGACACTCTCTCGTGTAAACACACCCCAAGTAACCGGATTTCACATCTAAACTGTGATCCGTAGTCTTGGATTTGCTATTGACCTACCTTAGATGAACCGAACATTAAACAATTCACAGAAGACTGAATAATTCAACACTCTTTAGTGCAATAACCTATCTACAACCATTAACGTCGACTTGTTTAAGCTTCGAAGATATGGGTCTTTTATACGGAGCGTAATTAAGTGTATGTTTGATAGGCGGAATGGATGCAAAAGAACAAAACCGTCATGGATAAGGACCCATTCGAAAGGAAAGGGGTGGCTAGTATCCGTGGTAAAGTCCCATCGTATATTACGTCATAATTTAGGACTTAACAACTGGTGGTCCACATGAAATAAAACAACAAACTGTTTCACATAGCTTATCGAGTGTGCATGTTGCTCGGTGGTTTCTAAGCCGAAATTCTCAATAACTGTCTCTGCAATTCCTTGACTTGCGATGTTGTTGCTGTTGCTTTTACAAAAACAATGAAAACAAGAAAGACGAGCTGACAAGTAATAATTTTATTGTAAAATACGTTTTTTGATCACTTTTTTTTTACATCTTTCCTCAATAAGGAAACAGGAGCAAAAAAAAAAACAAACAAACAAACACGTTCAATGAGTAAAATTAATGTTTTAAATAGCTTCTTGTTCAAAGAATCCGCCAGGAATGTATCAATGTTTTATTGTTCGAGGGAATGCTATCAAAAACCCTGATGAGAAAAAGGAAAAGGCCCAACCATTTGCGAAAGATTTGTAAATGTTCGTATCCTGCCGATTACAATAAACGTTAAAAAGGTTAAACCTTTGAAACAAATGTATGGCGATAACTTGAAATTGTTAAGATATTTTTAAATAATTTACTCATTATAAAAGGGTGTAAAAACCACGACACCACGAACGCTTTGCTTGCTGTAAGTCAGATAATGCAAAAAGCAAACTAGTGCTGTACGATTTGGGAAGAAAATAATCAAACTAAGACTTCTACGACAGCTCCTTTTCTTTTACACAATAACGGCTGAGGAAGATCTTTGTCTGATCGCTTAAAGAGCAGCTCGACAGAGGTCCCAGAAAAATTCACAGCGATCCTGAAAAGGAAAAAAAAAAAAGAATACTGATCTAGTATACCTAACAAAACAGACACACGCGTGATGACTTAACGTTATGAAGGAGGGTAAGTTTCTATTACAGGTTCGCACTCAAACTTTCAGTCACCAATCAGTTAACAATTAGTCTCCTGGAACAACGAGTTTCCTGGTCAAGATTTCTGGAGACTGCATGAGACCAAAACATTCTCTGGAATCCACGGTTCTTAATAGCCTTTTGCAAAACTTTTCCTCCTGCTGATTCTCAATCCCTTTGCAAGAGACCTTTTGAGGTAATTTAGAAAATGTAGAAAATAACTCGGCTTTGCTTTTGTTGTGCTTCATTTCGCTTTGTGACTGGTCCTGAAAACTCTCGCCAGCATTTCAACCGATTAGATTTAAAACTAACACCGAACGCCACGCACTCGCGTTTTCCCGCGTTTCAGGCAGTCTTCTTACTGTGAGTTCTCATTGGGTCGTTGTAATAATGATTGACTGCTGTACTGATTATTTTACGTTTGGTTGTGCGACACTCGATCGAAACGCGCCCTAACGCTCTACCGCGTTTGCAGTCTGCTAAGTTTTATGAGTTCTCATTGGCTCGCTGTGATAATGATTGGCTGTTAAAATTATTTTAGGTTTGGTTGTGCGACACCCAATCGAACCGCACCCTGAATCCCATGACTCTCTTGAGTTAGCAGTTCCCTCTTCTAGCTTTCATGGATTTCCTTGATAGTTACTTTTGGATAATACCTTCTCTCTGATCAGTTCGCAAAATTCTCATCACTTGTTGTCTGAGCAAAGAATGGATATTTTAACAAAGAGAATATTATCTTGTACCGTAAAGGGGAGTTACAGGCTGATCCCCTATTAGTACCCATTCCCTTTTCACCTGTCAGAAACATGAACAGCGGCAGACATGTCTTGTTGGGATTCTGCTTGTACTAACAGCTTGGCCACTAACTCGACCACATGCTCTGTGTGGAACACGAAGTCACCTTTCAGATGGTTCTTATCTTGTTTGTCCTGATAGGAATACAAGATCGAAATTAATTAGCAATTATATTATTAATTATATTATTTATCATTTATTATTTATTTATTTTATTTATTATTTATTTATTATAATATTATTATTAATTATACAAGATCGAAATTAATTATCAGCTGAAAAAAACTCTCGTTATACAAGACTACAAATCTACGTTACAATCAATGAATTTCAGTAAAAGATATAATTGAAATGAATAAGAGGATGGCTCAAAACACGTTAATGGTCGCCCCTCTAACAATATGAGACACAAAATCTGAAACATCAATCGAAAATTTAATCTTCTAATTATGATCTATTTTTTAATTTTATTTACCTATTTTTTTTTATTTACCACAAAAATACAAATACTATTCTCACCACAAAATGCAAATAACGATAAAAACAAGACAGTCACACAAAAACCAATAAAAGTGGCGAGGAAGGCCAAAGAGAAACCATGGGGCTTATAGATATTGGGCCCCCTCAGAGTGGGAAAAAAAAAAAAAAAAAGAAGTTAACAGTAACAGTAAGGCCAGGATGGAAGGTAAAATACAATGAAGGCTTAAGTATGATAAAGTATGTAACAATGTGATTTTCGCTAACAGGTCTGATTTTCGCTTTTGCATAAATAGCGCTCTCTACTCCGAGGATCGTGCATCATACGTATCTATAACCGCAGTTCAAAATATATGAACTTCATATATGCATCGTAAGCAAATGTGTTTTAAGATAATATCAAATATATGAACAAAGATAAGTAATTACTAAAAGAATTTTTAAGCTAATAATTCACATAATTTTTTTTTTCAGTTTCGTTTTGAATGAGTGGAGAGAATTAGATTCTTTAATATCATTTTCTAAAGAGTTATAATAATTAGGTTCTTGGAAACTGACAGAAAATTTTCCAAGGTTGGTTGCACAAAATATACGTTAAATAAATTGACTTTAACTCTTAACAAAATTTTATCTCCAGCCAAACCATTAGGAAAAAAGAACAAAGAGGGTAAGTTCCTAAAGAAACTGTAGAGCTGCTTCGGTGAGGGGTGGTTAGCCCTTGGTAAGAGCGAGGGGGTCTCTCAGAGGAGGGACTAACGCTCGAAACATGGGCTTCAAGAACTCTTTCCGGTGACCAAATTTGTATTATCTATTTAGTCCATTAGGAGAAAGATTAAAGAATAAACAACACCTACCGTGCGAATGTGGAACACGATTACTCCATCTTTCAGCGGACTCACGGAGATTCTCTGAATGTCTCCCAAATCTACGTTGTATTTCGTGAGGAAAGACTTCGGGTCTAATACCAGCATCTCAGTGTCCGAAATGGTCAAAATGTGAGGTACTACCTGAAGGAGAAACAGTAGAAACATGGAAATTACAGCTCACTTGTAAGTTTGTAAAGTAATCCTTGCGGAGTTCGTTCCGAATGGCGTAAATGTTCCAACTATGAGAGGAAGTAACTGAAAAAGTAGATCGTGGGGAAGTTCCCCACTCGAAACACTTACGTTACAAATCCAGACGAAAACTAAGTTTCGTGAAACCAAGCCTTCAGATTGTGCTTTGTATTGAGGGTATTAAATCTTTAAAGAAATATATGTTTGCATATCACTCGTAGATACCAGAAATATATGTTAGCATATCGCTCGTAGAAGAACTCGTATCTGAACGTCGCAAACACCGCTTTCGATTAACCGTGACGTCATCGTCGTGATGGAATAACTTTTGCCTCCCAGTAGGAAATTCTTCTGAAAGCTTTGTAAGGAAAGGACAAGCAAATCACCGCATGAAACGTTTCACTTTTCTTCGCGCCTGTTCCACAGTTAACATAAAACTGTTTTGTCCTCTACCCTCTCTCATCCAATGAATTACTGATCAACAAACTGAAAATATTAATACGCAACAATAAAACATTTTTGTAGACCTTGCCGTCTTTTCTATTGATCTTTAACACAGAATCTGCCCACACAATCCGTTGGTTGTTGTTACCAGTGTTCTTTTTCCACTTCGGATTAGCACTGAGGTTGACACGATCGCTTTGGAAAGGAACTGCTACCCTAAAAAACAGGAATACCACGAAAAAAGGTTTCAATCTCCCTGAACGCTTCAGCGGCGTGTTTTTTTGTTTTTGTTTTTTTTTAATGACACTTTGCTATTGTGTTGATAAATTAAGAGAAACATTTCCCATTCCACAGGGACGAAGAAGAACGACAACCATGGACTATTTAATACACCGTCCGGCGCAGGGGAGATGCTTCGGCCATGTGGATTTTGCGCTGGAGTCTGGATTACAAGGTCCGGGTCGTTCTTCGGCCAAGGTCCTTGTATCGTTTCCTTGGGCAAGGAAGCCTAATGAGATTTTGGAGATTGGTGGTGTGTGTGTGTGTGTGGGGTGTTTCAACTTACGATGGGCTGGCCGCTTTCCATTAAAGGAGCAGTTCTGCAGGTGAGTCTCTTAAGCACAATTTATTCTTTTTTTATTTTTTTTTTATTTATTTTATTTTTATTTTTATTTTTTTATGTGGTTCATGAATGACCTAAGAAGGCACTGCACATGTTTGTCTGCACTGAACATGACGCGGTGATTCTCAACAATTTACGAAAAAAAATCCCGCCTTCTACACCACAGCAATAAACACCAACAAGAGACGGTATTTCACCGAGGAGAATCATAATTGATTGTATCAAAAAGTTACCAAACTTACGTGGAAGGATACGATGATTTTTTGTCTTTGAAAACCTCGCTGGCTTGGAGTTTTTCTTTCAGAATCGCTCGCTTTTCGGGAGGACATCTTTCTCTGAATTTCTTACACTAGAGAGGATAAGAGCGAAACCTGAGTGAGTTGACAAACTATTAGACGAGTCTTCCTACCTCCTTGAGCAAAATTCAGAAATATAAGTGAAAAAAGGCCTAAAATGAATAGAAACTATAGCCTCGGCCAAAATTTAGTATTTACGTTTGATCGTTAGATCGTTTTCGTACGGTAAGGCTAAAAGCCGACCACTTACTCTCCAAGAGTGGTAAATGCCCTTAAGAAGATTGTTTGTCTCCCTAAACATTGGTGAAGATGAAGGCCAATGCGTATCCAAAGGTGATAAGGACGGTAGGTTGGTCTTTAACTTGGTCAAATATCTGTAACACTGTAATTAGTCAAAAATCGTAAATAAAATTATTTGTGATTGGCAAAGTATAAAGAGGCAGATGACATATAATTTACAAGTGATGACAGAAGTTTTTTTAAAAAGGCTACATACCAGGTAAAGGCGAAGAAATTTCATGATCTTTGGAGCTGCATTCTTTCTGAACTTGGGATGGTACTCACGACGAACCTAGACAACGTAACAAAAAAAAATTTCTTTTAGTTTAATTTCCTGATTTACTTGTCTTTTCCATTTTTGTTTGTTTTTGTTTTTAATAAGGCAACATACACTTAGTCTCGGTTTTCAAAATTACGTTAGTTTTAAGTTAGTCATAAGTCTTATTCAGTGTTATTCTGCCTAGAAATCGAAGGTATGGTTAGATTAACCTTTGTCAGATCGCTGGTCGAACCAAAACCAAAGCTGTCACAACGGCCAACAGAAAAGTAAGTTAACACATTTTTATATCCACATGCACACGAACGCGCAAGTGACTATGTGGAGACCGAGTTTGCCTCTTTATGGTTTAAAAGCCGTCGCGAATTTTCCAGGCTAATCACAAGGTTCCGAGGCGTAACATTATTCAAGCCGAGATAACTCGACTCCTCGTAGGAAATTACTTTGAAATCTTTGCGAGCTTAATGCGATACATCTACTTTAGCGGCGCATAAGCTGGTGGCACTAAAATTCTCTTGTTACTATTTAGACTTCACCGAGTTGAAATGATATCAACCTGCATCTTAAAGAAGGCTGAGTAATATGTGTTTTTAGAATACTTTCAGAGCAGAGCGAAGAGTTTCAAGAAATCTGATTGGTCGAGCGGTTCCTTATATGACGCTCCACGCGGTTTATACAAAATGTTAAAATAAAATGTTAATAAATGTTACTAAAGACAGAACTGGGGTAAGGTAACGAATCTGATCCAACCGACGCGTCGGCCGACACGTTGGCCGGACCTTATAGAAAGACTCTGCCTCGCTGGTACTTTCGCTTGGCTCCAAACTTCGACTCGTCGATCTCCACTGTTTTTCCTACACCTCCGATCTTCATGTCAGCGTTCATAATTTTCGTCGAACATACCGTTCGTAAGTCGCTCAGCGCACGGATCACTGTAGGCTTTGAAAGGCTAGTCAGTCTGGCGATGTTACTTCCAGAAGCCTTGATAGCCCACAGGAACATTAGATGAAGCCACGTACTCAGCGGGATGTTGGAACCTTCGAAAAACGAGCCTGACCTTATAGAAAGCCAGGTTCGACAGCGGCTGTTTGTACAGCATCGGTGGTGTGTCGGTAGTGTGTCGGCCGACACGTCGGTTGGATCAGATTCGTTACCTTTACCCAAAGCTAGAAACTGTTACAACGCAGCAAAACGGCAAACCACGCTACCGGCGACGAAGGTAAAGACACGAATTTTTGGCGGCAACGTAACATCTTCTCAAGTGACGGCTCTCTCTGCATCTTACAAAGAGATCAAATTTGTCTTCGAAGCTCGCGTTCATACCACTAAATTCAGCTATCTCACAAAGTGAATGAACAGAATACGGCACGAACTGTGGAAAGTTATACAATTCATTCACGGTTGGTTTCAAACCAATCAGAGTGCGCGTGGTTTCTTGGCCTGCAGTGCAGGTGAATCATGTAGAGGACCAACTTGGTTTACTGATCGGCAAAGTTTGACTGAAGTTGAAGTGGACGAAGAGTGGAGGGGACGGGTCCCTCTTCTTCCTACTATTTTTCTCTTATCTTTACTCTATATCCACCCCCTTGGTAAAAAAATTGTCTTTCTCAAGCCTTCCTGGCTTTAAAAACCATTTGGTGGCCGAGCTATTCACTTAGAATAATTTGCGCCAAAAATTCGCACCCAATGCAGGCTAATAGTACCATAGTTAACAACTTAACCACGAAAAAAAAAAATTTCACTCTAATTCACCTTACAGCCTGTAAAATAGGCCGCTATTATAGTCGCAGCCTGGTTGCGTATCTTTTCAAGGACCATGCATCTGTAAAGTTTGCGGGCCTGGTGGAATCGAATGGAATGAATGCGAGAGGAAATCATATTGAAAAACCATAATTGTTGGTGGTGCGACAAAATAGCAGTGACTTAAAGTGCGACTGTCTGAACAAATCAAGATTAAATTCACTCTTCATTCACCTTCCAGCCTGTTTAGCATGCCGCTACTATAGTCGCGGCCTTGTTGCGTATCTTTCCAAGGACTATGAATCTGTATAGTTAGCGGACCCGGTGGAATCGAACGCAATGAATGGGAAAGGGAATCAAATTGACAAAATAATAGTGATTGGAAGTGCAACAAGAAAAAAGTGACTTAAAGTGCGATTGTCCAAACAAAATTTCAACTTTTCTCGGCTTTAGAAACCCAAACTTTTCGACACCAAACTTTTCACTTAGGATCTGAGTGCCACAAATTCGCCAGGTAACTAATTGTGCCTTATTTAACAACTTAATCACGAAAAAAAGATTTCACACTCAATTCACCTTCCAGCCTGTAAAATAGGCTGCGATTATAGTCGCAGCCTGGTTGCGCTTCTTTTCAAGGACCATGGATCTGTAAAGTTTGCGGGCCTGGTGGAATTGAATGGAATTAATTCAATATGTTGTTTGTTCTTCTCTCTCGTTTCCACTTCCGTAAAATCATAGAGAACTACAAATTGACGGTTAACAAGTAGTTAATTCTAAAAAAGTATCATAATTAATTGTTCATTAAGAAGTTAGCCGATGAACTATAGTTAACAGTGCTAGAATCCTTCAATTAATTTTATTTACATCAAGTCAACTATTCCATTGGTGCCATTAAGTAATTGGGTGATCTGAATTCAACATGACTAACTTTGTTCGTTTTCTTCTTCCTTCCCCCTCCTTTTACTCTCATTTACTATCATTTCACGATACCAGAATTGCAGCTTATTTTGATGTTTATCACTTGCAATTCATTATACTCAGTATCGATATTCAGTATAAATTTGAACTACAAGCACCCATGCTCCTTGACAAATGGAGACGAGATGGCTTCTAGACGTCGTTGTTGTATGTCGTTAATTTTCATTGCCAAATGGTCTCTAATTAGGAACCCTGCTTTTTTTTTTCGGAGATCATATATGTACTATTAGTTGAAAGGGTGAAGTTAAAAGATTATTTTGGAATGACTAGAAACGGATCATTCAATAAGAGACCGATATATGGACAGTATCAATTTTGGAAACGGGTTTCGGTGAGGCCGTCGAAAAACTGCGTATGGTAAATGAAAGAAGTTTTTCAAGTACAAACTGCTATTCCAGGTTCTGGATGTGTGCGTGTGTCGTAGTTGTTGTTGTTGTTATTTGTTTGTTTGCTTGTTTGTTTGTTTTTCAGTGAACTCTTTTAAATAATCCCAAGATATGATTATCAATTCATCGTTCTGGCCGCGACACCTGAATCTCGATGAGGTGTTACATCAAGATAGTGCTCACTAGTTCAAAAATTTGTTTAATGTCGTCAGGTGTTCACTGGATAATGTACTGCTACCGTGAAGCGAAGTTATGTGCTGAACTCTTCTGAGATTTACAGGATAAACGCTGACCTGCCATCCGTAGAAGTTGGTGCGAATTATACCAACAGCCCAGATACATTTCTTCTCGTACAACATGGCTTTGTAGAGCTTCCGTGCCTGGGACGTAAAACGACTAGTTACTGCTTATAAATCGCTCTTCGGATCGACTTATTGAGATAACAAAGACAAACATGATATTGGGAATTAAAAAATAGTAACGTAAAAAACCATGATGGATTAATGAAGGATAACGTTTTCTTTAAGTCTAGAGATATCAACTTTACAAGCTTGAAAAGTGCTTGTTCAGTGTTGGCAATCTTTTAAACTGAAAATATTTCCATTACTTTCCATGACCTTTTCTAAGACTTTTTAGATGAACTGATTGATAGTTGGTTTCAAAATAATGGAGAAAAGAGGTTGCTACGATGTTCACAAAAAAATCATTGTGCCATTTCGTATGAAAACGGAAAGAATTTGACAACTACAGAGCCGATGGCTAAAGAAAGAACAGAAAAAAATGGAAAATATGAGTGCAATGCATGTTGCTCGCTGTGTAAGTGATAAGGATTATGTAGAAAGCGTGACATGCATGTTAGTAGAGCTGCGTTGCTTTATGCAAGTCACACAACAGCGCGCCTCCTAGACTAGGAGTAACTGAACAAACAAGAGATATAGGTTTAGTTAAAAACTAAACCGCCACAG